AATTAACTTATGACAATGTAATGATATAAATTCAAAGTCTTGTATCCATCCAATAGAAATCGAATTTACTATGTTTTACTGTACTGTATTTGAGAGGGTATAAATTATGAGTGTAATTATTGGTTATGTTGACGTTCATGTACAACCCGCCTTTACATCTTACATTTACTAAATGTACAATACGCTTTGGATATTTGTAAAACGAAAGTTTTTCATTTAAGAACATTCCATAAAATGAACACTACGTACTGTAGGCATACAACCGATGATTTTGACACTTTCAAGGAACTGTCGTTCGCGTCGTCGGCGTCGTCATCATGTATTTGGAGGTGAGCAAGAGCAGTCAGGGCCAGACGATGAATATGTGATTGTGACTAAGGCAACGCTCCTTATGATGCCATATCTAGGCATAGTCTACGTCAACTGTCGGCTAAATGTACACTTTTACCATGTTATCCTGCGACTTAGTGGTTCGGAATCCAGTTAACTGTTTGTATTTTCAGAAAATATCCATAGAGATGTCATCAACTAAAACTGTATGTACGATGATAAACAAGACATTTGGATATTGTAAAATACTTCTTTAACGCTATTAGTTATATTAACACTTATACACTTTTGTACTAAAATTTTTGTAAGACGGTAAATATATATAATAGGTATTATTGTGATTAGGGCTACTACTATATAAACAGTTGAAAACATAAGAACATTAGTACCCTTTAAACTCATTTTAATCATCAAACGACTAGTTTCAACACTTAGTTCTTGGTCATGTTGACATTTTATACAGATACAATAACAAATAATGAAATTATTATAATGTTTTCAATCGTTTGTATATATATATGTGTTACAATTGCGAACAATGTAATATAATTTCGTAACATAAGTTCATAATATCCAACAATGATGATAATTTCCAAAAATGATAATTTAAAAAGTTATTTAGAAAAGAGCTCTCTTTCAAGTGAAGTGTCTGAACAAGAGGATTTTCATGGATATAGGCTCAGAACACCCGGATCACAATGTTATCTTCATAAACAATTTTGGTGATTCGCGGGTGACGAACCTCGTCATCCAAGACAGAAATCTCATCACACAGTGGCAATACATTATATAGCATATTCGTATAAGAATCAGATAATTCACACACACGTTCACCCCTTTGTTTTTACAAATGCGAGAGTTTGTCCAACGATATTTGATAAAATGGCGAACTAAAAACAACAATTTGTTTACATGTGATTAATAAGTTGTGTATCTACATCGGACACTCATAAAAAGAGAGGAAACTTTTATCAAGGTCGCGGTTAACCAATCATTTCTTCGTCGTTGACAAACGAATAATTGTATTAATCGGTTTTGCGTCCATCGTACTCTTTGAAATATACATGCTAAAGTTGAGGTATAATTGGAATCTTAATGGAGTTTAACTAAAAAAAATTAAACGCAGGACATTTAGGACATTTCCAACTAAACTACAACTTATACCTAGTATTTTTCTTGTCAAACGTATAATTTTTTTATACAGCATTGGAGTTCTGTAGCTTCTCTTGATAGTCATTGTTAATTTAAATTAGTATATTTAAATACTAGTTAATAAACAGCCGTTGCTATACGCAACGTCCTGTTTTTAAAATGTATACATTAACCACGTAAAACACGTTTGAATATGCCAAACATAAGTTTTACGATCTTTATGCTAATATTAGTATCTTTATCTTAGTATTTTATGGAAAAGACATGGAATTTCGTCCGTAAAAAAATTGTTGAACGTGAAATATTTTATAGTTTACTTTACATACATACATATAGGTCAAAAGTACAACACCTTCCCCTACAATAAACACTGTGTAGTGAAAATATTATTTTCCTTTTATTTTGCGTGAATCAAAATCATTCTCATAGTTTCAACACCATTTTCCGTAAAGATGATGTTTCTGATCAGCACACTAGCACAGATCAATTATTTTCCAATTTCGTAATATTATTGCTTTATAATTTATTTAGGGCATAACCACACTAGTCTGTTACTCTATGGGCTGTGGCATGACTAATTACAATAAACCCGTCACAAAAAGTTTGTAACAAATCATTCTAGTTCCATTTAATTGCACATTTACACCTTACAACACAAACAATGTTAATGGCCAAGGTTACACAACTGCCGAGTCACTGTCAAGTGCGTAGGCAAGCCATTGGCTATTGATAGTGGGAAGTTCTTGTTTCCAAGACTTCCCCATTTGGAACTTGTTTGTTGTAAAATAACTATCAACATGTCATTAGACTTTAAAAGCCACAAGGGTAAGAATATAGTGTGAGAGCTTGGGATGTATTTTAGAGAAGAAGCGTGCTGCCATGTCATTGTGTAGATTAATTTATTTAACTCTTGACCATTTCAGTTCAAAAGTTACTTAAAAAATTAATATTTTTTTCATCACTTCTTGCTGAAAGTAGCTCTTTTACATAACAGCTGATATCAAAGAAATTAATTGTTTCCCAACTTCTAATTTAGACCAAGAGAAAACGATAAGCTGATTCCCTCTTTATCTAAATTTACTTTCCCTTCCTCTCAAACAGTTCTTCATCTGCCCCTAATACGCACTAGCTTTTGCTTACAACTTATTTCTACTGATATGTTGTTTTTACTACTACTTCTGTTTAACAATACAAATGTGAACAGAAATATGCATAAGCTACTAGTAATTTTGATGCATTATACCTTGCAGGGCATGTTAACTGCACAATATGCTCATATGTTCACCCTTGAACTTGAACTTCAAATTTGCACGTTTTTATGTATTTTGTCTTTTTGTGTCCGACTTCTCACACATGAAACTCGAGCGCGCACCGGAAAATGCCACTTTCGTCACTAGTGATGAAATATCCTATAACGTTGTTCATATTAAAGTAACTTGACAATAGTTTGTAATCGTAAATGTCAAACAATTCTAAATGTTTATATTTGGTGTATTGAATGGTGCGTAGACATTTGATTATGATAGTAAAAAATGTTACGTTCATCAATTAAACTAAAACTTCTTCTTATAGATAGATTGTTGGACTATGACGCCTTTTAAAGCTCAGCAGATTATATTATTTAGATTGGTTTTATAAGTTCGTTCAATTCTAATACCGATATGCTATATGCATAAATAGTTTGATATTTGTTCTTTTTTTATGAACAAGACTCATTTAAAATTGCAAGGAATTTAAAGAACCGTAAGATACACTAATACCCTTTTATTTTACTTAGAGCAACATTGTCCCCTAATAGGTTATTTAGAGGCAGCTCCAAAGCTTCAAATGGTACTTCTTTATGTGACAACTAATTTCATAGGTTTACAAAAAAGGATTCCAGTAAAAATTATAGATGTTTATCTTAACCCAGTAAACAATGACAGCAATTTCAAAATTAAATCAATTATGACTAAAAATCCTTTAAATACATTAATTTTGTTTTATGGTCGCCAATGGGTTTTAAAATTCAAATTTTGTCCATACTAATGTAGAGAAATAACCCATCAAATGTTAACTAGGCCTATTACAAATTAAACGATATTTAAAAATACAATTACGTAATATTCGCGAGTTAAGGAATGAGCACTTTTTCAAGAAAGGGTTGTGATCAAATTTAACAGTAACATTGAAAAACAATTAAGAGAGGTAAAGTTTGAGACTTAACATCCTCAATTAGATTCCGTGTCAAAAAGTCCCTTTGCCTTTCCTTTTGACTCGACAGATCTTTGTAAATATGAAGTAGAGATTTGAATTAATCTTGCAGGTCTAAGACGTGTATCATAGTAACTAAATTTTAATCCGGTGACATCTATAATTATGAGATAAACTTATGAAAAGGTTTGTTATATAATAACTATAAGATTGTTTCTCAACCTAAACAAATACATCTCACGCATATTGTACATATACACGAATTGTGTCATTAATGTGTTTACTAACTCAAAAATAAAGAAAATAAAAACGCACAACTTTTTTTTAGAAGGCTATAATAACTTTGTGGTTATTGCAATGAATAGTACAGTATTACCATGAAACAATCAGTTTACGCGTTTAGGTCTGAAATTGCTATGGAGACACTATCGTGGTGGAACTAGAAAATAAATCTGGAACAGATTGAGTTTTTAAACTTTATTTAAATAATGAAATCAATCTGCCGTTTGTTTAGTAAGAATTTTGTGTTATCTATTTTACTTGATTAGACTAAACAAACTCGGATCCTTGTTAGCCTTGTCCTCTTACAGAGTGCTGCAGGTTAGATTGTTTAGCACTATAAAATATTCTACACTGTCATTCTATATTATCATTTTCAGAACACACCATGTGTAATGTGTGTGATGAAAGTTTCTACCTTTGGTGTTTTTATTCTAAAAAATAATTCCAATAATTTCTAGTCGAATATAATTTTACTGAAAGACGTGCGAAAGTAATGTGCAAAACAATCAAATCGAATTAGTAGTAAAATTAGTTATAGTTGTGCATTTGTTTGGCATTTTACGCAAATAGTTTGATAAATATGACTAATTGATTAAAATTTGTTGCCCTAAAATATAGGTTTAAAAACGCGCTTTTAAAGAATTAAATGGAATATATGAATAACGAAACAAAACATCATTAAAGCAAATAGAGTTTTTACAGTGTATTTATTTTAAATTACGCCAAAATGAGCTTTAAAAATGATTTAATATATACTAAAAAAAGTGAAATTGATATATTTCATAATTATTTTTAGACCAAAATATTTAAAAAAGTTAAGGAAATACACACCAAGAGCTACAGTAATTTATTAGTTCATGTGAATATTTTAAATTAAAAAATATTATAAATATTCATTTAATATATATATTTATTATCTTACCACATTTTTTACTAAATCAAACAAATGTTAAAATTTACTCGCTATATCAGTTTATTAGCTTCGTGTATACATTGTAAATCCAAAATAAAAACTATTCATAATTTGTTGTTTAATAACTCACCGTTCGCGAGGGCTATAACAGAAGCCAAGTATATGAGGACATGCCTCATGCTCGGGGTCTAGCGGCCTACTGGCCTACTGCTGTTGTTTTACCACCACTCCACTACCGACTACCACTACCACTACCACTACACACTACCGCCACCGCGATGTTGAGGGGGAGAGGTGTCAAATTGGGTCAATTCCTCGCTCCACCTGCTCCAGTGCATCGACCGGCCTTGCCACTTTTGACTACCAGACTGATAAGGAACCTGTTTTGGCTTTGGTTATAGCACTGGCCAGTTAAATTTTATTAATAGAACAATAATTTTAGTTTTTTTGTTTAGCGTGTTGCTTGGCTAGTGGTTAGTCTCTGACCTTGGTACAAGAGGGATGAGTTCAATCCACAGATCCACAAAAATTGTAGGAATTTAGGGATCACTTTCCCTTAAAAATGGATTAAAATTGAAAACTTTAGGGGAGGACAACGATCCAGATCTTTGTTTGGGTGAATCCCCTGATTTATGGCTTGAGGGTAGTGGTCATTGAGGAGGGGTGAGGAAGTTAACTTTTTGTCAAATATTTCATTCTTTTTTTCACTATCAACAAGTTTGGTTTGTTTGGTTAGATTATGACAGTTTTGATTTTTCATTATCAGTAAGTTTGGTTAGGTTATGACAGTTAAATTAAATTAAATTTAAATTGAACCTACAAACAATAACGTTTTAACAGCCACACTGATAGAGATAACAATTTGCCACGAACAGTTTGGCTATGCACGGTATGATGCGGAAGCGTTCGGTACGGCGCGGTGGTGGGGGGTGTTCCGATCGAGAAGGTCTCTTCTCGATTTCTCGTCCGTTCTTGAGCCAACCTAGAACTGACAGGTCAACCGACCGTGATTAAGATGATTACAGCCTGGATCATGTACCTTCACCCAAAAATGTTACTGGCATAAAAGTCACTAGTGAAAAAAATATTGTTATGTTTAACAAAATAGTATTTATCAATACTACGCTAAAAAGTTACGAAAAAATACGGAAAATACCGATAATCCCTAACTTTTACAAAACATTCCTGTATCAGGAACTTATAAAATAATACCACCATAATTTATAACACTCATTATAAATTATTAAGTAAGAAACTCGTTTTGGTTTACATTTTCTGCAATTCTCTTTTAATAATGCTAATGTTAAAACTTAAAACATACAATTGAAATCACCCATGAAAATTAAAACAAAAAACAAATGGTAAAGAGACCCTGGCTGGATATATCTGGATAAATTGTTGTATACTTATGTCTTAATTTTGATTAACACTGGTCAAATGGTGTTACTTTTTTCATACATTAATACAGTTGGGTCCCGCAAACTTGGCGTTATGTGGACTGGAAGGGTGCCGAGTTTGTGAAATGCCGGGCTATCGTGAACTAGGGTTAAAAATAAGAACAATACAATTTTTAAACTTTTTTATTTATATTTATATTACAAGTCAGTATTAAGTCATCAGATATAGTACCACAAATCATTGGCACGAGTTGGAATGATTTGACTTGAGACTTAATCAACATATAGCTTGAGTCCATGTTGAACTCGGACTCAAAAAATCACTAGTTTTCTGAGCCAGGTGATGGCTGAGTTATCCAGACTGCTGGGTTATCGAATGCAGAGTTTGCAGGACTCTACTATATACAGGAAAATAAAATAAACAGTGATAATTTGACACATGTACGGTTCTGACTCCTTTCTTCTTTATCTCTGATCTGGACTAATAATATTACATGTGACTCAGTATTATAATGAACTCATAACCTGTTTCAAATATTACTCATTTTATATTTGTTGGAAACAACTCATTGGTGTAATTATCTGGAAATTTTTGTCATGGTAATTGAACACTATTGATTTCTTACCTTTCTAATTTAAAATGTTCAGATGGGATTATAAATTTTAATATTCACTTTTCAACAATTTGGTTTATATTTAAAAGTTAATAATCATACTACTTAAAATGTAGGAAGAACATTTTCTACTATAACAAATATGAACAACAAAGTGGTTTAGATTTTTTTTAAATTTAAGATTAATTATATTACTATTTAAAATAAAATAAGCCATTACCATCGAACAACCAAAAACTGATACTTCACTTGACTACTATCCTTATAAACCAATATTTTTGATTGAAAACTGCTCAAAGGTTACATATGCCCTTAAAAAATTAGTTGATGAAATTTGTACAACACTTTTACAATAAAGGACTTTAAATTATTACGAAATAGTTGAAAAATATACAAGTGAATTTCCAACTGCACGCCTTTCCATAAGACTTGCAATCAAATCTGTTAGTTCTATTAAGAGGGATCAATTACTTGTATGTATTCCATACAAGAAATATTGAATTACTGATTAGTTTCACTGCAACAATGCAGTAATAGTATTAGTTTTATTAAAAATGTTCAATGAATGTATAAAAATAAAACAAAATTAATTACTCTAACCAAGTATTGTTTAACAACAGTTGATTAAATCATTTGTGCTTTGAGCTGTAACTAGTTATGATTTGATCCCACCTATACCCAATCACAGTTTTCAATTTGATTTTGCTCCACTTATTTTCATAAGTTTCACCATTTATAAGTATATTTTATTCTTGTACTGCATTAGCTCACTTGCTTTGGTTGATATTTTCCTTGCAAAGAAACTCATATAAGTCTTAGAAGCCCATGTGAGCAGGCAAACAAAAGGTTAAAAGAGACCACCAATCTCTAAAAAAAAACAAAAAAACTATAGCCTAGAATCCTGCGTTATAAATCATTATCAACCCTTTAGGGTAAAAATCAAAGTTTCGTAACCCTCCAGGGGACGCACGGTGGAGCAAACTGAAACACACTATTTTGTTATTAACGGGCAGTAAAAAGCATTCCGAGGTTCCCCTTGTAGATGCTCCTCAGGGAGGGGTAGACCACTTAATCGGAGTCACGGAGTTCACTACAAACTACACTAATAAAAATATTCCAAGATCAGTAATTTCCACTGAAGAGTCCAAACACTTTTAGGCCTACTCTTTCCCTATCCTATCCTAAACGTGCTATCCATGGACATACAATAAGAATGAAAATTATTCGATGTAGGGGGATATTAAATCAGGAAGGTTAAAATATATCTATATTTTATTTTAACGTTCAACAGTAACATTTATACCAGTTTCTTTTTATCAAGTTACTCAATATAGTTTTGTAATTAAAAAATATAAAATAATGTTTTTACATCAGTAAAAAAAAATGTAGACGTCATATCATGTATTTATTTTCCTTTATTTCCATAAATTATGGGTTAATTTCTAAGAAAAAAATTAGTTTGCGCAAAAATACCAGATTTAGTGTCTTTAAGACCAAGCGCCCCCTTGAGGAGGGATAAACATATGTATTGACAGTTTGTCTAAGTAAGAGTATCCATACAGTATAAAGTATAGTATCATGATAACATTTCTCGTTTACTTTGTGTGCAGTTATCCGTGACTCTCAACAGTGTGGATGGTAAAGGAGAGCTCCCCCTAGACCTTGCCCTACAACAACGACAGACCTCCATCGCTACAACCCTGCTGGAGAATGGAGCCGACCCAGACTGTCGCAACTCTCAGGGCTGGACTCTTCTGCATCGTGCAGTGGACAGAGGTTAGGAAATTAATACTACCATCCTGATTAATGAATGACGTCCTAGACCTAGATTTTAATAATATTTACACTTTTTACTCTTAAATATAAATTAATCTGGTATGACACTATAAGATAAATATGACACTAATAAGAAAAGACAAATCAGTGGCAGACTGTGTATCCATGGCAAATATGTAGTGTGTTTGTTTTGTGGTGCCTGCCACTAATTTTTATCAGTACCATTCACTTTTTTACTGTACTGGCTGAGTTCTTCGGGCTCGTCCTACCTGTTGTGTTCGACTGACATTTTGTGAGGCATATCCTCGACTTTGGAAGTAGCCTCCTGGGAGGTGAAATACCTAGCCCCCAAAGGGGAGGTAAATGCTCGGTGTTGGTATCGGCATTTTCAAGTAGGCCACAGACATGGACGACTGGGCATTGGGTCCCAGTGACATTCCTTTATCCAGGATGGAGGGGTGTTTAGCTCTAGGAGAGATGGAAGTGCATCATATTCTCTAACCTACCTGTGTCTGTGGTTCTTTGGGCTTCGGCCTGCTTGTTGTGTGCGACCAGCATTCAGTGTGGCAAATCCTCGACTTTGGAAGTAACCTTTCCTGGAGGTGAAAACGGGCAAGTACCCGTAGCTCACGGGGACACTCAAGGGCAACGTAACTTTCCGCAGTGTGAGGGCAACGGTTTGTAGGCACTTATGCAAACCAATCCCTGTCTCTGAGCACGGACGGTATGGTTATCTTGAGTGTGGGGGGTTCTTCCCGGAACCTCAATTGAGTCAAGGGTGTCGCCACCTCTGGTGGATAGGTTCATCCGGGTGGGTCCCACTTCTATACCTGCCTCCTTTTGGGAAACCCTGATGGCCTGGCAGTGATGTTGGGTCTGACGGGCAAACGAAGTAGATCGGGTGCTGGGTCCGAGCCCGCCAGGGGTATCTGGGGATCTATCGCTCTGGTTATCTCTGGTTTCCCAGCAACTGGGTAAGGCCTCGATCGGGTAGTGGTGTAAATGGGAGGTTGGGGTTCCCCCCGTCAGCGTGCTGACGGTCCCCTTCCTTCTGGCTATTGATGGCGGGTTTGCCTGTCAGGGATTAGATAGGTCCCGAGTGTTACTTGCACTAAATGCGTCGGGGCGCTCTACCATGGTCCTCTAGGTCCCGACCTAGTGGAACCCAGGTGGAGTGACGCTTAAACAAGTAGCCGGAAACCCTGGTTAGAATTGAGGGGCAACCCTCTTTCCGAAGGGTCTGCTTCGGCAGCCGGTGAGCCTGATGACCTTAAGTCATCCGCCCATGACGTGCAAAAGGTTGATGCGTAAGCTTCGGCCTACATCATGGGGCCCGGGTAAGTCTCACGACAGGTACCGGGTATGTAGTCAGGGGGCTTCGGCTCTCATGACAAATAATGAAATGAATGTACTGGCTCACCCCTTGCATTGCTGGATATGTTCCTTGTACAGACCCGATGCCTATTTGGACAGGCAAGAGCAAGGTTAAAAAAGGCCACTAGCCTTAACAAATTTAAAACTCCTTCCCGTAGCCGAGCCATAATTTTCCAAATGTCGTTTCCAAAGCTGCAGACTCTTAAATGCCCTAGTACAGCTACTTGTTTACTGGAAGTTTAAAAAATTAACCTAATCGAGAGAGATTGTATTAAAATTTTTAAACTCGAAACAACACTCTACGTACGCTGCAGTATACAGCATAGATGGGGAGTGTTGCTAGCTTAGTGGTTACCTTCTCAAACTTTGGTGGGAAGGTCAGATTCGATCTCCAGCATATATTCAGTAAAACTTTGGGGTTTTGGACTGCTTTCCCTACAACATTGTTCTCAATACGGAAAGTAAATAAAAGAAACGTCTTATAACACTTAAAACATATATTTACGCTTATACTGTCACTCACAAGACGGTAAATATAAATAAAAGATGGTAAGTGGTAATCGATTTCGATTGGACACTCCAATCATCACCTGAAAGGCAGGTCTGATGATAATGGGAGTGTCCAATCGAAATCGATCACCTTTTACCATCTTTTATTTATATTTACTGTCTTGTGAGTAACAGTATAAGCGTAAATATATGTTTTAAGTGTTATAAGACGTTTCTTATATTTACTTTCCATAAATTTAATAACACATACAATGCTGATCTAGAAGTTATTTATGTTCTCAATGACAAAACACCATTGGTGTTCAAAACTACAAACTTAATCAATGTATTTAAAATCCTTTTACTAAATAGTTTGAAAATCTAATTATTAACTACTCAAATACTGAGCAATTAAAAAATAACAGTAAAAACTCTATTAAAAGAGTTTTCTTGTAGTAGTATCTCTCTATAAAATCCTCACTCAGTGAGGTTGCTACCAAGAATTGAGTGAATAACTTTTTGGATCCGAGTCCACATGTCAGCAATTAGCGTCATCTGTCTATCAACAGATCAACAGTGATCAGTCAGTCAACATTGTGAATCAGTCTACTATTCAAGCTGGCTTCAATACAGTAGTTTACTAAAACACCTGAGTTTGATTTAATTTTTTTCATGATAGCTGCCTATGTCAATAATATAGCCTAATGCAGTTCTTTTTATTTAGTGAAGCAATAAAATGGAAAATCATGGGTCTTTTTATATGTTCGTTGAAGCATGCTGTGCTGATAATGTTCACTTCTCCTTTTCTTATTTAAGGGTTTTACAGCTTAGGAGAGTTTATATTTCCTTTATTGGTGTTTTGTTAACTATAAGACTTGTTATCAGGCCTCTGAATTGTAAACATCTTTCATAAGAACAATGAAACACCGAAAACTAAATTCAAACAACTCAAAAACATACATTTCTGTGTATTATATGTTTAATTTCTTTTTGCACTTGAGTTCTTCTAAATTGCTAATGATTCACATTCAAGTTTAAATTTTTGTTGGTAGTGGAACCTTGATAAGAAGGCCCTCAATAACAAGTTGCCCTTTTATAACAAGTGTCATTTCCAAATCCCGTTAAAATTATTTTACCCCTAATCACATGTTATTTCAAACCTCGATAAGAAGTCAACCTTGATAACAAGTTTTATTTTACAATCCCCATGAGAGTCTTGTTATCAAGGTTCTACTGTAAATATTAACCAAAAAACTGAAAACCTATTCATGTAAGAATAAACAGTGGCTTAGTCACAGAACCTTCAAATGTGGCAAACTACTTAAATGTTTTTTTCTCAAGTTGTAAAATCAGATGTGACTTCTTTGAGAAATATTCAGCGCAGTGATAGGTGATAGTCTCATTATGTCTATAGGACTTTTCCCCGTAACAGAGGAGGAAGCTGCAACTGTCATAAATCAACTTCCGTCGAAGAGAGAAACGAATGTTGATGGCATGTCTGTGTGGCTTCTCAAGCAACTGTCTGATCATATATTACGTCCATTAACAGAAGCAGTCAATGCTTCTTTTAAGAGTGGGTGTTTCCCTGAAGACCTGAAAAGGGCAAAAGTCATTCCAATCTTTAAAAAAAGGGGACCTGCTCGATGCCAGCAACTACCTTCCCATTTCTCTCTTGCCTGTTTTTAGCAAAATCTTTGAAAAGCTGTTCTTGAATCAGTTGTTAGCATTCCTCAATCATCACAAAATTTTTTTCATTTGATCAATTTGGGTTTAGAAGGTGGAAATGTTCAGTGGATGCAGTGTATAGCCTTGCCAGTAAGGTATTTGAGAATCTGGACAAGCATCACCCAACACTCAGTGTCTTTTTAGATCTTACCAAGGCTTTTGACAGTGTCGACCACAGTATCCTCTTGTCAAAATTAGAACACTAAGGTGTCGAAGGTGTTTCTTTGCATTGGATAAAACCTTACCTGTCAAACAGAACACAAAAGGTGCATGTCTCAAATCATCTGTCAAAACCAACTCTTCTATTGTAGGTGTTAGCCTCCGGATTGCCAAATAATATTAGAAAAGGTGCAAATGCCTGCTATTAAGCAATCCAACGTTGTTGTTAACACAACTAGTTTCAGTGCCTGTGTGGCACCATCATCAGGCTGTACAAGGACAGTTTTCTTTCTTCATATAGTTCACACGAAAATAATTAATAAACATTTAAACACGCCCCAAACACGAATACGAGACATTTATGGTAACTGATCAGTTAAGAAAACAGACGACGCTAACCCGGCTGAGTTTGAGTCCAGACTGCAACTCTGCAGACTGGAGTTGCAGTCTAGACTCAAACTCCGCCGGGTTCTGGCTCGGATAATCGGAGTGTACTGTAGAAAAAACTATAATTCAGGATTTGAAGCATACTCTTGCAACATTAAACTAGACTATTTTCTTTTCAAATACAAATTGGCTACATCTGGACCACATGGATGGGATGTCTTATGCCTTATGTTAACTTCAGTATCAACAAGCAATGATAATTCTCTCCACATAATAGCAGCATGTTCTCCTGATACCAATGTTGTTGATGTTTGCAGGTGATGACTATGCAGCCAGGTTTCTTTTGGAACAGAGTGCCTCTGTGTCACTCACCACTCCTGATAATGGTGACACTGCTCTCCACATGATAGCAGCATGTTCTCCTGATACCAATGTTGTTGATGTTTGCAGGTGATGACTATGCAGCCAGGTTTCTTTTGGAACAGAGTGCCTCTGTGTCACTCACCACTCCTGATAATGGTGACACTGCTCTCCACATGATAGCAGCATGTTCTCCTGATACCAATGTTGTTGATGTTTGCAGGTGATGACTATGCAGCCAGGTTTCTTTTGGAACAGGGTGCCTCTGTGTCACTCACCACTCCTGATAATGGTGACACTGCTCTCCACATGATAGCAGCATGTTCTCCTGATACCAATGTTGTTGATGTTTGCAGGTGATGACTATGCAGCCAGGTTTCTTTTGGAACAGGGTGCCTCTGTGTCACTCACCACTCCTGATAATGGTGACACTGCTCTCCACATGATAGCAGCATGTTCTCCTGATACTACTATGGAGGAGACCCTAACTGCGATGGTTGACATTGCCAAACTCCTGTTAGACCGTGGCCTGGATCCTAATCTGCAAAATAAAAAGGGATTGTAAGTCTGGTGTTCAGTTTGATTAACTTATCATGCAAATGAAAGTGGTCAATTTAGTTTGCTTTAATTTAGCCTTTCCTCACCAGAATTGTGAGACTATGCAATCTAATATTACTATTTCATAACCCTCCAGCGTGTCTATAATAGTCGCGGTAGGTTGTTTCTGTAGTGGAAGCAACAATAATAGTTGTGTTTTGCAAGGTTTTGGCCAACTCCAAATTAATGGTTAAAAACGATTGTAAAATGGAATGATTTTTATACCGTTAGAAGGATAAGATTCTGAACTTCCACTTTGTTACATAGATGAACTTTATCTTACAAAGGGATCACTGTAGTTGAGCACTAAAGTGAACAAAAATTTCGAGCATAGACAGTTGCACCATGTACGCGTCACAAAACTGCCAAACACAGTATGTTTCAAAAAATCATAACAAGGGATATTTTTTGTCTACAAAGAAACAGGTGGTACCACTGCAATAAGGAGGAAATTTCCTATATTACGGTAGAAACACTATTTTGATATAGGATAAAAAAAATTAAATACGTAATTTACTGAAAATTATATACAGTCTCACAAGAACAAAATCAAATCAATCAATTTTTACGTGTTGGTGAAGTAGCAGAGCGACTATTATAGTCGCAGTAGTAAAACATTTTAAAATTTTTTTTTTATTTGTACATATTTAGTTCCTTAACTGTTTTTTGAGCATAGTCTTACTAAATTTGAGGTTTGGGGTATTACATTTAGCCTGTTTTTGAAACATTCCGTCATAATGAAGAAACAATTTGATCGCCCCTTGAAATAGGTGCAGCAGCATTTTATATAAAACACTATAAAATATTTATTTATTTATATTTGCTTTAATTATATTATATATTCATGTAGGGGAATGAATTTACTTTCATTTTCCATAGTTGGCATTTAGGTTTTATGTATTTGAAAAATTATATACCTACATGTTTGAATAACAAAATATTTTTTTCAAAAAAATTTAAAGATTTTAAAACGTCATAAAGATTTATAGTAATGATCATTTTCATTAACAATTCTTGCTTAATTTAGTTTCTAATGTCATTTCCTTTACAAAAATGTGTACTTTTACTACATTTCTTGTGAAAAAATTTATTTGGTTTTGTTTGAAATTTTTAGCGCAAAATCGTGGATATTACCATTATTTTTTTCAGGTCATAACATTTTCAAACAAAATGGTATAAAATCGAAACATTTTGTATATCTTGAATTTAAAATAAAGAATTTTTGTTTGATGCAGGAAAGTTTTACTTTCAAAATTACAAAATCCAAAAACCTTTTTTTTATATTTTTTACCTAATGCCAATACAGTAGACCCCCTCTTAACCGACCTTGCTTTGAGAGCAGTCCGGTTTAACCGCCACTTTCTAGGAATCTCGGTATTTCCGCTCCCACTCTGGGCAATGAGAACTGAACCATACGCTTATCTCCACAGGATATATGACTAAGAATAAGTTATTTTGTATTGATCACAAAAAATATAGCATAACCTATTGTCAGTTTATTATCATCGTTCGTAGCTCGAGCACATCTGATCTGATTTGTTATCTGTGCGGCAAAATTATAACATCATAAAGTGTGACGATTTTGAGAACTGATTATCTTATCGCTGGAGTAAACAAACAATTCAACTTGTAGGGAGGGCAGGGAAGGGGGGTTAATAACTCCAAGGTCTAGATAGTTTTTGTGACTCGAGCCTCCAGTTAGAGGCTATAAATAAACATATAAACATCCTGTCTTGTAACAAAATGGTTGCTTGTATCTTTAATTTCAACAAAAGGTTCTAAACTGTATTACGATGGATTTGGAAAGTATCATTAATACATTACAGTACTAAAGTTATTAAAATAGGAATTTTTATTGACTCTTGCCTAGTATTATAATATATTCCACTGAAAGTAGGCCTATTTGACTTAACCATGTTTTGTGTTTATTTGTGACCTTTCTATCAATACGAAAAAGGAGATAAGAGTAGTTTATTTTATAAATAATGCAAGTATGACTTCAAAATAATGATTATATAATTCCAAATGAATAGCACTTAATTATGTTATGATTTTAGGGATTGCCTGTTTTAACCGACCTTTTGAGTTACCCGACCTAGGTCCGGTCCCATTAGGGTTGGTTAAGAGGGGGGTCTACTGTACATACTGTTTTAAATATTTATTCTTTTGCCATTTTCAAATTCTTAATTTCATTACGAACAATTTAAGTAAAGGTTCAATAGGTTTGCTCTCTTGGTTAAGTTTAATATGAATTTTCAAAAATATTACTGCAAAATCGCCAAAAATGCCTTGCCACTACAGAGTTTGCCCATTGCCAGTTGGAGGGTTAATTTTACTTTCTAATTAGAAAAAATCCGAAAAAACAATAATGTGCATTACACATTTTCAATTGATATATTGTCAAAGTTGAATAACCCCTTCCTGATCAATCCTCGTTTTCAGGAGTGTTTGGTTTGAATTTCTTATTTTCAATGTATATTTTGCCCCGTACTGATCCAAAGTATAATTATTTTTAACTCTGATTTTTATCTTCTTCAGCACGGCTCTTCACCTAGCAGTAATGGCTCACAATGAGGAGCTGTTCTCTCTGTTGCTCCTGCGTGCCTCTACGCAGCCAGTGGACCTAAACCTGCGCACCGCAGACGGACACACACCGCTATGGTTTGCTCTCATACGAACGACTAATCATTTCTACAACTGCAACAGCTTTGCTGCAAGGCTAGTTGAGAAGGGAGCAATCCCTAATCCAGTAAGTTGTTACCAGTTATAAAACGTGGTAGTTTTTTATAACTTAAGTTTTAGCGTGTGAAACTAGGTATTCTTCTCGATGTTTTCCAGTGAAAACAAGACCAAGCCTGCTATGAATAAAATTAAGTTTCCCAACTTTGTTCAGCCATTTCTCTCTATTAGCTTCTTAAGGAAACCTTAACAGCACTATGTCCACTATGTCTCTGTTTTTCGGAATCAGCAAACTTTTTTTGGAGATTTACACGCTGGGCTTCACCCTGGAGAAACCCTTTGGGATGCCAGTTTTTTACTATGGACGATTCCAATTTTGCAAAACTATCGTGTTTTCTTTCCCAAATAAGATTTTACTATGACAATTGCACTTTGACCAGCTAAGACTTTAAGTTTTTAAGTGGCATAAATATATTATTTTTAATATAATCTAAATTTCTCAAGGTTAAGCTATAGGTTTATATGATGAAGAATGTGCAATTTCAATTTTATTTTTATTCTGTTTTGCAATGATTTTATTAAAGTATTTCTTCTTTGCAGATCTATCCTCAAAATGGCAACAGTCTACTTCACTTGGTCGCTTCTGAAGGATTGGAAGATGCTGGACTCTTCCTTAGTAGTCACATCAATAACATTGATCACATCAACAGACAGGTAAACTAAACATTCAAAGGTAGTGATAGAAAATAGTATAGTATAAATGTATTTTTCAATTGCTTGTTTCTTTCAGGGAGAGACAGCCCTTCACATGGCTTGTAAGAAGGACTTGAGCAGATTGGTGACCAAGTTGCTGGAGTGCGGTGCCAACCCTAACATCCAGACTTTGCCCCCTGAGTCAGTAGGACTAGATGCAGAGGGGCCAGACACCCCCGTATACAGACAATCCCCGCTGCATGTAGCCATCTTTCACAGCAATGTCAACGCTGTCAAAGCCTTCTTGGAGTACAAAGGTATAATCTGTTGTGATGTTCGATCATATTTTGGTTAGTGTCTTCGTCAGTGGCATTTTGAAGAAATGTTTTACAAAATCCTTAAAGGAAAAGCGGTCCAATTCCATAAATTTGATGTGGATATGCCAGGGATCGAACCCATCTGTCACATTGAAGTGTGAGATGCTAACCACTTACTGAGAGACCTAGGGCTAGTCTGAGTGTGTAGCTAGCCTATACCTTCCGCAAAGATTCGTGGCGGCTGAGGGATTAGGACGGTCGGGTGGTGTCCCAGCCCCTAAATTAGCCCTCACTCGGCTGCTCTGAGGTTTGACAACGAGTCACCCACTGGGCTCAATGCGTAGTTAGTAAAATATTTGTACATCACCATAATGTGTATTAAATAACGTCATTTTTGTAACCTGCATCAAATATCAAGAACATTGAGCCCAAACACGAAATAATTGCGATGATATTAAGCATTCCACGACACGAAAACTGTCTATTATTTTAAAACCAAATGCATACTTAATATCGTCGCAATTATTTCGTGTTTGGGCTCAATGTTCTTGTTATTTGACGCAGGTTACTAAACTGGCGCAATTTAATACACTTTATGGTGGTATCTAAAAATTCTTTCAACTATGCATTGAGCCTAGTGGGTGACTCATGGTCAAAACCCAGAGCAGTCGAGCGAGGCCTAATTTAGGGGCTGGAACACCACCCGACCGTCCTAATCCCTCAGCCACCACGAATCTTTGCGGAAGGTATAGGCTAGCTACACACTCAGACTAGCCTTAGGTCTCTCAGTAAGTAGGGTCTTGTAGGTGCCCTTATAGGTGGATAAGTATGTAATTTATTTGACCCCAATACTTGGAATTAGTTTGAAGAATTTCTATGGGTCTCCGGAAATTCAGTACTTTTCAATACTCCAGTATGTGACACAGGTGTAAAAGTGTATAATATTAAATGTTTTTCCAATACAACTATAGCAACTATTGAGCATTTTTCAAAAACATATTTATTTATTGCGTAAAGTTTTTTAACCCAAGTGCAGTAAAACGAAACAGTAATAAAAAACTAATGTTGAATTAAATCAAATTAATAAAAATCCTTTATTTCAACAGTCTAAGTTAGGTTCTCCATGGCCCTTTCTGACACTTAACCTTCCTTCATACAATTATACATTAGAAAGCAGTATTTAATAAAACAGTATTTACAAAAACAACATTTAAGTAACAAAATTAACTACAAAAACGACTCTTAAACTTACATGGAACAATACTCAAGATCCAATTTCATTGTATAGAGGTAAATGGTATTCCTTAGCAGAATGGCGAACAAGTCATTGAAGTAGTGGAAAAAAGTTAGTAGTAGTAGTTAGTATCGGCATCGGCTTTTGACGATTAATTCTCGATACCGATACCAAATGTCCATGTATCGATGCTATCGAGAATCAACACATCCCTAATTTTTAAGAACAACCTCATTTTTACCCTCAATATTTTTTCCAGCTACAATTGAAGACTCAAAAGACGCAGTGGTGGCTAACCTTAATCTAAGAGACTCTGCCGGGAATACACCTCTGTCCCTGGCCCTAGCTTGTGGAATGCAAGCCACAGTGCCTCACCTCATTCAAGGTAAATTGAGATTGTGGAAATCATACAGTATCTTACCTTTAGATTTTGGCATTGCCAACAGCTCTCCACCATTCGTCTTGGTCTTGCATCCATTTCGGCTTAACATTCCAAATTCACTTGTTTTTCAGTAAAAATAAAAGACTTGAACACTTCATTATAGTCTAGGATGCCTCAGTTGTCAGTCTTCTACCTTAAAGATTATTGTCTGCCAAAATCTTTACTGTAGAGCCTTTTTCTGGTTGTATGGCCAACGCATCTGTGGATTTTATTTTTGATTTGGACAATGATGTCAGGGCTTTGATAAAAGGCTCATAAGTCCTATTATTATGTATTCTTCCAATTCCTTGGCTGAAACTTGGATGAAAAATTGGTATTTTGTTTCTAAACACTTTGAGTAAATTTTCTGTTGTCTTACTAAGAGGCGATTCACGAGTCACGGTTTATCCTAAGTCCGAGCGCAAAATCCAGTTATAACCATTTTGTTTTTTGCGCCGCGGCCTAGAAAACGGGTTCACGAGTACAAGGTTATCCACGCTCTGGCGCAAACAGATAAACTTCACCCAATTTATGACAGGGATAAGCCCAAGCGCAAAAAGTCGGCTTCACGAGTCCAATTAGAGAAAACCCCGGGCCAAACAAATAAACTTGTCTGGTTCACGAGTCATGGTCTAGCACAAATAGGATAATCTCGGGCGAAAATAACAATGGTTTTGGACTTGCACTTTACCTGCTGGGGGGCAGGGTTAAGTTGACATCATGTCGGGATTATCTCATTTGCTCGTTTATTGTTTTTTTGTTAGCAAAAAGAATGTTATATTCAAATTCACCATTAAATTCCAAACAATTTCATTACCCTCAACATAGTATTTATTTTTTTACTACTGATTGGCAAAAACATGCAAAACATAGTAAAAAGTTGCTGTTGACACATTTTAATTAATTACTAATTAAAAATATATTTAATAGCTTAACATATTTATATACATTTATAAAATTGGCCGAGATCAACAATAACTGCAGGCCGCCAAACCCTGTACTTGTGAACCGCCTCTAAGTGTTTATCCCCGTTAATCCCTGCTGTTGAGCAACGGTCAATGTTGGTCTCTGTATTTGTCAATTGGAAATTATTTTACAATAGTTGATTTAAAAAATGAAAACAAATTCAAACATTGTAATGTATTGAATTGTAAGCATTAATTTTAAAATTTAATTCTAATCGCAATTAACTTATAGTTCATCAACAATCATAAACTCTTTCTATCTTGTGAACCCTTAGCTGATTGGAAAAATAAATTTTGATTCCAATTTTTTGTTTAGCTTGAGTCATTCTTCAGTGATTCCCTGCCATTATGATGACTGTGGGAGAAGGGCTGCTGTTAAATATAATCTGTGAGCCTTATGCCACTTTTACCTCACTCATTATATTACATTTGGAATACAATTAAATTCAATCACTCTCTCTGCTGAGTATTAATATGTGCACTTCACATGTATTATTCCGATCTGTATAATCGTTAGGAGGAGCTGACGTCAACATGCGCAATGGTGCTGGTCTCTCACTTCTGCACCAAGCCATCATTAAACAAGATGCTGATACAGCCATATTCCTTCTCAACCAGGGTGCCAACATCGATGCCAAGTAAGTTAATTTTGGTCTTTTGGCGGTCATTGCAGACATTTTCCAACACAATTAGTAAAAAAACAAGTTTTCAGGTTTTATTAATTGTGATAGAAAATGTCCGCAATAATCCCTCAAACACCATACATTCACTATCACCAAAGAACTTCAAACAAAGAAGTAAATATTATACCAGTAAGTTTAAAAAATGGGTTTAACGGTTTATAATAGTTTATAAGTTAATAGTCGATAAGAATCGATAAGTTTTGGTATCCACACATCACTATAGTTTTGAGCAATAACTCTTACCGCCGATCCTGTCATGTATCTTCATTGAATATGTAGACGAGATTTTACAGTGAGATTTCTGTAGATGTAGAAATTAACTCTTTTTTTTGCAAGAAAACTACATTTAACTGTTCATAATTTCAATGTTTACATGTTTATTGTTGAGTTTGCACTATCAGGTCTAGATCTTAAACAGTAATGGTTAATAATAATGTCTCCCAGTTCATTTATTTGCCAGAAAATGCATCCACAAAAAGTCCCAGAGAGGTAATCATGCTCAGCTAACCTTATTGCAAGGTGAATAAACTCAAACTTCAAACTAATGTACTCAATATTGTAACAGTACAGTAAAAGGCTTTTGATAATCTGGCATATTAAATAATCTGTCATTAATCCAAACAATGTGTATAAACTCAATAAATCTTCTGAATATGTTCAGCAGAGTAGTGAGGAAATAACCTGAGGTCAGGGAATTTGAATTAATAAACTTGTACTTAAGTAATACCCTTTTTAATCCTCTATTTTGGCAGCGTTGTTACAATCCCTGCAAAAACAAATATTTTTGGACAATGCTTAGTAATTTCATGTTGATTCTAGTCTCAGAATTACTGTTTTTAGATTATAAAAGGTATAATGTTACCTGGATCTGCCAGAGTAATCCAAATGCTGTCTAACGACTACGCGTTTCGAAGCAGTATAAGCTTCATCTTCAGGTCCTCAAGAACACGTTTCACTCATCAGAGGTCGTCAAATAAATATAATTTTTACACACATACATGGACGGAGAATAGTTACTGACCTCTGATGAGTGAAACGTGTTCTTGAGGACCTGAAGATGAAGCTTATACTGCTTCGAAACGCGTAGTCGTTAGACAGCATTTGGATTACTCTGGCAGATCCAGGTAACATTATACCTTTTATAATCTTAGTAATTTGCGATATTCAGTAATCTGTTTTTACCACATTTTTGAACACACATCATTAGTAAGTTAAGTGTTTACTATATTTACATAAAAATAAAACTATTAAAAATTACATACTATATTGTTTTCAGGACGGTTAACAACGAAACCCCACTGCAGCTTGCTATCACTTACCACTTACCTGCCGTCGTAGAGGCACTGTGTCGCAGAGGCATTGATATGTCTATAGTAGACAGCAACAACAACTGTCCATTGTGGGCTGCTTTAGAGGCTGAGCAAGAGGACATAGCCTCTATACTAGTCAGGTAACCAGCAGTTATCCTACGATAACGCCTCTAGCTAGTACTTCCAAAAAACATTGTCATCTGGTAAAAAAGTCCTTAACATTTCTAAAATTATTAATATTATTATTATTTCTAAAACAAGCAACATGTCAATGCTATCCCCCACAACCGTACACAGTTTTTTTTATAAAAAAAAAATGCTATCTCATTTGTACAGTAGGACCTCGATATCTTGAAGCTGAAGGGGTAATGGTAAAAATGAAAGTTGTTGAGTTTTTCGAGTATGCGAGGTTTGTTAAAAAGGTTTAAATACCTTTTATTAAGCAATTCATTCAATTGCAGTCACAACTAGTTTCAGATCCTATGTGGAACCATCATCAGGCAACAAGGGTGTATTCTTTCTTCATACAAAGAGCGTCATATTTAGCACATAAAAATAAATAAACATTCAAACACGATTGACATTTATGTATTTTGGGACCAAGTTGTTTTGTAGGCATGTTTTATCATCAGACGAGTAAGCAAAAATAGCCTAGTATGAGGACATTAAACTAAAACTCCTTAAAACTATTGTAAACAAAAAGTTTAATGAAACATGTCATCAAAACAACTTGGTCACAAGTTTGAGTGAGTTTGGAATGTGAAGGATAAACTTTGAGATATAGATGTTAGATATTACAGATCACAAAACGTCAACATTCGACTTATAAAGATATTTTTAATATTGTGATTTACCGGGAATTCAAGGGAATTAGAAAAAATATGAGATATCAAGGAATTTGAGTAGTTGTGTAATAAACGGGATAGCAGGTAGCTTATCTTAAAAGGAGCACAGGTAGTACATAAAACACACAGAATACACACAAAATACATAATATTTTGTCCTCAGGAACGAAATATTTAGTGTTTTATGTGTCTTTTGTGGCCTACTTGTACTACCCCTAAGGTTTCAGTTGGTTAGAGTTATTAAAAATCAGTTTAGTGAATTACTGTACCGTATGGTGATAATTGTACCATAATATTACCATACTTCGACATTTCTACCATAATGTTATTATTTACAAAAACATTCAATTACCATCAGACTTTTTAGAAACCTTTCATTGTTACTTTCATCCTGAATAAACCTTCTTGCATTTTGTTTAAACGTTATATAAAATATGTAACATTAAACCATATTTATCATTGTATCATACATGTTTCCAAACTTTTAAAACTCACTATAAACTATAGTATCTACTATAATTGTGGAACTTATTATAGCCGTTTATAAAATGGTATTGATTTGTAAATTATGTCTGCAGTCCAAAATAAACTTTCAAAATTCTGAAAATGTACAGTTGTTTAAAGAATCACAGTTAATCTCTCACAGTTAATTCACAGTTAATCACTCTATCACAGTTTATAACATTTCTTAAATTAAACAAATTATTCGACAAAGATCACTTTGGTTTTAGAAGAAATAGGAGTACCTCAGATGTAGTAGTTGAGCTTCAAGGGTCTAAGGTTGGACCTCTTCTTCTTATTCTCTATATAAATGATTTAGCGGTCACATTAAATTCCAGAATCATAGAATTTGCCGATGACACCACGGTGTTAGATAAAGACTTCTATTGCTGTGGCAACTATCAAAGCATCTGAAAATTGGAATAAAATGGACCCTTCTTTCTTCTTTATTTTTCATTATTAACTTCTGACCTTATTTTTTATTTAATTACTAATTACAAATAAATAAAATTTATAATATAATGTATTTTAGTTGAAAAAAAGGAAAAAAACAACTGACGTGTCATTTGTTTACTGGTGATGTATCACAATTATGTAAATTCTGTGTGACCAATAAACATTTCATTTCATTTCAATGAAATGTATTTTAAATGTCAGGCATGGAGTGGACACGGACTGCTGGAGTGAAGGGCCAGAAGGCTGCTACCAAACACTTCTACACAGAGCTATTGACGAAAACAATGAACAAGTTGCTAAGTTTCTTATCCAAAGGTTAGTGAAGAGTTTTACCAATCTTGCATACCTACCATAAATTTGTTAATTATTTTTATATGAGTACTTAGGAGGGCTATTCAGAAAGTAAGGAACGTTTCACTCTGACTCCGCTAGGCCCGCGTACATCTTGGTGTGTGCTCACTCGGCAGCTCAGTCGGCGTCCAGACGTGACAATGGGACCATTCTGCACTGCCTGTTTTTTTTGCAATTTCAATATAAGATGTGCGCTGCGATTTAAAATCCCGCCAGTTGTGAGGTGCGGTCAGTGATACGGTTTTGTTTGCAAATAACTCAAAACCGATAACAATTTATCACCAAGTGTGTGAAGTTTACAAAAAAAAACATAATGTATGAAAGTTCTGTGCGAAAATGGTGCATTCAGCTCAAAAATGGCCGAACTGACGTTCATGACGAAGCAAAGAGCGGACGCCCAAGCATTCTATGGATCTTTTTTTACATTTTGAAAATGGTTTCGGCATTTGATCAGCTGCCCCACAATTGTATTCCATACAACATGTTTGACACAAACAAAGCATAATAAACAATCATCCTTGTCCTGAGGTCAGTAACATGCTGCAGGACAGACATCTGGAAACAGACTGTATTTAGTTTATTAGCCAGAATTGATGTATATTTATCCCAATTTAAAGTGTTTTGTACCTGAATACCTAAACATTTTGTACACAATGTTTCATTAATAATTTCACCCTGAATATTAATATTTAATCTAATGTTTTCTCTGTCACGAGTAGTTTTGAACCTAATAATTGAGTTTTAGAAGAATTAAGACTCAGCCCATTTGCTGTGAACCATTTGTTTAGATCTTCAAAAGTATGGTTTATCAAATTTTTTAAATTTTTAGGTCTGTTTTTGTTAGGTTGTTATCTGATGATTTTATATCCCTTGTATCATCTGCAAATAGAACAAGCTTTAAGTTTAAGTTAAAAGGCAGGTCGTTAATATAGTTTAAAAACAACAAAGGTCCCAATATAGAGCCCTGAGGTACACCACAATAGCTCATTTTCCATATTGAAAAGTTATAGACATTATCTTTAGCTTTTTAAAGGGAAAAAAGCAACTTGGCTTTGGAATGATTATTGACGAAGAAAAGAAGGATACACAACTAACTCACCTGAACGAAGAGTCCATTACAGTGCCATTACACAAAATAGCTCCAGAGCTGGCATTTTTCTGACATACACCACACGGATATTTAATAGGTTTGTAAGGTACCAAATTTTAAGGGGGGTAAAAACGTACTATGAATAAATAAATACCAGAACTTACCCGATTATAAACCACAATAGCCTACTCCGAGGCCTATGAGTTGGCCATAGCTTGGGCTATGGGCCAAAGAACGTAGGCCTATTTTTATTCACAGTGAAGTACACAAACACATCCACAACTACATATTTATTCATAATAGCACTTCGTGTCACATAATAAAGTTAAACCGGCCGATTTTACAGATATTTAAAGCCGCCGACGACATAACCCCAAACTGGTGTTTATTTGTTGAGAGACGACAGACGAAACTAGACCAGCTCAAGAAGTGAATTTGCGATCAGCTGTTGTCTAGTAGTACTTGAGTTCGCCGCTTGAGCGCGTAAGCCTCGAGCGGGCAGGAACGAAGGATTTTACTACAAGACACTCAAGACAGGATTATTCGTTCGTACGCCGTCTTCGAAGTAACTTCGTCGTTACAAGACTACTTACGCATTCCCGCCGATCGCCGATATTACGAAGGTTAGCTATTCTAATAGTTAGACCATTTCTACGTTTAACGCACGCATTCTCGTTTTACGACTATTTTCGTTCCAAAATTCGATATTAAATAACTAAATTTTAATAACTTAGTTTCCGCTAACTCGAGTCTCGACCCGCCAGTTCCTGCTTGCCAGTGACTAGCGGTGATTATCGTTTGGTTTGATTTAAACCAATTAGTTTCAAAATTACGATTTCTACGAATGATTATTACGTACGTTTATTCTAATTAGTTCGCCGTTTTAATGCCCCGAGACTTGTCGTCTGCGTTCTAAACCCCGTCTTTGGCGGGCGAGAGAACCTAGTCTTGGGAGTAGGCTGATTTGAACAATCAAACAGTCACGAATATTAATATTAAATCTATTTTAAATCATCCCACGATAAATTCTCCATTCGATTATATTAATTAGGCCCGACGACTCTGTAGGAATTGCTTTTTACCTTTTATTCGATATTATATTATTTACCAACGTCCTTAGCCAGATAGTTTACAGTTTAATACGAGTATTTATATCACATTGGCTTAAGATTGAATACTCGTCGGCCCTACAGAGTCATTCCAAAGGTTAGGCAAAATTTAACAAAACTATTTAACGAAGGTAAGGATGATATATAGCTCCAACTGAGCGTCTGCAGGATTTCCTGAACGTTTCCTTAGCTCTGAGCCTTCGATTAAATTTTAAATAAATTGATCAGTCAAAGCCGTGACAACTTCGTATCGACCCCTGGATTTTTCTCGGCTCCTTCTGAGCACTCCGGGGAAGAAATTTGAGTGTGGCCGGTTCTAGGGGTAGGCCTAGCCTGACTTGGTGAATACTAGTTTATTCCCCCCTTAGAATTTTGCGTCACAGGTTTTAAATTACTTTTACTCATTTTAATTTTACTAAAGAATAATACAATTTTTCACAGTTTGTATAATGATGAAAAACACTTTTTTAGATTTAAAGTAAATATGTGTCATGTAAACAAAAGGAAAGTGATTGTTCTATTTATAGCCCAATGTAAACAACAAGGGTTTATGTAGGTCTGCTGATAATTGATATTGTAGATAGTCAATAGGTAATTAATTGTCTTTAAGGTAAATGATATGAGGATAAAGTTACAACTCAAAGCTAGTACTATTTCATAATTTAGGATAAGTTTGAAAATGAATCAACTGATAACAGATAACGAACCAGTTTGTCCTAGGCCAAGGCGCTCATAGTCACATTGATTATCTTAATTTCAGTTGCTGAATAATCTTCTCTCACAGGAAAATATTTGTTCTAGTTCCATTATTATTAGTAGCTAATTTATGTGCATTGTGTTTAATCTTGCTTCAAAGTTAGTGTAAACGCAGGTAATATTTACAATAAATCTTGCCTTGCAGGTATAATTAAAATATAGAGAATATTTTAGTAAAATTATTGATAAAAACTAGAACTTATTTAATAACTTGAAAAAGAAACACTAAGATTTTTATTCATACATAACTTTGCACTAAAAAAACACTAATTTTGTTTAAAAGCTACTTTAAATGAGGACTAGAAAAACTCAGTGGTAGATCAACTTAACCTCCAAACACTTATGTCCAAACCATAAGTTCACATCGTAACTGGTGATGAGACGTGGGTTAAACAGGTTGATTGCAAAGTGAATTTACAGTCCATGGAGTGGGAGCACACAAGCTCCCCGAAAAAACCATGAAAATGTTTGCAAACATTGTCAGCAAGGAAGATTATGGCGACAGTTTTTTGGGACAGGCAAGGTGTGCTTATTATTGACTTTCTTGAACGTGGTGCAACAATAAACTGAGTGGTACTGTGAAACTTTGCGAGTACCAACCCCTAAACATACATATGGGTAAGGTTGCATGAAACAACCTTAGGAGAGCAGTTCAACACAAGCGCCGAGGGAAATTGACGTTGAAATTTTTGTTTATGCTTGACAACACCCGACCTCACATAGCAAACCGCACCAAAGAACTCCTTGACTCTTTCAAATGGGAGGTTTTTCCTCATCCACCCTATAGTCCTGACCTTGCACCAAGTGGTTTTCACTTGTTACCAAGAATGAAGACCTGGCTAGCAACACAGCGCTTCGACAACGACACGGAGCTCAAGGTGCGCGTCACTAAGTGGCTGAGATCCCAGGCGGCAGACTTCTATGATGAAGGAATTTCAAAGCTTGTACACCGGTACGATAAGTGTCTCAATTTGTTTGGCGACTTTGTAGAAAAGTAGTATTTTAGTTGCCCTTTTAGATGTATATAATATAAAAAAAGGATTGTACTTATTTTTTATTTTCTTTTTAAATGTTTCTTACTTTCTGAATAGCCCGTACTTACTCTTCCCCTCATGTTTATGCATATCTAATTATAGCTGTTCGTAACTGTTGTAGTTTTCTTTTTTTATGTGTATACTTAAAATCAAATATGGCAAAATTATTTATTTCATACTGTACTATTAACATTTTACAAAAGCAAAACTGAAGTATTCATTAAACTAAATCTTACTTAAAGAAGGAAATAAATCGTAAGAAAATAAATATTGAGTAAAAATCCAATTCTACAAATAGAAATTGATTTATTCTGCAGGTTTAACGTGAGTTTATGTATTTATTTATTTATGTTGTTTGATGTTGCAGTGGCTGTGACCTGAACAGTCCACGGAGAGCTGGTCCGGGGGGTAGAGGGGGGGAGGAGGCCCACGACCAACAAACTCCCCTCCACCTGTGCTGTCAGTGGGGGTTGGAGTCCGTCGTTCAAACTCTAGTAGAGCATGGGGCTGATATCAATGTTAAGGTATACTTAACAACATTAATGTTGTACCAAACTTTGACATCAGACTACTAAACTTGTTCAAGAACTTACTTATATGTGTTACAATGCTAATAAGAATATTTAGTTTGAAGATACAATATTTTTAGAAAATTTCTCATATAGGGATGAAGTTATTACCGTAGTTCTCATAGATTTGCTTTTCCGTTTTTAGGTCGCCAGAGACCAAAACACCATCTGTTCAAAATCATAGCACGATAACTTGAGATTTTTATCATCTGTAAAACATGTAAAACTACATTTATTCCGGACAAATTTGCCAACCAGCATGATTGCCAATTGGACTATGGAAACAGGGTTTTATGGAGTAAAAACTGGGTTTTCAGGCTTACAGAGAGATAAATTTAAAAAATAAGTTACATTATAGAAGAAAATAAATAGAAAGGCTGAAGACGAACGTACACGAATACATTCAAACGCCTTCAACCTGAGAGACGCAATAATTCCTACTTTTGGATATTGTGATCTTTGGAACTACTGATTCATATATTTTGAAACTTTGGATTCTCCTATGTCCAAAGTCCAAGCACAGTCTGTTTTATAAGTTCACTTCACATTGTAAAATTGTACTTCTGGTAATGACTGTACTTTTAGATCTTATGATCTTTGGTTCTAATTATATATTTTTTTTTATTGTGATCTGAAATATAAACTTTGGATTGGATCTTCTGATTTTGGATCTTGCGAAGATGATCCGTTGCCATTTCTTTTCAAACTATTTTGTAGAGCTAAACAAACCAAATAATTTAGCATGTCAAAGCGTTATTGTACTCCCTAATTGTTGTGGAGAAAATAAAAATAACAAATTAAAAATCCCTATGTTATTCTTATGAAGAATAAATAAAATGTTGTGGTTAGCTTGTTTGATCCTGTCCGTAAGAAACTCCCTAAACCATGACAAGATTAATACCCAAGCCCAGGTAAAGCTGAAAAATCACAAAGGTAATTTTAATTTTTAACCTGAGGACAAGATAAAATTCCAGATCTCGAAGCATAATGAAAAATTATTTTTACGAATCGTGACAGAAAATTTCCACAATAATCTCTTAACGTAAACCAAAAATGAAGTTTAAACAAAAGACAAATACATTAATTACTATTATTTAACCTTTCACTGAGGGACACAATTTTTTTAGGATGCAGAAGGCAAGACTCCTCTTCACGCAGCCATTCAGAACCAACACCCTTCCATTATCAGTTTGCTGTTGTGCCATCCGTTCCTAGACCTGACTGTACCTGACAAGAATGGGCTGACTCCGTTTGCCACAGCTCTTGTTTGTCGCAACAACAAAGCAGCTCAAGCCATGCGTGACAAGCTACCCACTGCGGCCGAACAGGTAATGTCAGCAGGATATACAACAGGTCACTGTTGTTAGTAGTTTTATCAGTATGGTAATATTATGCCATTTTTTTAAAGGACTAGTGTTATAACCTTATGAGAAAAGGCTTTGCAGGATCATGAAATGATTTTTTCCTACAGTCACCCGACAAAGTTGGCTTCCCTGTACTGTTTATAGTACAGAAAGCTGCTAATTGCTGCATATTTATACTTTGCCGCACGGTTTATACTTTGCCGCACATCAGGATTCCAACCAAACAACACAAAACAGCGTGGTTTTATTATGCACGTAATCCGTCTACGCTTGGAAATAGGTTGGCAACACTTAAAGATAATAATACTATGAACAGCTGATTGACTATTATAACTACGATTTAACCTGTCATTTCGTGTTTATAGTTTTGGTATTTCTGAACTTTCTGGACTTTTCTTTTAAACGTTTTTAAAACATTCCTACGGTCTTAATAAACAAGAAAATACTTTTAAAGCATTTTTTTTAGGCGTGGAAACCACTTCAAATTACAAAAACATACGGAACTATATTCTCAAAAGACGGAGCACATTTCTTGCCGAGGAAAAATAGCGGAGTGATACGGACCACGGGTACTACTTTCTCCAGGGCACCATTTGTGTAATTGTGTTGCTAGCTGAACCTAAAAACGTGTTGTATAGTGTTTGAAAGACTAATTATTTATGTTTTATAGTGACTGTAGGAAAAATATAATGTGTAACACAAGTGAAAAAGGCCTTTGCTGCACTCGAGATCATTCCGCACTTGCCTGCGGCTCGTGCGTAAACATTGCTCTCGTGTGCAGCAAAGTGCCACTTTCACCACTAGTTACACAAATAACTATTGTCCTAGTGACAAGCCATTATTTACATGCTTAAGAACAATAAACCAGTAAACCGTCATTAATCTGGATTAATTAAGAATCCAAGTTGGTTAGTTAATGAAAGTCCAGATAAAGTTAAATAAACCTTATATGGGGAAAACCGTGGTATCCTAGGGTTATTTGGTTACACCTTGCATACAATGAAATACTTTTTTATCGACAAGTTTTACAATCTTGACAACGGTTTTAAAAAACAGCTGTCCAGATTAAGCAAATGCTATATTTATTTATTTATTTATTTATTTATTCATTCCAACGGGAAACCCATTAAGCTGGGTTTTCCTAGGCGTGGAATTGGCGAGCGGAGAGAGAAAAGCGGAGAGCGGACTCCACTTGTCTTAGGCAATTTAATGTTACTGTTTTCCTAGAAGCGGAGCGGAATGCCATGTTAATTTCAATTCCGCTCTCCGCGTTCCTCTCTCCGCTCTCCGCTTCCGCGTCTAGGAAAACCCAGCTTTACATTGATGCATTACAAAAAAAAAAAAAAAAAAAAAACAATAATAATGAAGGCATGATGTGATACTACAAATATTCAACAACAACAGCAACAACGTATTATGCAATAATAACAACAAATAAATATTTCAAAATGACAACAATATAAATAATTTATTTTTGTACAACTAATGAATACTGAATTGCCAACTAAAAGATAATCTATACAATACTAAATTAACAACAAATAAATATAAAAGAGGCTATATAAAAGGGTCTAGATTAATAAGGGTTATATATATAATAAATTATGATCCAGCTTGAAAACCACAAACTAATTACAGTAGTTGATAGTTTGTGTCAGTCTTATCAATGATGATCAAATGTGATCAACCCAAAGCAGTGGTTTTCCATTGGCAAGTGTTGCTCAATGATCTACGTACTAAAATCTGTCAAAAGTCTTAAAAATCCTTCCAAAATATTTAATTCTGGACGACAACCACCAATTTTATCAGCAACCTTTTCTTAAAATTTTTCAGTTTAAAAAGTAGTGATCAAGACCACCACAATTTGTTTCTCTGAATTTTTTGTGCGTTTACAAATGAATTATCCTTTCTTGGGTTTCAGTTTGATACTAAAGGACGGAATTTTCTTCACATGGCAATCCAGAAGAATGACCTGGAGAGTGTGTTGTTCCTATTGAGCATTCAAGTTGACGTCAATTCCAGAGTGAGGGATGCCAGTCAGAGCTCACCACTACACTTGGCGGCTGAGGTGGGAAATGAGATAATGGTGCGCAGTCTGCTACTGGCCGGGGCCAGGGTGAGTGATGCAACTTTCATTCTGAGGTGTTGTCCTAACTCCATCTTTCTATAATTTTTTGTCCAAAGTGGCACAAGAAACAGGGAGTCTAGTAGTCGGGACAAACGGGAAAGTCGGGAATGAGTATTGAATTTTAAATTAGTCTTGAAAAGGCGGGATTTGGTCTTTATTTTGATATCAAAGTCAGGAATTTTCATGATTTTACCGCGATCGCGAAGACGACGATCACGTTTCCGTGACCACGAGAGGCGATGATGATATCTACACGGCCGCTGGAGATGTTCATGATTAAGCCGCAATCGTGCTAGACATTAATCACGTTTTTGTGACCGCAGGAAATGATCATGATTTTTCCGCAATCGCGCAAGATGCTGATGATGTGTACATGGGCACGGGAGATGTTGATTATTTTGTCGTGATCGTGCTAGACGACGATTACGTTTTTGTGACCACGGAGACAATGATGCTGTCTAGACAGCCATGGGAGTTCATAATATTGCTGCGATCGTTGACGACGGCGATGAGGTTTCCAAGACCACGGGAGACAACGCTGACGTTTCCGTGACCATGCATAAGAACAAAACAAAAAATAACACACAGTCATATCTCAAAGATACAACAAAAATATACAGTGAAATAACAATAAATTATTTCAAATCAATGCTGTTATTGTGTCCTCATCAAACATCCTAAAAATCAGACTTTTTTTTATCTATGTTACATACTTAACCTCTTTCTTTTTTTATGTTGGTTTCACTAATGTATTCACCAACAGTGGCGTCTATAGGAGCTCATGAGCACGTGAACCTCCAATGAAAAAGAGCACAAACAACAATGATAACACCTGTGTATAGTCAGTATATCATGGTCTATTAATTAGTAAGTTTTAACAAGAAACGCCAAACCTAGATAGATCGGCGTAACTGTAGCGCCTACAATATGAGTGCGGCAGTAAGCATAAACACTTGGAGCTGAGCTGCCGACTGCGCAGCTCCTGCCTTGCCATACAAATGGACGGGTCAATTTTGTGCCGGTGGAGGGGAGGTCGCTTCAATCTCTGCAAAGCTTATGGGGATCTCCTTGGAAGCAGCCCCGAGCACTCTCATTGGCTGATAGATGCACACGTGACATGTATTAGTCAATTGTAAACACTTCATTAGTTCACTGTGTCACTCAATACACTACCTCTGTTTCGAATACAGTTTCAGGGCTACAAAATGCTGAAATGTAACCAGAAGTGTTCACATTTTAGAATAATTATTATGATGTTCAGTTATATTAAATTTTAGGGTTTACAAAAGTATACTATAATCATGATTAAAAAATATTGCTTGCAAATTTATCATTGGATGAAAAAATTTTTTATCAAAGAGAGTAGTGTAGGCCAACTTCGAAACAATATTACACTGTGTAACTAAATGGTCACCATCCGCCACTGATCTCAGTAAGTCATCAATGATCTCACATAAAAACTAATTAATACCCTCTTCTGCTTGTTCTTTGAAATTGTTAGCGATATAATTGTTTGCGATAAATATAAGTCTAGTCCTACCATATAATCTTACCCTTACTTTTCCTTTATCGACCAAATCACTAGTAACTAAATTTATTGATAAAGATTATTAAAAAATCACCGGTCTGTGAATATTTCCTATGATTTGAAATTTTGGCTTTGTTGGGCTAACTAAAAGTGAAGTAGAAAATGTAATCAGTGTTGGAAATACAGAGCCATGTGGCTGTAGTTTGGTCCCTTATTAATTATACTAATTACTCTGTTTAGAATTTTTTTCTTGTTATTTCAGTAATTTAAAACCTCATTTAACCAAATAAAACGATATAATCATAAAATAAACAATAACTGGTCTCCTAGTTATATAACCAAATAGTAAAGCACAAATCAAATAACCCTAAAATAATAGAATCAAAATGTCGTCCACCCCAGCGATCAGTGTGGACGTACATGAACTAGACACGAAAAACAAGCTTAAAAATTTACAATGGGATGAGGAATCTACTTGTGTTGCTTAGTCTATGGTATAGAGGAGAAGGACACAGATATTCTTTTCAGCTTTTACTTACACAATATATGATTTAAGACGAAAGGACATTACCTAAATAATATTTTTATTATTATTATAAAAAATTGAAAATCTGGCTTCAATGGGTTGGGGATTATAAATGCTACATATAATACTTTCCTTTGAAAATGTATTCCATTTATTTTACTGAAACTCGGTAATCCTGAATGGTCCTGCCTACATTATCCGGTTAAGAGGATCTTACTGTAGGCCTACTTAATTGAGAAATAACTGTGTTTAAAATGCTATTGTTCCTTACGAAGACGAAGACTATTAAGTGGATTTTAATTGCAGCCAGATGATAGAGATGGACATCGCAGGACAGCTCTTCACGTAGCTGCTGAGGCAGGACATGCTTCTGTGGTGTCAGCACTTCTACAGAACGGAGCCGACTATGACGCCACGGACAGTGAGGGTAAGTATGCGTTTGGTGATGTGTGGTTACTTAGTTAATCAGGATGAGAGTGAAATTAACTCGTACCTGGTGAGAAAAGTATTAGCATTGACTTTCAGATACTGAAGTATTCAACTTTTTTGCGACAGAGAGAGGGTTAAAAAGGTTGTAGTGGATGAACAACTCACAGTGTGCAGTCTCAATGGTAGGCTTCATTTTATTGTTAGTACCGAAAGTCTTCTGATGTACCCATTTTTTTATGTGTGAGGAGAAGCCAAACACAGGAACACCAAATTTCAGGTACAAGCCGAGCATATGAGAGTTATTGTCACGTATGAGGTGAAGCCTAAGGTTGGGAATAATTTGAGCAAGTGCCAAAAAATCACTTTTAGTACAAGTTATGAACGATACTTTTCATCACAACACAAAAATACTCAAATACAAAATAACAGATCTCAGTATAATTAAAACTATTAAATTTCCTAACACTATTCTAATATATAATTCAATTCAATTCAAATATCTTTATTCATTTTTATGTACATTGTACAATAAATAGTGTCAAAATAATTACAATAAAAATAGTGTCAAAATAGTTCAACAGGATAAAAAACAGCAAAACATGAGGAATGGTTATAAAAACAACAAATACATTTTACAAATCTAGTAAGATAATTTATCATAGCGACTGAGGGAAGTGAAAAAAATCGTCAAATGAATAAATTGCTAAATTTATAAACCAAAGAAAAAAGGTTATAGCAAACCTACATAACTTAGAAGTTCAAGATTATGTGCATTGTGCACTAAACCACTAAACATGCACTACAAGCTACAACACAACAAAACTAGCCAATGCATATTTCAGTTCATATTTGTATTGTTAAATAGTAAAACATCTGATTTTAACAATTAAAACAAATACTGAGCCTACGCATGTAGTGGGCAAATGAAGAACTGATTGAGAGGAAGGGAAAGTAAATTTAAAGCAAGGGAAAAATTATCAGTTCATTTTTCAATTGATTTTATTTGAATATAATCAAAAAATAAAAAATTACAAAATTATTACATGCTATGCTGCAAAATCCAAAATCTATGATTAATATACCATATTGTGTGTGGAACAGGGGACAATGCATTGCATGTAGCAGTGAGAGAAGGCCACCTAGCTGTTGTTAGAGCTCTCCTGACAGAGTCCCGTCTGGACGCTGAAGCTGTGAATCTGAAGGGTCGTAACCCACTACACACTCTGGCACGGTTCGCCAAGGACAATGCAGCAACTATCTGCGAACTCTTCCTCGAGTGCATGCCAGAATATCCCCTGGATAAACCAGATCTGGAGGGAAATACAGGTAATGTCTAACATTTTATTATGTAAGAGCGTTTCGCAGGTAGAATTTGTCTACCTGCTACGACAAATGTATTTAAATAACCAATATAAATTTTTTTTTACAGAATAGTCTATACTGTATATGGCTCCAGTCCCATAAGTTTGCCTGTTCCTTTTATATTTACAAGCTTATCTAATTTTTTAGAGGTTATAAAAGCTACTATTTTGGCATGTTTTTCATTTTAGCGAATATCCCATATAGGGAATAATCTATTACCGTAGCACTCATAGTAAGACCTGGACTCAGGACTTTTTACTTTTTCCTTTTGAAGTCTCTAGAGGCCAAAAACACCATCCGTTCAAATTCATATATATCTGTGACGTGTGTCCATTAGCACGATAACTCAAGCAAAAATGATCAGATTTTTATGAAGTTTGGTATAAACGTATAAACCTACGTTTAGTCGAATGAGTTTGCGAACCAGCATGATCGGAATATGGGAACATGGGTTTATGGGAAGTTTTACGCGGTAAAAATAGGGTTTTCCCATTTTTGACCCTAAAAACCATTTTCATGAATAGTCAATCACATAAACTCTTATGATGTTTCAAGCCATTAATTAATTGCGACTGGCCGAATTTGGTGAGATATATTTGAAAATGAATCTTATACACAACTTGTCAGATGCAGAGAATTTAATCAAACATTAGACTTGTACATGAGTCATTCTTAAACACCAGATGAATGATACATAGGATGTGCTAAATGATGTTCTTGTCCACAGTTAGATTCATCAATAATAATCTTTCTGTTTGATTCAGCTCTCATCCTTGCGTACACCAAAGGCAATGGTAACCTCTGTAGGACCTTGGTAAAGGCAGGGGCCTGTGTTGGGGCGATGAACAAGGATGGAATTACTATCTTCAACTACCAAGTGGCTTCCAACTCAAAGACTTTACTCAAAAGGTAATTATAGTTTGATTGTGTCTGACTATCAAAACCGATTTAAATGCAATGCTATTGGAGGTAATTGTGTTCCAAAATATTTGATAGCAGGGGTGTATGATTGTATAATAATGAGTTTAACGGCTGTACCATGATGTTTTATATTCATGTCCTAATTTGGAAATTGTTATACTATGATGGAAATGTCACATGACTCGATATTTTAGTGCTGCTGCCTGTCAAAGTTTTGCAAATTGCCGCTTCATGGCTGCATCACCCATGTTAATGTACTGTGCTGCTGGATATATTGAGTTATGATGGGTTTTTTAGTGCTATAGTCAGAATTGTTATTTAGGAAGACTTACATTCATCGATGTATTTCAACCTTTAAAATATGGTTCAGTAAATATTTACCAACCCAGTTTAAAGTAATGTTGAAATACGCAATATCATCTATTTAAATGAAGTATATTGTTTGTTATTTATTTCTTTAAAAAAATTACTTAGCTGAAGATTTCTGTGGCTCCAAAACCCACCTCTCTCAGGCCAAGTATATTCCTGGCACTATATTTGTATATTTATTTATGTCTTTTGACTAAGATTTTATTTTTTATCCAGACTACTAGACAATCTATCACAAGAACCTCCGTGGGTAGAAGGCGACATTTGTCTGGAATGCGGAACCAAGTTCGGACTTACCATGAGGAAACACCATTGGTATGACTGTTTAACAATTATTAACAAAAATTAAATCGGAAGGAACGTAGTGATTATTAATTGTTTAAAAAGTTAAGATAAACATAATTAGTCATAGTTATAACACTCGTTTTCAAACTCAAATTGATAGACACAATCTAGAATTTTATAAAAAGAAAACAAAATTATCATTAGGTAATGATAGGTAGCTTCAATACAAAACTCATGATACAAAACATCTGATATCTGTTGACCGTTATTGCGTTAGTCACTGGGATCGCGGAACGACACAACTATAATTACATTACGGGATGGTGTAATAACGCATCAATTCGTGCGGCGCATCTTCAAAAACTATAAAACGTCCTTAGCCTTTTTTCTGGGGTAGCAGATTTTTATCCCCCTGGAATTTTACCCCCTGGGCAAACGTGACGTCACAAACCAGGGGGTAAAATTCCGGCCGCGAACTTTTGAGTTTCGCGACATCAGCTCGATGGATTAAACGCGGAATTAAATATATATTTTCACGGTTGTGAATTTAATCAGAACACATCAAATTATAAAAACCTAGAGTGTACGGCCCGGATTTTTACCCCTTTGGATTTTTACCCCCGGAATTTTACCCCCCGGATTTTTACCCCCGGAATTTTACCCCCCGGATTTTTACCCCGGAATTTTACCCCCTGGCCAGATATATAACTTAGTGAGAATGATTAATTAGCTTCTTTCTGTTTTAATTTAATAGTAAACATTTTATTATTAAGTAGCCTATCTTAATTTATTTGTAACATCAACTAATTGAACAGGTTTTTGATTTTAATTTTGAGATTCGAGTATCAGGATTCGATCTTTAAAGCCAACTGTTGATTAATATGACGTATAAACAAACATCAGAATAGTAATTGATTCGAAGATTTCTTTAACCATTTATTATACAACCGTGGTAAAACAATGTTTTTGGTTTGTATTGTAACAATAACAAAATATGCTACGAAGAAATGTTCACCCAATTATCATTTAAATGAGCTACTCAGTTTATTTTACATACTTATTAACGAACAGTTGGCCCCAAACGCAAATCCCGAACATAAAAATTTAACAGCGAATTCTGTTCACTTAGTTGAGATTACAAAATAAATGAATAAAGATATAGGCTACTAAATAATGAAATGTTTACAATTAATTAAAAACAGAAATAAGAAAACCAATAATTCAATTTCTGAAATCGGCCAGGGGGTAAAATTCCGGGGGGTAAAAATCCGGGGGTAAAAATCCGGGGGTAAAAATCCGGCCCGTACATCTTCACTTGTCTAAATGCTAGTTATATGGACAGGGGGTAAAATTCCGGTTTTTATCGCTAATCTAATTAATCACGCTCTGGCTATTTTCATTAGACTTCCAAATCCGCGGGGGTAAAATTCCGGCCACGATCAAACTTTTGGCCACTCAGGTTACTACGTCATAGTGACGTCAGCTTTGCCCAGGGGGTAAAATTCCAGGGGGATAAAATTCCGGCGACCCTTTTTTTCTTTAGACTTTTAGTTCAATATCAGTGTATAATGTGTTGCTGTTAAATACTTAATGATTTGAACAGTCGTAATTATCCCTTTAGTTAGTAATACATCATACGATCCAAATGTATTATATAAACAAAATAAGTTTTGAATTTTTTAATGAAAAATGAATTTTCCTAGAACAGAGCCTGGCATGGATATTGTTTTTGCCTAAAACTAAGACATTTCTATTTCTAACAATTTGGAGGAAATTGTAGGAGGCGTTTTTTAAATCATTGTGTGCAAACTTTACTCATATTATAGTATAGATTAGTTACCAAGATGTTTCATTATTTCATTACAGTACATACGAAATCCTTTACAAAAACTGCCCAACAAACATCTGACTCGTACAAAAACTAACTTTATTTTCTATCAGTTAGTTTTTCAACTAACTAATAACTTTTATCAGTTACTTTTTACGGGACTAACTAATAACTTCCAACTAGTTAGAATTTTTGACTAACTTTCCCAACTATGGTACAGTACCTGTAATTTTACAATTTATGTTGTTCAAAGGTTTAAACAAAGAATTTACAATTTATATTCTCTATTTTACTTATAATGTTATCAATAGCACTCTGTGAATTTAAATCTATCCTTGTTGGATGAGTAAATAAATATAAGTTAAAATAAAAAGTAATCAAATATATGTTTCAGTCGACACTGTGGCAGACTTCTCTGTAGCAAGTGTTCTTCCCAAGAAGTTGCAATCATGAAGTTCAACCTTCATAAAGCTGTAAGAGTCTGCACTGTCTGTTTTGACCTCTTGAACGTCGGAGTTTCGTAGTACCTACAAAACCTCCAAACATACCAAATGACTGTGCATTTTAATCTATATTCCTTATTTGAATGAATTCATATTTTTCATATTTATATAATCGTTACAATATTTTTTGTACTGCACGAAACAGCACGCTGTGTTTCGGTGTGAAGTGATACATTATTATGTAAAATACCTAGAGTAAGAATTAATTTTTCTAAATATTCCTGATTGTTTTTATATTTTGTTTTTAATATAGTTCTGTAAGCTTGCCCTTTGCGGATCAAAGACAGGGGATGTGGCTCTAAGACACTGACCTGTGTTTGCTAATTGTGCTTTAAAGAGATGCTAGAATGTGTATGAATGCTTCTGATGAGTTTCTATAACCAAAGTTTCCATAAATGTATGGTTTATTGCATGTGGAATCGTACATAAAATAGCTTTATTAAAAATTGGGTTTACTTATTCCTTGTAACCTCAGCCCTTAGGTGCTGTACACGGAGAGTTGAGCTCCCGCAAAGGGTTAAAGTATTGTTCATTTATTTGTTAACTGCATTTCATGAGCTATTTTGTATTTAGTTTAAAATAATGTTTAGCAATGATATAATTAATTCCTATGTATGTTTTGTTAAATTCAATAAAATATGTTATAGTTACCTATGAGTTTTTATTATATTGCTTATCTGCGTACCATTTAGTTATCTATGAAAAAAAACTATTTCTCTTCTCAGCATTAAAACTTGCCAAATCTAGGAACCGACTGTAAATGTTTGAGTGAAACATGCACTGTACAAATTGCTTCATTTTAGGCTGCGGCCACACGGGCGTTTTTTTTTTCACGCACAAACGCAGCGTGAAAACACGCGAAAAATTAGAGTAGCATTGAAACAAATAGGCGCCCGCTACTGCGGGAAAACACACTGTGTGTGGCATACCACATTACATTTAATGCTGCTCATATTTCTTGCGTTTTTTCACGCTGCGTTCTTGCGTGAAAAAACGCCCGTGTGGCCGTAGCCTTAATGTTTAAAAATCTGATGTTACACACCCAGGGACATCTTCCATTTCATTTCATCCTGTAATTGATATGGCAGCAGGAGACATGAGTTGTATCTTTTCTACATAATATACCTTAATAAATTAGCATAAAACCATGGTTTTCCATGTGTAGTTACTTTTTATCAGACCTTGTTTTTGAAAGCTTTTTTAAATCATTAACGATCAAAACGAGCTTAAGACATTACTTTAATGCTTGGAACATTTCATTACGCTGATGAATATATTGGGCTCAATTGGCACTCTCATTAATGGATCAGGATTATTTGAAATTCTTGAGGAAATCTATAGATCGAATACTGTGGTACATGTGATGACTGGAAAAGCTATTTCTAAGGCGATGAGAGGACATAGGATTGTAGATGCACCCCTCAGTACCTTAATAGTATCAGAGGACAATCATACCCCTTCAACCCCCCCCCCCCCACAATAAAAACTCCCTTAATCTAGTTTTCTATGGAATTCCTGGTATTTTGAAGTGTTTTTTTTCTTTTAATTAATTTATGGAGTTTTAATTCTCTTGATTTTGAAGGAAAATCTTGACCGAGGTAATAACCCTCCCCCCTCAACGAATAATTGGAACCCCCGGCAGTTCTTGAACCACTGTCTTTCATCGTTGTAAGTACTTGAAATCTTTCACAGTTACGAGTCTTTGTTTTATGAGATTTTGATGGTCAGGATGTAAATCTAAATCATTCTACAAAACCTTCTAGAGTGTTTTCCAAAAATTGCACCTCTTCCTGTAATATAACTACTATAATACTGTAACTATAATCTACCATTGACGACTAACAGCTAGGGGGCCTGGGGCAGAGATTGACATAATTCCGGTTCAAAAAGGACCGCAAGAGTTCAAATTCAAGTTCAATTCCAACTCTTTATTATTTGTTTTCTCCCTAGGGTCAGGGCCACTGTTTAATGGTGAAAATAATGGCTCTGAATGTTAAAGCAACTGTTGATCACAACAAAAGTATATTTTATAAAATTAATAAACTGCGGAATACTTGATAATTTGTAAATGTCACTTAATATTTTCTTGTTTTCCCAGAAGTGTATTCTTAGTAGAATAACAACTAATTTGTGGCGTCTTGTGGACTTATGATGGCAACAATACTGTTAAAAATGGCAAATACAGATTGAACTGTGATTTTTACTAATCTTGCTGAATATTGGTATGACGTATTGGTTATGCTCCATATGCTACTGCTGTGACACAGTTAGATTTCAGTATTTAATTTGATAATGAAAAGCACAGCTTTTAGATTTAATATATGCATTCCTGAATTGTTGATTAACACCAGGTTCAAATGTCACTCTGACACTAAAAGGACATTGAATAACATTAAGGAAAAGGTGGGGCAAGTAGAAATTTACAAACACAAAAATGTCAACTGTCGTTTAGTTCTTTTAATAGGCAGGTATAAATAACTGAATAAACAACTATTCAAAACTATTCATTTAAATACAATGTGTCATTGAAATCTATATTTATATTTTAGATATAGAATAAATTACACTTTACATTTACATATCATTTTGAAAATACAAAACATCAGATATGTTACAATAAAACCAAGTGAAAATACACACAGCTTTTTTATACAAAAAATAAATCTCAACAACGACTTAGGTGAAGTGTAAGAGATGAAATGACCGTATTGAACAAACCAGGTGTAAGCAGCACACACTATTAACCGATGTTATGTGAATTAAAGTTGAATTTTGAACAAAAGATTGGAATGGAAAAAAATTGTCCAACCACTGCAGACTTTATTTACTGAAATCCATTCCAATTTATATAAGAATGATAAATTATCTATGACATTTTGTGAGTGAACTATTTTTTTTTAGGAGAATAAAAAAAACTTGTAACCAAAGCCATATTAAATTAATACTAATGCAATACATATAGTATATACAGTTGAAGTTTGATTCTCTCCTCAAACAAATTTAAATCAACCCAAGATAAACTTACAAAACAATTAATTTTATGTGCATATCATAGCTAGTAAATGTTAAAAATACCCCCGCCGCAGCAAACCTGCAGACTAAGCGAATTTCCATTTGCCTGATTTAATGTTTAGTTAATTCTATTTCAATAACATTAGGTTTAACGAGTACCTAGGTTTGCTGCTATAGGGAAGGTAGTACAGTGTGTTTGTTAAGTAAAACATTAATAGCTTAGTAAAAAATAAATATATTTGGGAAGTTTGATAAAAATATATCCATTATGCAAACTACAACAGTTAACTTAATAACATGGGAATTTTAAATTTTCAATTTTTTGAGATTTCTAGTTTCCAATAACAGTACAAAAACACTTTAATGTACTAAATTATTTGTTTTTTAAGCTCTTCAAAATGGTCTAGAGAGGAATTGATAAATTTTATGTTTTGAGGGTAAAAAACAAGAAAAACCAATTTTAATACATATATATACATATATATTATATATATACAATTTGTTATATATACATGTATAAAAATTTGAACAAATCGTGTTTTTTGCCTCTAGAGACATCAAAATGAAAAAGTATATGGATGCCGGTCTCACTGTGCCACCTACGGTAATAGCTATACTTCCCTATAGGGAAATTTGCTAAAATGGGGGTGTTCAAATAATTTACAGGCCATGATATTTTTTTATCTTTAAAGTATTATTTTAACTATCTAAGATAATATAATTGCAGCTCCCTTCTCATAAAGGAGATGTTTGAAGAAACCCTTCCACAATACACTTTTAAACTTGTATTTTAAAACTAAAATGTTAAAGATTTTGTCGGTTCAAAACATCACAATCAAAATCATTTCATCTCAATCACATTCACAAGATGTATTTTGTTTTTAAAGCCGATTTCATACTACATTTTTTTTTCCAATTAGTGTAGAGAGAATTAAGTGTCGGTAATCAATAGATTCAATACCCCGTTGTGAAATGAATCGGTGGACAGTAGAAATGAAATTATGTATATCATGGTATAAAATAAAATACTACAATAACGACATAATGCTATAAATACCAGTCTATGAAAAAAATAATTTATTATGCTAATAATAACAAAAAAGAACACTGGAACACAACAAAACTTGTAACATAAAGTAACATAAAATTTATCAAGTAAGCTTCTGAGAAAAAACTAAAGCTTGAGGAGTGAAAACTGACTTCAGTCCAAATTAAAAACTTCTGTTCAGAGGTCACACATTTGCAAGGTTGTAGAGCTTCTCCCATCACAATCATTGCAGTAAACATAAAAAACTGTAATAATACAATCAAGTGAAAACTCTTGAAACAGCCAAATTTTACAATTACTTGCCATTGATACATTATGATAATTAATTGCATATAGTCTAACCAAATATACAAAATATTTTATCAGTAATATCCAAATACAATTGTTTAATCAGTGTAATTGAAGTAAGCTGACATTAATAATACTTTATCACAAAAACAAAACCAACACCCAATTAGTATCATTTCATGACTGATGCAAAACTGGATAGCTTTAAGCATAACTTAATTTAATAAAACCTTCAATCTCAGTTTTAACAATTGTACAGATAATCGTAAGTACATTTAAAAAAAACATAACCCTAAACATAGAATAAAATATGAACTCAGCAACAACATTTTATCAACTCAAATAACATTGATTATTGTTAAAACCTGAAAAGTAATAAACAAATAAAAAAATATATAAAAAATAAATTAAGTGTTTTCCAGCCTAGGTTTTGGTAGTCCTTCTTATGGCACATTCTTATGGAATTTATGTTAATATTATGTATATTATTATGATACTTCTTTATTATTTATTTCATTATGATACCGGTAGGGGTCTGCACAAAAAATGTCGGTACGGTACGGTTCTAGCATGATAACCGCTATCCCGCAGAGCATTTTACCCGGTAGGATTTTGGTTTGGTACATCCTATAAAAATAATTATCAATTACTTTCAATTCATTAACGTAGTCAAAAAGTATTTTTCCTCAAGTCAAATAGTAAATCTAACGAAACATGCCAGATTGCACAATAGATTTTTGTAGCAGAGCGATGAAAGCAAGAGTTTTTTGAATGGATTATCTAAGGAATATTAAATATAAATACATTCACAGTATTATTATGTGTGTCGTTTCATTATATTACCTTGTTCCCTTTTTGTTATTTTAGCTTATATTTTATGTGAATTAAATCATCGTCACACATTATTAGACAACCCATAAATGTAATATGAAACAGGGGCACGACCAATTTGTTAATTGCAAAACATGCAGTACCCTAGCAGCCGACAAAGTCAGCTATGAGGTTAGAATTGCACTTCACAGTCTTTAGCATGGATTAAACATACTCCTCAGGAAGGAGAGTCCCATTTGTCATAATCCCATCTGTTATAATTCTTTTTACATGGCATAACAGCATATTAAGTTCATATGTAAACTCATTTGCGAGAATACTACTTTTAATAACTTACTATAAGTTAGTAACCGGAACACATTGTAGAAATTGTGGAACATTTTCAATTGATATTATTTAATATTTTTAGACATTTAAATTAATCACCCAGTTATTGTACTGGTTGGAAAAAAGTTACAAGTTGTGTAAAATTAAATTGATTCTTTAAACATGTGTATTCCTAAAAATTCTGAAACCAATATTAAAACCACTTTATCATGGCTATGACTTATCTTAGTAGTAAAATGGGCAGTAGTAAAGTAAAGCCTTTATCTTAACTGTGTTTTTTTCTTGCCACAATCCTGTTATGAGTCAAGGGTTTAAATAATTACCTTGTACTGTAATTGTTAGGAAACCATATTGTAAGATACTATCCATTTTCATTGTAATGTGAATGTATTAAAGTTCAAAATGGTTTAAATACAATCCTGAAAAGAAAACGGCAAAAATACTCGTAGCCGCATACCGTTTTTGTAGCGAGAACCAAGATACAAAATAAAAAATACCGTACCGACCTTAAATTTTCTGTACCATAGACCCCTAGATACCAGCTCACGAATTTGATTACAATCTATTATTATGTATTTCATTATGATACGTTCTTTCGAATTTCATTACAATCCGTTATTATGTATTTCATTACAATCTGTTATTATGTATTTCATTACAATCTGTTATTATGTATTTCATGACAATCTGTTATTATGTATTTCATTACAACCCATTATTATGTATTTCATTACAACCCATTATTATGTGTTTCATTATGATACGTTCTTACAAATTTCATTACAATCGGTTATTATGTATTTCATTATGATAGGAATTTCATTACAACCCATTATTATGTGTTTCATTATGATACGTTCTTACATATTTCATTACAATCTATTATTATGTATTTCTTTATTATAATATGTTATTCTTTTCTTTGCTTTATCTGCCTACTGATAAAACTCTAGTTGTACCTTTATGTAGTGGCTTGAGAGAGCAATATACTTGAGTAAAATAATCACAAATTTTATTTTTAAAACCCCATTCCCTTTATTTATACAATTCCTCATATTTTCTGAACAGAACACATGGAAACATTTTGCACCATACCCTATTCCTAAGATGACTAAAAATTTGAAATTCAAACATTTCTTTTATCCAGAAAGAGTGCTCAAATTAATATGAATCATTCTACTGTAACAGTTCATTCAGCCCATTAAATTTCCACTCATCAAGCCACCACTGTAGAACCAAAACTTTCAAACCAGTAAAAATAGTAAAAGGTATACATATTAACTTACGTGATTCCAGTAGTTAAATTTTTCGATCCAAGTCTTTTTCTGTCCATTGGGAAATTAAGCAGAGATAACATAAAAAAACAAACAAAAGTAAATATTGGCCTTGTGAAACTGATCCTCCCAGTTTGCTTTCCACTTAACACTTTGAGATTGTTTTCATTTTAACTTACAAACAACTTTAACAAGAGATTTATACAGCATATTATGATCCAAGAATTCTGACACCAACTAAACTACCTTTCCAACAGTGTACCAGCATATGCAGCAAGTCCATCGATCATTAAAACTAAACCACTTCCTGTGTAACAACTTTGAACTAACTGTTTTGTACAAAATGTTCAACCTGAAACAAAACCTTTTTTGACAAATACATTGATTATAAAGGGAATAAAAGAATGAAGTTTTACACTGAGATAAGATTATGTTCTTCAGACTGTCAGATTATTTTACATGATGCAAAATTAATTTCTTTATTATATACATAGTTTTTTTTATTTAGCAAGAATAAGTGATTACAAAATAACTTTCAACAACGGAACAAAACAACAGAATTTCAGTAAGGCAATCTCAATCTCTACCCAGTTCAGTTAACATGACAATGATTTAGGGCAAAAGTTCACCAACATTACAAATAGTATTTACCAAGAGTCAAAACAATTGGTTTATTATCATCCATAACGAGTTGCTTAGTTTGTTAATGAATACACTTAAGTAAGTTTGCACTAAGCCAATTTATTGTTCAACAATACAACTCACTGAAAATCTGTAATTTCTGTGTGTAGCAGTGAATTTCAATAGGAATATGCTTATAATCAGGCCTTTGGTGAAATTATGCCATGAATTTAAACAAAATCAAGAATAATATCTTAATATTGGAATATAATCATTATCTCAGTGAAACTCTAATGTATAATATTCATTATGTTTAACAAATTATTCGTTTATAGTTGTTGCTTTCTCAAGTTGCTTGATTGCCTCTATTATGTGTTGTATAAAAAATTTTTAACTTTTTAAATTATAATTATTTATTATTATATTATAATAAATAATCTTTTATATAAAACAAAAGTGATCGAATGTGCAAAACGTACATTGTTGAAACTTGAGTGAGTATTGATTTTTAGAGGTGTGCGAACATCCAAAAAATTGGGTTGGATCCGGTTCAAATTTGGTAACCGACACCATCCATTAGATATTCAACTTTTTCAAATAGACTATGTATTTTGATATTTTGTACAGAAAAAAATCTTCTTAACCCACATTAATTTAATTACCCAGGACAAAATTACAGCATAACGTTTCCAACAACCTAACAGCGGTCGACGAGTTGTCTATCTAAACAAGTATCAAAACATTCATATGCACTGTGAAAAATAATTGAATAAAAAATAAAACTGTATTAACAATTGATATACTAATGTAACATGCAGTACTGCAATCTGATGAATCAAAAACAAGACGGTTACTTTAAATACACCATCGACACATTAGACACATGACAAAGGGCAGTGAAGTTAAATATTAACATTCAAAGTAACACCAAACATTAAATTTAACCTTGTATTTAATATTTCTTTTTTGAGTTTTACTTTTGCCAAGCCTAAAATATTCGGGAGCTCAAAGAAGAAGCTGTATGATGCAATACTGATATCTCATGTAGTTTTTTTATCAGCTGTTTACGATTCGATTGATCTGGATCAAACAGAAATAAAGCAGAAAATAACTACCCCAGGTCAAATAAAAGTCAATTGAATTAAACCGAAATTTCACTATCCGCACACCTCTATTCATTTTTATTTTAAAATAATATAATTATAAAATATAAATCAATGTTTTAAACGAACTAAAGGCCAGTTAGAACGCAAAGGCAAATATAAATTCATAATTTACAATTCGTACTACGAGGTTGACTATGTACTGAAAATTGCGATCCGAGACTTTCCAGTACTCGACGTATAAATAAATAATGTACAGTCGATTAATTACTATTAACATTATCGATAATAAAGATATATATACCGTATATATATATATCCAAAATATACCAATTTATAATGAACCCTCACAGTTACAATCGGTAATAAAAATTTCTTTGGAGACCCGAAATACGAAAATACTTAACTTTCTACAAGACATGAGTGTTGGTGTCTGGCATCGCACTCTAAGCAACACTGAAATAGTTTGTGTTTATGTTTGTGCACTGTACCGATGCCACCTGCACTGGAATGTGTTCCTACACTAGAAAGTCAGGGTCACTGTAATCATTGTCACTTTCGTCTTCCGAACTTCTCAGCTTGGACTTCTTCCTCTTGTGGTGGTGTTTTTTGTGTCGTTCAGTCTTGCGGGTCTTGTGGGAACGATGATGGTGAACGTGTTTTCCATCCGGTGGTTTTGGCGGGACAATTGTCAGCTTGGGGACTCTCGGGGGCGGGGTGGCTTCCTGTGACAAAACCAACAGTAAAGTAATAGAAATATGCAAAGAGATATACTAATTAGACATGTGCGATGCATCAAAAATGAATTGTGATTCTGATTTGGTTGGTAATCAAAAACACAATTGGATTCATGGGGGAAGAGGCCGATTATAAGGCATACACTGAGATATTGCATAGCTATGCTATATCAGTTATTTATATCAAAGTACATTAAATAATTAATTAGATTCTGAGATATGATTAGTCATATTAACATCTGGGGATAAATTATCAATGTATTTGTTCTTTACCCCAAAGAAACAAGTTAGTACATGGGAAATGCCTCCTCTTATTCCTTTGTCGATAAGCATAAATTCCTCATAATAATTCTTTGAATCCAATTGTTGCATCAAATAAAAAAATGTTTGCTGCTTCGCATACCCCTAATACATGTCAATGAGACATACGTGTTAAAACAACAATGGTATAAGGACACTCGAACAGCAAAAAAATCATAGCCTTACTGGTAAAAAATGGTTGTGTTAAAAACTTTGGAATTTTCATCCTAGAACAATATCTTCAAATGACAATGTCTTTTAACGTTATGAAATAACATCCATACAATGCACATAGATGTTTCACAATCAAAATACTCATCTTTTGATAAATTATAACATAAACTACATCAAATAAAAATACACAAACTACTAAGATGAAGTAACTTACCGCTGGTGGCGGGTGAGGAGTTTGTTCTGAGACCCGGTCATCAGTAGCAGAAGTCCGGGTGTCGTGGGTGTGTCCCGGCGTCCCGTGGTCCGATACCTGCGATGTCCGCGTCGTGTGTCCTCCCTTGGCCGGAGTTTGAGGAGTTCCTCCTTCCTCCTCATCATCCTCATCAGGATCAAGATTCATGATGAGTTGCTTGAACTAGAACAAACACACAACCTCTTGAAAATGGAAACTGTTATAAGTTTAATTGATTAATTCTAAATGTACACGACTATGCAGTTTCAGGGTGTCCACAGAAATTTTGTCATCAATTTCCCTGACTTTCCATGACTATCCATGACCATTAACCATTGATTTCCATGACTCACGAACTTAACTAAAAAATTATAATATACCGTACACACACGAATAATACTGCCTATACAAGTTAATTTACAGAAAATATTGAAATATGTATTAACAGATAACAATGGAGTACAATAGGTACAACAATGAACTAATACAAACTCAAAACCCATAAACTAAGACAACTGTATAAATTGAAATTGTCGTACATTTGTGAAAAATTCTGAAAAATGCTACAATAGTCACGGTTACGGCCGACTAGAGCATTGAAAGGTCCCCTGAAATCCATCCATCATTGGGGATTTCCATGACTTTCCATGACTTTTTGCCTATTTCCATGACTTTCAATGACCATAATTTTTTTCCATGACTTTCCATGACTATCCCTGACTTTCCAGAATGTGGACACCCTGAGTTTTCATTTTATACTAAGCTATGGAAATGTAATATAGATTGTACTGTTGCATCTAATCTGTGAACTATTTGTCAATTTATCTAAATCAGGCTTAAAAATGTTTATAAGTAATGCCTCGTTTGTTAAATGTTAATGTTTTTGCTTTAAAAAAAAATGGTGTGTCACTATATTTATGAAGAGGCCTTTGGTCACCTACGTTCTTTTGTTGTTCAAATCAGATGCCTCTCATGCAGCTGAAAAAGAAGTTGATTTTGCTGCATCCAGTATTATATTTCATTGCTGCTACATTAAATTTGTATTTAAAGTAATAGTTCTATATTTTAATGATACTATCATAATTATTTTACACTCTTTGTGATCAAGAACTGTAATGTGATTGTGTATACAAAATAAATAAACAAAATATATTATACAATTCTAATTCTAATCCTTAAGTTTGCTATTATGTAAATAAATTTGGAAAAAATAACAAATTAATTGTCAAAGCTAAGTTCAGTTTATGAGTTTGACTTATATTGAGAGTATTGAGAAAATGTTCATTCTATTTACCTCTCATCTGTCAGTAAGGTAATGATTAGTTGTACATTTTTTGTTCACACAAACTCAAGTTTGCGTTATCTGAAAATGTTTTGCATAGTTTTACTTGTGAGTGGAGCACAATGTGGCTAGTTTTATAATATCTCTTTCTCCAAATTTACCTCCAAATACTCCTGAATCAAAGCCCTCTTTGCAGGTTCGTCGAGGTTAGATGACGGAACTCCTTGTTTTATTTTCTGAAGAGTTGCTTTAGGGTTGAATTTAGAGTTGCTCTTCCGGTTAACAGCTTTCTCGTAGACTTTGGCAGTTTCTGATGGTGAGTACTGTGTTATTTTGCTGTAAAAGAATGTTGAATTATAACTTGGGAATTTCAAGCATTGAAACAGGTCATTAGAGCCATTGAGTCATTATTGTAAGATACAACACCTAAATTTTTTCTGAGACAAATTTTATTGACACGATAATAGATGGGATGGAGGGTTTTGATCCGAAAAATCTATTTGAAGCAAAATTAGGCCTATGAGTCTGCAGGCCAGATTTGTTTATATTCAAGTAGGATCAACTAAGAAAACCTTTGGGTTTGGGACAAATAAATCAGGTTGCTTTGGAAACAATTGATTATTAAAAATATTAATTGCTATAGGCCAACTACAATCGGTTTATACAATATTGTACACCATCTCCTAACGTATTCCATCACCTGTGTCTTCTACTGTCACGGAGAAAGTGTCTGCTTACGAATCAGAGATCCAAGACTTCGTTTAGATGTTGAATGAAAAAAATTTGTTTAGTTTCTCAACAACTTTACAACGGCGATGAAACAAGATTAAATTGGCAGCAGCTTCTGACACAAACCTTTATTAGTGAAGAAGAAAAAAGTTTCTGGTAGGAAATTACAAAAGATTGAATCACTCTCATGGTGTGTGCTAATGCTTTAAGTGTTAAAACTACTCGTAGGCAGTTAAAAAATGTGCATTTAAGAATGTTAAGATTTAATCCCTGCCAGTAAAATACAAGTCACAAAACCGTGCATGGGTCACAAAAGAAATTTTTTATGACTGGTACCTAAGAGCTTTGTTCCAAAAGTTAAGGCTGAACTTAAGAAGAAAAAATTACCCGCAAAAGCTCTTCTTATACTAGACAATGCACCAGGACATCCTGATATGAATGAATTGATAGTTGAAACTGGTGATGAAACTGGTAAACTACGAATAATCCGGACAATCGAGAATCGAGCAAATACAGTACTGTATATAGCATTTTTTTCAATTTTATCCCAGGTCCACAATATTGATAGCCGGGCAAATGCAGTTCCACCGGTAATAATTTTCACCGACGTATTATCCGAGGTAGTCTCGGTCCCGTTTAGCTCGGATAATCAAACTTCTACTGTACTGTGCCGCTAAAAAAAATCACGATTGCTGATCCTGACTAGCGGGAGTCCGGACAAGGCCGATCCGGATGAGCGAGAGTCTACTGTAATATATCAAACAGCTCTAGTGGCCAATGACAATGAATTCTAACTGATGTGATATCTATCACAATAAAAAATCACATTAGCAAACACTGAAGGATTGCTTAACCTTATAGATTCCTACACATGTGGAGGTTTGTTACCTGTCATTGAATCCGTAGAGTGTCTTGAGGTGTTGTTTGAGGACAAGAAGCAAATGGCAGCCCTGAGACGCAGTGATACACTCCTGCAGTGTGCCAGCGTCGTCAGGCACTCGACTGAGGAGGACGTCTTCATCATCTTCATCCTCCTCATCATCTAACAGCCTGAAGACAGCCCCCGTTGCAGGGTCTATCTGAGGCGTACCAGAGTTGGGGCTTGGAAGCAAAGCCTACAAAGTGAGGTGTTTCACAAATGAAAGTGTATATTACTGTAATATTATTGTATATCTAATGGTCTGGTTACCTGTACACTATAATCAATATATTTTACTCATGTGGATTCTCATTTTTCTTATAGCAATCTGTGGAAGAACGTCTACCTTCTACAATCAATATACTTACTTGATATATACTTACAATAATATAATATAACTTAATATACTTACAATCAATATACAATATACTTACAATGGCTGTAATCTATTACAGGAACCATTTTTGGCCATAGAAAATGGAACCGACACATCACTAAAAAAGACCCTAGTATCTTTCAATTTACATAAACTATTCATGAAAGTCAAAAACTGTTTCCCTTACATTATTGAAAGCTATTCAAACTTAGTTGTTTTTACTCATAACCATGTCAGAATTACAATATCAATACTTACCTCTCTGAAGGACTGGAGAAGGTTTGTGCCTGTGACAGAGATCATGATGTCTATGTGGTGAATGATGAATAAAGGCTCATCTTGAACTTGGTAAGGGAAGTAGGCCATGTTGTCAGCTAGGAACAGCATTTGCGACAAACTTGTTTTCTGCAAAGCCAAATGAAAAACCAAATTCAATGCTTGTTTTAGTGAGTAAAAATAATTACAGTAAGGAATATTTTGCAGATGATAATGAATGTCAGATAAATCTTAATGATCATGAGTGAACAATGGTCTAACCCAGTGGTGGCTGGTCGATAAGGACTCTGGGACGGAGTCCCTTTTTTAAGACAATAGTAAAATAATAATAACTTACATTAATATGATTGTTATTTCAGCATTTGAATGTACATAAACGTTAGTAGGGACAATGTTTTTAGGACGGGTGATAATGGACGCAACATGGTAGAACATGGGGACTCAGTAGATATGAGTTCAAATTCTCATAAACTGCATGGAAAATTTTAACCAATCATAGCGCTCCAATGCAATAGATATAGGGCGTTTGGTACTCTGTACAAACTGTAGTTTTAACTCTGCCACAAAGAGCGCTGAGCACTGGGATCTGTTGACTGTCAACACAATATTACCAGTTAAATAAGTGAATGCAGTATTTAGTGATTATTAGAGGTTATGTTCACCGTGCCCCTGTTATTTGAAATGTTAATTAATATAATATTGTTTAAACTTAAAAATATATTCAACATTTAAATAAATCCATTTTTTCAACTTTTAACCTTAACATGGTATCAGTAACCTCCCAAAAAAATGCATGTGCCCTCCCACTACTTTAACCTACCCACCGCCACTTGTCTAACTGTAAAGCACATTCTCAAATGTAGGTAATATTGACTGATATTCTTGAGTAGCTGTTAACCTCCAGAATTTTATCAAAACCAATGATCATTGAATACAAAATTATTACAGTTTTGAAAGATTTGGTCATGTGCAAAAGAAAAAATAAATGGTTTGAACAAAGTCACGATACAAACTTACCAATTCCTTGTATAACTATTAAATGAACAATGCAAAGACAGAATCTTACCACTTGTTCGTCAAACTGCTTGAGGATTGACAGTGTGAGGGCGCGGCGTTGTTGTTTTGTGCGCAAGATGGAATAAAGGAAACCATTGAGAGCTGCAGGCATCTCCCCCTCCTTCAGCCGAAATCCCCGTACTGCTTCGTTCTTGGCTTGTAAGATCTGCTGCAGCTTGTATGACAGCCTGATGCCCATCTGTGCCTTCATATGGATGAACCCTGGGTACTTTTTCTCAATCTCCTGCAGCTGTTTATCAGCACTTCCACTTACAAGACGCTCCTCATCAGTGCTCATACAGATCAAGTATGGTACAATCTGAAACAACACCATTCAGTGAATAAAACACATCCAACTTGCTTGTCTAATGGAATGAATAATACAAACGCAGACTGTTCGTCCTGTGAAATATCAATTCTGAACAGTTTTATTTATATATAAATATTGATACAATATATCTGTAAGTCCTGTGAAAAGGTGTAACAGCATTTAAATAAAAAATAAATCTGACAATTTTAAGGGAATATTTTAGTAGAAATCCGGCCCAGTAAATGGAAATTGGCTTAGTCTGCAGGTTTGCTGCAGCGGGGGTATTTAATCTAATAGGGGTGGGCGAGTAGTGATTTTTCAATTCGAGTCGAGTCGAGTCGAGTATTTGAGTAAAAACTCGAGTATCGAGTCGAGTCGAGTAGTTGCGCGTTAAGTAGGCCTAGGCCTAAGCCCTGGGTTTAAGCTGCGGTAGTATTTTTAGCTATTCACAACTTAAAAATGCTAAGTTTGGCATTGTTTTGCAGGCTAGGCCTATGGCAAATTTTCTACAAATAAAATTGAAAGATGTAATGTTCAAACAAATGTAATATTAGCCTACTGGAATTTTTTGTTTTAAATGCTTAAGTTATTGAAGAATATTTTTTCTACAGTTAACTTAGTTTTTGTCTTTGCAGAGAGTTTGCAGGATTTTGCTGAAACAAATTTCATCCTAGCCTAAACCCTGCCTAGGCCTAAATAGGTAGTTTAAGTACTTAGGCTATACCAAATTTTCTAAGTTATATGGTTACTAATTATTAGTACCTCCTACCTTAGGCCTAATAACAAATTTGGCCTAGACTACTTGTTGGCTGCAGCATTAAATTATTTAGGCCTACACATCACTTGTTATTGTGTTTTATTTTTTCTTGCCTTTAATTCCTCCTCACTAACATGATAATCAACCTAACTAACTAACTTAATAAGGTAACTTTAAGAATGATTTCAATTCAAATAAGAAACAGAATTTATAAAAATAAATTATTTATTTATAAATCAGAAAACTAATATCAAACTACATATTGTATCACAAGTTAAAAACATCAATATGCAATTAGGTATTTTAAAATAATCACTTAGATAAGCACTTCATCTGTCTTAAGTTTGAAGGTTATGGGTACTAGGGCTATCCTCCTCACCCATTACATTTATAAGAATGATCAAGTCAGTCGTCTCTGACAGACTGAAAATATCAAACAAAAACATAGTAGGCCTATTATCTCGAAATAAAATCCCACATCAAACACTTAATTTAAAATAAAACACATTTCACTGTAGCCCGGTATAGCCTATTTGGCCTTTATTTATAAACTCACATTTTCTAGGTTAAGTTACATTTCAAACAGTAGTTGTCATGTTTCTGCCACCAGATTGAAAATTGCACAATCAAAATCACAAACAGAATATGTTTATTTTAATTTCTATTAAACTTCCACTAACAAAATCAATTTTATTTTTAGTTACAAATTCACTTCAAAATAAAAACATTCAAAACTGACATTGATATAACTTCAATCACTCCAATCCATCGTTTTGTTGTTACGCCAGCTGTCATCATATCTGCTCTCTCTCTCTCTCTCTCTAGTCAGTCTGCTCATTCTGCTTTCTGCTTCTGCTTTGTTTTCCCATCAAACAGCTGTTTTGCAGGGCTGACGTTGCCATATTTTTATCATTACACCATAATGTCGGTAAAATTATCATAAAATTGCTATAGCTTTTATTTCGTAAAAAAAATTAATAGTTTGACTAATTTTAATCATGTTTATGTAAACTGATTAGAAAATAAATTATACTTATAGTTTGTTTACGCCAATACCACAGTTGTAAAAGTACAACAATTATCGTCCATCTGGCAACACTGAGTTTAAAGTTCAAATCAAATCAAATCAAATCAAATATCACTTTATTCACATATATAAATACAGGAATACATTATCAGGGTAAGAATAGTATTCCCCCGAATGGACTGCAAGTCCGTGCTCGAGGGAAGAGCTCTTACCAGCAGGAAATAAGTTTTGGTTATTGTCCATAGGTCAAAAAAATGTGCACACTGTTTATAAATAATGTGTACATCTGTACTTAATACGTATCAGGAGCTTTTAATAAATGTATATATATGCTATATAAATATATTGTATACTAGAATTAATTAACAATAAACAGCCTTAAGCAACAATAAAAATATTAATCTATGAAGAAAAATTTATTTTGATAGCTATTATGGCGGCGTTTGATGTCAGAGATTAATTTAAATGTAAGGCGAGCGAATTAAAGCCTCTGCAGCCTCTCTTCCCACAGTCATCAGCCACTCACAGACCTTGCTTTTATACACAGCGACACTGCCTGATTCAGCATCAGTTATGTTGGGCGGCAAGTTGCGATAAAGGATGTGAGCTATGTAAAACACGTTATTTTTCAAGGAACTATATGCTAGTTGTGGAGTGCGGTACCCAAAGTTATGCCTGTGCCTAGTGTGATAACTGTGTTGTAAGTTAGAAAAAATAATTTCCTTGTTGTTCTTAATGAAAAGTAATAGTGTTTTGATAAACAATTGTCTAATATTTAAAACTGGGAATTCGGAAAAAAGTAAACTTGTTGAATAATGTTTTGGCCTTTTAAGAATAATTTTGATTAAGGTTTTCTGGGTTACGTGAAGAGGAGCCAATGTGGCAGCAGATACACCGCCCCACGCCAGTATGCCATACTGCAGCACAGACTGCACGTATGCATAGTAAACGTATCTGCAGTGATCAACCGTTAACACACGGCTTAGTTGATAAAAGGCGTAGACCAGTTTCCTCAATCTTTGCTTTACATAGATAATATGAGGAGACCATGTCATCCTTTGATCAATGATCACCCCAAGGTACTTGTATTGGTCCACACGATCGACTGTGTCACATCCGCAGGTATTAGACCACAGATCGCCACATGAATGAAGATAGAGTTTTCTAGGGCCAGGGTCACGAGTTCGAGATAAGAAAACTGGCATGCACTTGGTTTTTGATACATTCAATGTCAATGTGTTATGATCCAGCCATTTTTTTATTTTAAGTAAGTCAGATGCAGCTTGATGGTAGACATCATCCCACGTATTACCCGAGGACACTACCGCTGTGTCGTCAGCAAAAAGAAACAATTTACCATTGACTCTTAATTTAGTAATGTTATTGATATATATTAAAAAGAGAAGAGGGCCTAGGTTACTTCCTTGGACGACACCATAGTCAATGTTAGTGATATCACTATTTTCGCCATTGATAGTAACGAACTGTGATCGACCAGTCAAATAGCTGCGGAACCAGTCAAGTGATGGGTTGTCAACGCCTATCAACTGCAGTTTTGTGATTAATTTATGCCTATCAATAGAATCGAATGCTTTTGCCAAGTCTAAAAAGGTTACAAGCACACGTTTTTTATCATCAATTTTTTCATAAATATGTTTTGAGATATTAAATAAGGCATGGGTAGTGCTTACGTTAGCTCTGAACCCAAACTGTGCGTTGTCAATGATATTATTTTCCTCGAGGTATCTATACAACTGTTGCTTGACACATTTTTCAATTATCTTGGATACCGCACTAAGTAAAGAAATAGGTCTGAAATTTGATATCACATTCTTTGGGCCTGATTTATAGATCGGGATTACTTTGGCGATTTTGTAAGGATTTGGAAAAGTATTAGTTGATATACTTAAATTTACAATGTGAAATAAGGGTTGGTGTAAGACGTCTAGATTATGCTTTATCAGTTTAGAGGAAATGTCATCATACCCAGGTGCCGAGTTTCCTCTGATTTTGGTGACCACGTCTAGTAAATCTTGATGGGTAATTGGTTGCAGTGAGAACTGGGAGTTCACAGCAAAATCAGCATCCTCTATTTCGACATGACCAACAGGCTGCAAAGCCCCGGCTAGCTGGGATCCGACGGAAGCAAAGTATTTGTTAAATTTATCACAGATGGAGGGGACAGTGTCGCTGTGTGCGCCAAATGCGCCGACTGGAAATTTGCATTTGGGATCTGCGCGGCCCGCTACTTCGTTCACTATATTCCAAAATTTCTTTGGATCTCCTTGAGCGTCATTGATTTTATTTTTGTAAAAATCGTATTTTGCCTTTTTTAGTGTAGATTTTAATATGTTTCTGTGGAACTGATCTTTTCTTTCTGCCAAGACCCAATGAGATTGCGTCATTCAGATGCATCGATGTTCCTTGCAGTAACTTATCGGTTTGTAAAACTAAACACCAATACCGATTTATGTGAAAAAATATGCTACAACAGGTTATTTTATTTGTTGTATTTCTATATTTTGGTATAAAATATTTTGTTATTTCTATATTTTGGTATAAAATATTTTTATGGCAATTCAAACTAAATCTGATACTGTACTTTATATTTTATAATGTCTTCAAGAATCGTCTGCCATTGTTATACTAGTCACGAGACTCCCTTGTTGACTATCGATTGCAATTCGATAGATTCATTCAATGCTTTATTTCAACTTACTGTATCGTTATCGAGACGTATTGTTGACTGTTGTAGGAAAGTGAAAGTCTGTTAGTAGTCCTCTTGCTAGCTCTGCCGAATGACGATGGGTGTTTGTTGAACATTTGGTTTACGCTGGTCTAACCTATATGAGGTTTAGTTGTTTTTTGTAGGAATGGGGATTAAATAAGGCATCAACACAAAACAAAATATAATTTATTAAATATGGGTGTAGAAAATCGTGAAGTGGGACTATTTATAACTACTCGACTCGAGTTTTCGAGTAGTAATTACTACTCGACTCGAGGTCGAGTATTTGAAAAAACTCGAGTAATTACTCGAAAGTCGAGTACTCGCCCACCCCTATAATCTAATATGATGATTTGGTTGGGGAAAACTGCAAAATACTAACTGTTCATCACATTGCTACAATACCAGGAACAGAACTGAGGTGATTCCAGCTCAAACTTATACTTTTTGGAAGAAAAAGCTTCATAAATGGGACAAAAACTATTCACATTTTTTATCAGAACAAATTAAAAAGGAAATGGACTGAAGTAAATAAAAGAAAAACACAATTTTTGTTTCATGGATAAATGTTCTACATCTATTAGCAACCAAACAGATTTTTGTTTTATTTCCATTAATTGGGTCGTATATGTTCATGGTCAAACCTTTGTATTCTCTAGATGAATTTGTTGGTTGAATGTTGTAAATTTGTAGATAAATTGTTTTATATTTTTATTTAGCTTTCTTTAGATATAGACCTAGTTAGTTTTAAGTTTGAACCATTTCATTTAATTTTATAACCAGTTTTAATTCCTGTACAACATATGTTTATGAGTTGTCAGAGATTTTGTATCGGCAATTAGATAGATATAGAATGTTGCCACCATTTGTTGTACCATAATGTTGTACTAGTAGGAACAATTATGGATTGAGATTAAATTGAATTGAATTAGTGAATACAAAAACAAAATACGAATGGTCCATATTCATTTGATCAATACTTTATTAAGATTGTGAGTAGTACCTGGACAGGATGGACTAAGCCTTGGGATAAGATCAGCTGTATGACCTTTAGTGCTGCTTGCCTTACTCCTACATTCGGATGCAAGAAAGCCTCTAAAATCTCCTTCAGGTACAGTTGTATCACAGTACTGGCCATGCCAGATGAGATGTCACCCATCTCCTTCAGGTTCTCTTGTTTTGACAGCTTTGCCCCTGAAATAGTAGTCAATTTATTATTCATCACAACGTACAAAATTTGCTGCTTTCGATAACAGCTGATATCAAAGAAAATAACTTTCTCCTAAGCTCTAACTTAGAACAAGGGAAAAGGATCGGCTAATTGTCCTTTGCTTTAAATTTACTTTTCCTTGCTCTCAAACAGTTCTCCATTTGCCAATTACACGCAATATGTTTTTTTTCTATAACAAATTATTTTGAAGACAAATTTCCGATAAAGTGTTTGAAATAGGCTACATTTTTTAAGTTTAAGCAGTGACTTCCAGTATTTAAAGTACTACTTAGTTTCTAAATAAATTGGGAGCAAATTTTGAAACTTGACAATTTTGAGGCAAAAGCAAAAAGGAAAGATTATCACCAAAGTTGAAAAAGGATAACAGTCAGGTCTCAGGTCGTCCATACATGAAAACTACTCTCTCAAGCTCAGTTTGATGATTATGAATTTTGCATTGGGAATATTAGTTAAGAAGAATAATTATAGTAGGCTACTATATTTAAATAAACAATAAATAGAAAAAAAAAGAATCCAAGATTTTCATTTGTTTAACAACATTCTAAGACCTGAAAGAAATGATTTTATGTCAAATCAATTGGTTGAGTAGGCCATAATGTATTTCTAAGCGAAAAAATAAAGCTTACATTCTTGATCTTGTTTGATCATCCGTCTCTCTTCTTCTTGCAAGTATTGTTCGATATTGCTCAAAACCTGCAAATACAACAAATAAGTTAGTAATGACTATGAAACAAACTAGATAATTGATTGAGATTAAAAAACCAAAACTATATCCCACCGACAAATTGTTTCAAGAATCTGGTTTGTTATAAATTAGACAACTGTACATCAAAAACTTATTAACATTCACTTTACTAATTTCAGATTTAATAATTACACCAACCACACATGAATATGACCTGTAGAGCAGTAGAGACAGGCCTGTGAGTACCTATTGTTATTGTATAAATCAATTAATTGTACAAGCTCGTTCTATATGGCTAACTTTGACCTACGCAAATTACCACCCCAGATAAGAGACATGCATGTCCCTATATTTTTAAAAGGACCTTGACTACTTGGCTGTTGGAGATGGGCCCAGATAATGCTGAGTCGCTTATCAGCCCGGAAAACACACTGTGAAGTTTACAACACAAAATTGACTTTCTTTAATGACAATCCATTCCGTTTTCATTTCTCACACAAATTCACCTAAATTAAATCTCAATTCAATTACATTTTAAATTGCATATTTTCCCCATTCACCTTATCAGTCCACTTTTACCAGTCAGTTTTAATTGCAGTAGTTTACAGTTTATTTTCTATTTCGCATAGTGTGTAAAACATGTACAAATTTAAAGATAATCTGACAAGAAACTGGTTCTAATTGATTACTGACCAAACCCATAGTCCCAAGATCTATTCTCTTACCTTGCCTAAACCGTTTGTATGGTTGTAGAGTGTAAACAAGTTTGTAGGAATACCTCTACTTCTAAATGAATATTTTAATTTCATTGGGTAACCATTTGTAGTTAAAACTATTTTTTTTTAATTTAACAGTTATTATTATAGAAAACCAAAAATTGAAGTGAAATAAAAAGTATCTAGCAATACACTGTAAGCACTACAGTAGACTCCCTCTTATCCGGACTCCTCGGGACCGAGGCCAGTCCGGATAACGGTTTTTCCGGTTAAACCGACGTCACTAAAAACTCGTTAAAACGGACCATTTACTGTGATATTCGACTTAAATTTAGGAGAGCATTGTAATTAGACACGTGATCACTGGTCTCAAATCTTTCACACGAGAACAGTCGTTTCAGTACAGCCCACTTCCTGCCGATCTAGTCCAGTTAAACCAATGTGTTGATAAAAATTTTCCGGTTAAAGAGATGTCATTTCCGCCGAGTGTAGTCCGGATAAAAGGTGTCCGGATAAGAGGGAGTCTACTGTATTGATGTCAAATTGCCTAGTGTACATTAATTTCTAAATTTCACCACTGAATGTTTCCTTTAACTCAGAAAATTCCCAACATTACATTTTGAATTAATTATCTTCCTTTTTACGTTATGTTTTTTTTTTTTATTGATTTATATTTACTTACTAGCTCAGTTAGAAAATTAACAATTAAATTGAAGGGAAATTGAAATTAAAAGGAAATTGATTGATTGTTTGAATTAGATTACTTAACTGGTTATTTACTCCATAGAGATATTGACTATTGAGATAAGGTGATTTAACTACAGTCACACTTTACCTGAACTTTAAGATCTCGAGGAGAATCAGCATCTCGGAGGATCTCGTGGTAGAGAGTTTTGAGATCAGGGCCCAACATGAGCTCATAGTGGCGAATACAAACAAAACCAATGGCCTTGAGAGTGAAACCTTTCAGATCCCTCTGATGCAAGTAGAAGAGAAGTGTTTCAAAAACTTGGTCTCTGGTTTTCTCCTGGATAAGAAATTCCTTAATGTAGTTATTTACTGAACAATAGTATACGGTATACTTAAACATTGAAAGTCAAGTGGTTAAGCAGTTTATAATACAAAACGTTTGCCTGTGCCACGTCGTGCGTGGAACTAGTTCCCGAATTTATGTTAGCCGTCTGTCAGTATGTTTTGTGTTTTATTTATTATTTAAATGTGATGTCTTTGTGTGTTCATATTGGACATCGTGAAACAGCTCAAGATTATATTTTGGACGTCGTGACACTGACTTGTATCATTGGACGTCGTGAATCACTCCCTAGTAAAAAATGTAATAAAAACTTACAGGGAAACCATCCAAAACTTCTTTATCAGTGAAGTCAAAGAATCTCAGAAGTAGCCCAACTATGTACAGTGACCTTTTGATTAGTGGTTGTTTTTTTACTACTTCATCTTCATGTCCATCCATTGCCCGTTTCTTGTAGAAGAACAGGTATCCTGAAAAAACAATGTTCACTGGTTAAGCTGAATTCACGATTCTTACGTTTACAGTATTGATCTTTGACACAACACAGCTTTGTCAAAGAGGAAAAAAATCAGAGAAAGCTTTGTAAAGTGTTTCCAATGTTTCTTAGCAATCCAAGAATGTGAAGCATTCAAATTACATCATCCATTTCCAATCAACACCAAAAAATTACGACGATGTCAGTGTTACAGCAAATTAAGGCCTCTTTTATACTCTGCGGTGCCACACGGCGCTGCGTACAACGGCAGGCGCCGCATGTTTGTTTGATGGCCATGGCATTGGTGGAGGTGTCAGGGCAGGCAACTTAGAAATTTATATTTACCACTAGTGTTTAGAAGTGTAGATTTTATTTTGTCGATAAACTGTTCAATAATGACATCAGTCGTAGTTGATTTTGTCAATGTACATAATCAAAAGTTGCAAACTGATGCTCAGGAAAGATAAAAACAAAAGCACCTACCACACTGGCAACAAAAAGTGAAATGGGAAGACTTTGTTGGGCTGAGTTTGTTTTCATCAGTTGGCAGCACTAGACAGCGTCGGCGCATCGGTGCGGCGTGTCGCAGAGTATAAAAGCTCATATATAACGCAATGAACCTCGAGGCCGCATGTTTCTTCGGCGCGTCATCATGCATCTAGCTAGTCGCAGCGGCGTGCGGCGTCTGTCGCAGGTTATAAAAGGTTATTTAAAACAATGCTCTTACAGGGCTGCAGGGGCGTGTGGCGCGTCTCAGAGTGGAAAAGGGGCTTAAGTCAAATTAGGAAAGTTTACAACAAAATGAGCCATATTCTAAATTTGAAATAGTCTTAACAATTCTACAGGAACATATAGGTATAGAGTAGGGGTGTGCGAATAGTGATTTTCAACCTCGAGCCGAGCCGAGCCGAGCTTTTTAAAAAATGTTCGAGCTCGAGCTTTTTCGAGCCGAGCTTTTCCTAGCGTAACCTTATCTTAATTATTAAACTTTTTTTCTTAAAAACGTGCATAATAATAATAATGTTCAGTCAATTTTTAAATAAACACAATGTTATTTTAATATGTTTAAAAACATTGAGAATTGTCAAGACATCAAATAGTAGATAATCACGATAAGAACTGAACTGAACTAAATGAAGATGCAAGAAATAAAAGGATATCGATTGAAGGCCTGAAGAGATATGCAGTGCAGACTGAGACAATCAGATTGTCTTTCATAACAGAACAGCAACGCGACCTTGAATGACGACAAAACAACTAGCAAGTCGATTACATATGTATATTCATATTGTAACTACTATGAATATTTAATTCTATTTTGTATAAATAAATACAAAATAAATTTAAAAACACATGATTATTCTTGTTGTTTTCCATGCACAAAATATTTTTGTTTTATGAATCCTATTAATCAAAAAAGAACATGGTTGGTTTGGATCCAAAAAGGTGGAGAGACAAGTTTTACTTATATATTAAAAAATATATAATTGACATATAGAGGAAATAGACCAAAGCACTAGAATTAATAGAATAACACACAAAGTAAACAAGAAATGAAATGCAGAACACGATGATTTAACACTGTCACTCAATTTTGTTATCTAGAAGGGTCGGCGAACTAATCAATAAATAGCCAAAACCAGTTTCCTCCCCTTCACACAGTCTCACCGCCCCCCCTTCCCCCCCAATCCGGGTGGCCCAACACTTTGTCCTTGAAACACCCTTGCGTCTGAAACAATAAACCCTTACACCCTCGTTGCTGTTTTGACAACAGGTTTATGAATGCGATCACTATTTTTCATTTCCAGAATTAACTATCAATTATTATTATTTGCAAGATACAAATAGGAAACTACACACATTATGGTATTCAATGACCCATGTACTATCAAAAATTAATAACTCATTACTTATTTTGATAATAAAAAGCACTCATTACAGCACGCGCCACTTATTGATATATATATATATAATAATCCTCAAAGTAACTGTTACTTTATACAAAATAAAATAGGTACAAAATTGTGTGGCCAGTCAAACTTTATAAACAAACATTTTATTCTATAAAATACAGATGGTAAATAGGGGTTGGTTTAAAGGAAATAAAATACAAAACATATTAATTAATTATTTTGATAAACATTAGAAAGGTTATGGGATTGATTGAACTAAAATAACCACAGGGAAACTTATAAGTAGAAAAGTCGTCAACCACTATCTGTTTAATCAGTACATTGTTAGAGAGAGAGAGAGAAAGAGAGATAGCAGATAGGGACGTTTGATAATAAGGAATCTGAAAAAGTAAACAAACAAGGAACAACGACACAACGATACTCGTTTACAGCTTATTGTCTCGCCCACTACATTTGCACACGTGACCACTTTTTGTTTCTTCCTTATCTTTCATCCGTCCCAAAATAGAATTCCTGAAATAGTTTGTTGGTATAATCTCCCCTCCCACACAAGGCGCAGTGCTCAGTGCGCACTGTAGGGTGTGTCGTCATAGCTACTTAGCCAATCACGCACTCGCACTGCGTTGTATATTACGATACGAATAGGTTGTGTTAGAAAGACAACGCGATAGGTGGTAGTTTCCTCAAAATTACGATCGATAATCATTGCGTCTTGACTGAGAGCTGAGGTTCTGCTTATCAAGACACAATTATGAAACGGAGGAGAGTAAATTTAAATGAAAGTTAGTTCCTTATTTATTAATTTAATTTTTATTTGCTAGTTCAATAAGTATTCGGCTCGAACATTTCGAGCTTTTTGAAAATCACGAGCCGGACGCTATTCGGCTCGAAAAAGCTCGATGTTCGAATACTCGCACACCCCTAGTATAGAGTACATTTAAGTCATGTGTAAGAGCCACTGGAAAAATTTCTGTTTGCACATTTTCAGAGTATTTTATTATGACAAGTCATGTTTCACTATTCACTGTATTATTTCACAGTGTATTGTTTTTCTTCAAATATAATACTAAATGACTTAAAGACATTTTGTCAACCTGTTCAAGTATTTTTGTTGCACTGTGCTTGTTTTGAGTGTTGAAGAAAATAAATGTGTGTTAGGGATGTGATTTAGTATTCCAAATGTACAAGTAGCTTGTGGTAATCATCATAGTTGGGAAAGTTAGTCAAATATTCTAACTACAGTAGTTAGAAGTTATTAGTTAGTCCCGTGAAAAGTAACTGATAGAAGTTATTTGTTAGTTAATCGTTAGAATTTCTATTTGTTATTTTCAAGTATGCATTTGAATCATATTGATTTAAACTACGTTCAAGCTTCTGTTTGAGAACGTAGATATTTTAGTGATTCTGCTACGTTTAAATAATGAAAACATACGAGTCGAGTCCATATTCAATTTTAAGCTGGTAGTGCACAAAGTAAGCCACTTTGGTATAATCAAGGTCGTGACAAGAGAAAAGGTCCCTAAAAGGTACTAATACTCACTACTTAAGGTAATTATTCAGGGTGTATACTATTTTATTAAAGTGAAATTCCAGGTTTTTTCCAGGTTTTTTCCTGGTTTTTTAAAGTTTTTCCAGGTTCCCGCGTATCTGTTTGGTTCCACTTAAACTATAATCAAATTAAGACTTGCAGCTTAAAGTATACAATACACATCAAATTTGTTTCAAAGTCCAGTGAGCTAGTGTTGAAAAAATAATAATCCTTATTATAGTAATAATTTTTATTATCAGCATTACTTAAGGCTACCGGAAACATCGTCTCTCTCGATAGCAGCAAAATCCTGAATATTTTCCTGCGGTCATGTGGTCGCTTCCCACAGTGACGTAAACGTCATCACAGTCTTACGTTATCATAGAAAAATCCTGGACATCTCCCGCGGTATGTATACATTATCGCCGTCTCTCGCGATCACGGAAACGTAATCATCGTCATCCGCGATCGCGGCAAAATCACGAAAATCTTCCGCGGCCGTGTGGACATCATCATTGACTCCCGCGGTCACGTAAAAGTCATTATCATCGTCCGCGATCACGGCAGAATAAGGAAAATGTTCCGAGGACGTGTAGACACCGTCATTGACTCCCGCGGTCACGGGAACGTCATCGTTGTCGTCTGCGATCTCGGCAAAATCATGAATATTTCCCGCGGCAGTGCAAACATCATCGTTGATCCCGTGGTCACGTAAAAGTCATTATCATCGTCCGCGATCACGGCAGAATAAGGAAAATGTTCCGAGGACGTGTAGACACCGTCATTGACTCCCGCGGTCACGGGAACGTCATGGTTGTCGTCTGCGATCTCGGCAAAATCATGAATATTTCCCGCGGCAGTGCAAACATCATCGTTGATCCCGTGGTCACGTAAACGTCATCGTCGTCGTCCGCGATCGCGGTAAAATCATGAACATCTGTGGCCGTGTAGACATAACCATATCGTCGTCTTTCGCGGTCACGGCAAATCACGAATATCTTCCGCGGCCGTGTAGAGACATCATCATTGCCTCCCGCAGTCACGGAAACGTCATCATCGTCGTCGTCCGCGATCTCGGTAAAATCATGAATATTTCCTGCGGCCGTATAGACATCATCATTGCTTCCCGCAGTCACGGAAACGTCATCGTTGTTGTCCGCGATCTCGGCAAAATCATGAATATTTCCCGCGGCAGTGTAAACATTATCGTTAATCCCGTGGTCACGTAAACGTCATCGTCGTCGTCCGCGATCGCGGCAAAATCATGAACATCTGTGGCCGTGTAGACATAATCATCGTCGTCTTTCGCGGTCACGGCAAATCATGAATATTTCGTGCGGCTGTGTAGACATCATCATTGCTTCCCACAGTCACGGAAACGTCATCGTCGTCGTCCGCGATCTCGGTAAAATAATGAATATTTCCTGCGGCCGTGTCTACATCATCGTCGTCTCCCGCGGTCACGGAAACGTCATCGTTGTCGTCCGCGATCTCGGCAAAATCATGAATATTTCCCGCGGCAGTGTAAACATCATCGTTTCCCACGGTCACTGAAACGTAATCGTCGTCGGCCGCAATCACGGCAAAATCACGAGCATATCACGCGGCCGTGTAGAAATCATCATCGTCGTCTTTCGCGGTCACGGCAAATGACGAAAATCTTCCGCGGCCGTGTAGACATCATCATTGCCTCTCGCAGTTATCGAGAAACGTCATCGTCGTCGCCCGCGATGTCGGTAAAATCATGAATATTTCCCGCGGCCGTGTCAACGTCATCGTCGTCTCCCGCGGTCACGGAAACGTCATCGTCGTCGCCCGCAATCGCGGCAAGACGCATTTTACGACTACAATCTTCTACTGGGGCAAAAATAAAAATCCCGGAATCGGTCCAAAAATCCCGGCTTTTCCCCGGTTTTTTCCAGGTCCCTTTAAATTCAAGGTTATTTCCCGGTTCTCCCGGTTGGTATACACCCTGTTATTATAGTTGGCGGCCTCTTATAACCTTGCATTTGCCCGTCCACATAGACTAACCGCCCGTGCGTGGGTCATTTACAGCAAAGCAAGGAGTGAGCCGGTACAGTACAAAGGTGAACTGTACTCATAAAATGATTTCGGCAGTGACTAGGATCCGAACCCACAACATCGCTGCTGAGTTAGTATTATAATAAAAGGGACTTGATTTGAGTTGATCATCTGTATAAAGGATACCTATGATTTTACTATTATACTTAACTTATACTTATACTTGACTCACCATGATATTGTAAGAGACAGTCGCGTATCAGCTTGTAGTTGCGAGTAACATTGTTCACCACAGAACCGAGGCAAGACACACAGCTCATTATGACAGATTGGTCTTGCCTCATGATCAGTTTGACCGAGTCTTCCTCGAGCCTCGCCAAGAACGATTCACTCGGATGTTCAATCAGAGGAACAATGATTTCCAACGTTCGAGCCACTGAACTGATGATTTGGTAGTCTCCTTGAGTCTGCAACACAAACACTCTTCTGATTAACAATTTACAGCAATCTTTCGTTTTTATTTGGACACAATCCCCTTGGTAGGAGACTGGTTACAAAATAACCTTACAATTGTGGTTTGAAAGTAGCATACATTTTAACAAAACAGAAAAGTCCAACTTAGTAACAAGGATTTACTATAAAAAAATAAATAAAAGTCTCATTCTCATAATTTACAGAAATCTCATGTCCCTCACAAGAGTAGGTATTTGACAATTTACTTACTTATTCATATGTTTATTAACATTTTTGGTTCTGGAATTTGTTGATGATTTGTTCAAACGTTAATGTTATACTAAACCATTGAATTAATATGGTGAACAAGATATAATGACCTCATCAGTTATACAAACAGGCTCCAACAACAGCTTTTTAGATCTTTAAAAAAATCTTTGGAGTTTCTCTGATCATAACTCACAGCATAATGGAGGATGTACAAATTAGAGGTCTGCGTGACAACAATTTTTATGTCGATATGGGGCAGGACAGTTAAGTTTTTAACTACTTAGGAATATATCTTTAATGCACACATATTGTACCTCGGTTCTCGGTACAAAATCGGTACGGTACGGGGCTACTAGTATTTTTGAAATTTTCTTCTCAGGATTGTGTTCAAACCATTTAAAAAAATTTTAATACATTGATATTACTATGAAAATGCATAGTATATCCTACATTATTCATGGTTTTATTACAACAATTACAGTGTACCACATATGAGCTTAACTACTCTATACTGAAGTACTAGGAACTACTCGACATGACCTTGAGTACAAGGAAAAACTCAACAAAACTATTGCACATAATAACCCAGCCGACCCATGCCTAGTTTTATTTCACAGGTAGTGAAAACTTATTTTTTGTGTACCTTTTTAAGAAACAAACAATATTTTTGTAAAACACCCTGTCATGGCCAACTTGTATTCCACACAATATAGGCTACTGACCTGGCATTTAAGACTGAGGTAGGGCTGCAAAGTGATTGCATGTTCTACTAGCAACTGAGGTTTGATCTTAGCAAACAGATGGAGAGTTCGCAGACAAGCAATCAGCCTCTGAGACGACCCACCTCCGCGACCGTCCAGGTTCAACACATGATCTATCAGACAGTCCACGATCTGCTTGCAAGCCAACATCAGGGCTTTGCTGTGTTCATGAGACACTTTTGTGGAGTCTTCCTTGTCCTCTTTAGGTTTGAACAGCTGTAATTTCAATTAGAAGGTTAGTTTATATAAAACAATAGGCAAAACAATAAGTCATAAAAAATAATAAAAATAAAATAAAATAAATAAAAATAATAATTAATAAGTCTAGACATAACCCCCGCCTGATCACGTTGTTTCCCGTTACCGTTCTAGTATTACCCTTTGTTTTTAACCCTAAATGTTTGTTTTTATGTTCGTGTACGTTTTAAATGTATTTATTTACTACAAAATGACGACCTTCGAATGAAGCAAGAAGACATCTGTAATGGCCGGACAATGACTCCTTTGTGAGTCGAAACTGGTTGCAAATTGATCACATAAATGCAGGTATTTACACCAATTATTTAGTATTTAAATGCGGTCAGGAGGCTAAAATTCAATTTAATGAAAAATAATTGCTATCTTCTAAACCAAGATAAAAGAGTAATAAAATTTAAAACAACGGCACGTTAAAGAGAGTGGATTACTTGGACTGATTGCGACTAGAGGTGGTAGGAATAGTAATTTAGTTGTTTGTATAACACTTATTTTGATTTAGATGTAAGCATTTGTGTAAGATACTGGAACAATTTAGAACAATAGCCAGATATTATTTCCCTGTTAGGTAAAAAGTCACAAACCAATAATAAAATTCAGCCACAGTAAGATTTATTCATTGCAAAGAATTTAAAAGTATAAGATAATGAGTGGTAACTCACTTAAAACATAAGACTCTTTTTTTTTAGATAAAAAAGTGGTGAGTTTTTTTATGTTATTTTTGTAATGATCGGATGGTGTAGAGCTGAATGGATTTACAAAATTATGATGATACTCACACTGACGAGCAGTTGTTCGAACCACTCCAGACCCATGTCCTCCGATGCTGCTACGACGTCCGTAATGTTCATGACCTTCCGAATCATCACATCCTTGTCTACGTTGGGCTTTTGCTTCACCGGCGTAAACCACATATTTTGGAAAACTTCCATTACCAGCTTACGGATACCTGCAACCAAATAATAATCATTTAAAATTTCAAAATAATACTTCAGACAATTATATATTTTTTGGACTATCACAGAGTCTATAGGCCTACTGTTGAATCTTTTCAGATGAATGTGCCTGTATATTTGACAATCATTAGGGGATTAATTAAAAAAAATATTCATTTTTGAAATTAAATAAAATTAAAATCCTTCTTTATTGAGACGAACTTAGGACCTCATGGTCTTTTCTTGCAGTTAACTTCTTATAAATTGGAAGCAATGGATGTTTACTATAAGATTGATAAATAGTTATATCAATGCAAAGAAGAATAGAATTTACATAACAGATCCTTTGAACAATTTGGAATATTAGTACTCACCATCTTCATCATTGACTCTACGAATCATTTTCACACAAATCTCAGGAATCTTTGGAAACTCTGGATACTCAATGCAAATGTCCTTCAAAATTTTAATCACCCTCTTTCTCACACTAACACCAGTATCCTAAAAATAAAAACACATATTAACATGTTTTACACCAAAGGTACAAGATGGATTGGCTTCACACAGCTAACACTTTTTAAATTTTAATTACAATGTATACATATATAATTTGTATATGAATTAAAGAATGGTTAGCTTTAAATTTGAGTTCATATCATTATTTCTAATCTTAATCCTGGCTCATTTAATGAGCAGATCATTTTGATCATGCCTGAGCCCTTGGTGCAGATGTAGTGATTGTGTGGCCCAAACTCAAATGCTGAGTCGATCAAAAAAATCAAGGTCATTTAGGTTACAACTCTTTCTAACCAACTGTAATCTAGGAAATATTCAACATCCAGAGAATTTTGTTTTCTGCTAAAAAATCATTAACTTAGTCTTGGTGGGATTCATCGTCATGTCATTGGCAAACCTCAACTGAGAACATCATTAAGAGATTAAGAGCCTCCCACAAGGACTCCAAGTTTTGGAGGGTTGGAACTTCCACAAAAAGTTTGATATCGTCAGCGAAAAAAAGAAAAGGGATCTTAATAACTCCCTTGATATCATTAATGAATATGGAGAACAGAAAAGATCTGTACTTTTTTGGATGTTTTGTTTTCATGGTTAAATATGCAAGAAATCCATATTTACATGGACTAACCAAGACAGTTAGTAAAACTCAACCTGAAGAGGGAGTGTTTACTGTATTAAACCAAATTTAATTGTTAGCAGAGCTATATCCTTAGTCGCATTAGAACTATACATAGGAATCTGTATTGGCACTTTTCTTTGTAACCCTTCATGAAACAATAAAAGATGTTGTATAATATTTGTTTGTTTTTAAACGGTTTCAGTTAGTATGTGGAATTTGGTGGTTTTCAGAGTCAAGTATGCAAAAAAAAACTCATATTTATCAATTTAGCCCATACAACTGTCTATGAAAGCCTGTTCTCATGGTCTGGCCAGGATGCCAAGTGAAACTCTTAACTCATCTTGCTGGATATGTGTTCACCCTCTTACACCCAATCATCTCAAAAGTGGAGTTTCATCAACAGTAACCGGTTTAAATTTCATGGGACAATATTTTTACCTATACCTCTGTAACCCTTCATAAGGAAATAAAAGACACGATATACGACTTTGTTTTTGAGCTCTTTTTAACACATCCACTAAACCCATGGAATTTTGAGGTTTCCAGAGAAGAAAATGACAAAAACTCATATTCAGATTCACCCACATACAACACTGTGAAAGCCTGTGTTCATAGTACAACAAGGATGCTTTGTGAAACTCATCATGTTTGTGTGTTTGTTTACCCTCATATACACAATTTCATCAAACGTAGAGCATCAACCATTGTTGCATTAAAATTAGACAATACCTAATTGACATGATGTGCTAATTTGTATTATTTTAAGTTCTTTTAACACATCTACCAAACCTATGGAATTTGAAGGTTTTCACAGTCAAAAGTGCCAAAAAATGATTGTAAATTTTTTAATTGAATACAAAATATATTGAGAGAAATCAAACTAACCAATATTCTGGCTGAAAGCATGTCGTAATACTTGTCAATGAGTTCAGGTCGACTCAGGACAAACTTGCCGACCAGGTCGACAGCAGCTTCTCGCACTGAAGTTGAGTGGTCAAGAAAGGAAAAGTTGACTCCGTCCTGCATTGCCTTGAGTCCAAGAACTGCCGGGTCAACTTCTACAATGGAAGTGAGGCACTTCATGGCCTTTGTACGGATCAGAACTGATGACTCGGATAGCACTGTCAGTATCTGGTATAAAACCAAAACAAAATAATGAGAATCTTCATTTAAATGTATTTATGTGTAACTAATGCAATATCAAGCAACGATTAAGTGACATGCACATGGGAGTGATGTGTAAACATTTAAGTTGTGAAGTTACAGTTGCTTTAGTGCGGAAAAATTGATATTAGTAAACATAAAAGAAAGACAAATTTTTAAATGTTTTGTTGTTTTAAAGGCTGAAAATACAATGTCGTTTTTATAAGAATGTACCTATAGTGCATTTAGTAAATCTAGGGTTAAAAAAAATGTTAAGAAATTGTCTTTTTCTATATGAATATTATTATTTCACTCGTAACAAGATCAAACTTCTGCTGCTGCCATTTTCATGCATTTATAAATTTCAGCATTTCAGATAAGTTTGGATAAGTAGAGATGCCGAGGAACAAGTGATGATCACTTCTTAGAGAGGAATTGTAGGAAAGGTAACATGTACAAGGCAAATACAAGGAAACCAACACAGCTAAAATGTTACAACTACAAATAATAAGAGAAACCATTGACTGTTGGATACTGAAGTACCATCCCATCTATATGGACCAGCTGTCGCCCATTTTTATTAAAAAAGAACGTAATTGTGTGAGCCAGTCACAGAATGCGCTAGTGTCGAAAACTCTAATTCATACCTTAAGTTTTGTTGCTGACCAAGTTGATAGGTCATAACAGTTGCTATAGCTCACCATAAGTCATTCCCTAAATTTTTTTTACTAGGGGGAAATTTAACTTAAAATAGTACTTACATGTTTTAAGTAGGTAGAGAAGCTTTGAGAAAACGGCCTCTTAGACGCTAGGTAGCGGGAAACCAGCTCAGCACTGTCATAATCAATATAAGTCTGAAGGACCTGATTCTTCATGCCTTCTTTGCAAACGGAATCTTCAAAGGGGCGGATTTTACTCAGGAGAAACTTTTTCCTCGCTTCTGTTAACCGGTAAGTTTCCAACGGATCTACAGTCTCACCATCACCTCTCTTCCTTTCCTCATCATCCTCATCATTCTCACTAGACTCTTCTTCATAGGTATCTAGAAATTAAAATTAGACATCAAGCACAGAGACGTCTTGGTACAGAAATCTTGTAAAGATAAATAATTTAAAGTTTTACATGCGTACATTAATATTTTTGCTTACGGTGACAGCTATCACTACTATTCACAACGGAAGCGATGATGAATTCACTTAAGCTGTGGGGGTTACCGTTTCAAGATTAACTTAGTGGACAAAACCAATAGCACAGTAATACTCAATAACAACACCTCCATCCCAGTAAAAGTACATACCGTACTCATCAGAATTTTAAAGACAAGTTAGATGGTATATTTTTTGTGTGAATGTAAGTACAAAAACAAGCATTAACACAACCCTCAAATTAGGGGGCTGATAATATTAAGTGTAATTCCATACCTCTTTGGGGCAGATGCCAAAGCTGTTTTGTTTTGTACCCTTTGTCAAAAAAACAGTTTTGGCCTTTTATGAATGTTTGGTTCCCGACCAAATCGGGCTGTCCTTCGATTTAATTACCTATTTGCATAGTTTCATCCTTACTACCAAATTTTTATCCCCCACAGCGATAATCGTGTCTTAGCGATCACGGGAGCGCAGATAACCATGATGATGATTGATGTTTGATGAAGTTATATGACATATTTTGTTAAGGAACTTATACTGCTGTGATATCATTTACCAAGCTTAAGAAATGAATGATTTGCTTACAATGAATAGTTTGATGTTTGGAGCATAACACTTTTTTTTAGGTTAAAATGATGTGATAAATGGGCAAACTACCTGTTTATGTTTAGCTAAAGGCGTTTTCATAATATGACGGAGTTTTTACACTTAAATTGAACCAAATATGTAATTCTTTTTGTTAAACTGTTTTTAAAATTATGTATTTTTACCCACAATTCAGTCAGTTTTTATGGAACAGTGCAGTAAAGCCTGCAAATTTATTTAGTTTGTCATTGTTGCCATTTATAAAAATTTTTACTCAAAATTAAAAAGCAAACTAAATCTTCCCTGTTGAAAGAAAAATCTTGTCCAATTTACATCCTGAAAAACAAAAGGGAAACAAAAATCCTGCTCATCCAGAACAGGAAATACAATCTTGTCCGTCCCTGATTGAGGTATGACTTACCAGGTTGTTTTCTATTCCTGGAGTTTCCTCGCTTGGCATCATCATTCTTGGGTTTGATCTTAGGCGATGTGTTAATATTTTTGATGTTATCCTGGTACCATTGTGCCAAGTAGAAGTGTCTGGCGTAGGTATGCGCAGGGTCGCCTTGCCCCCTCACTGCAAGGTAGTCCAATAGAACCTTTTGCAGGAACTGTGTTCTTTCTTCGTCGTCTTGCACCGGTGTTACATCAGTCTGTGAAACAAGGCTTACATTTTACAAACCTTCAGCTATGCATCTTAAGACAATGTGAGATTTAACTCCACAAATACTGTAGGCCTAAAACCTCGATAACAAATCTCTCATGAGTATCATTAAATGAGACTTGTTATCAAGGTAGACTTCTTATCGAGATATGCAATAATATGCTATTAAAGGTAATATAAAGGGTAAGTCTAATTTGAATGGACAATTGTTAAGAAAAGTGACTTGTTATTGAGGCAATTGTTAACGAAGTTGCACTATAGGACTATTATCTGACTTGACTTAACATTTTATGAGGAAAGATCCTGGCGTATTTGGAGGACACAGCTAATAGTGCAATATATTTACATAATTTAAATTCATAGTCAATTATTTAATGATGAAATAGGTATAGAAAGAAAATATCTCACATTTATGGAGCAAATACAAAAATAGAAACTTCTATTTCCTATTTAACATTATCAGTACTATTAACTGGTCCTAGAAGTCCTCATTACTCAAAACTAGAAATAGGTAATCCAAAGAAAGTCAAAATGTTACTATTTATCAGAAACAACGTTTTATCACACAAATTTTTCACAACATGTTCCCGTAGCCTGAATACAACTCATTTTACAGTAGCCCTCTGAGTAGGCCTGACCAACTGGTGTTCTCTGAAACTCAATATGTTTATGTTTCCCAATCGAAGCAAAAGCATATTCATGGGAACGGGTGAGTGTGGGTTGTAAACGTAGTTCAGTTTAGATAAACATACCAGCTTTCATTACTGGCTGATCACTACCAGTTAAAATGTAGTGGACCAGTTAGTTCTCAAGTAATAAAAGTGGACACTTAAAAGGATATCAATCCTATAACAACAAACGGTTAAATTAATGTTGAAAGGTAGCCAGATAAGAGGAAGCCTACTACTCTGTAAATAAATTTTTACCAAAATGGATATTTTTTTTTTTAAGACTAATTGGCCTTAAGAAAACTCACTCTTCCTTAGTTAAAAGCAAAAACGCTGTCAGTTACAGTAAAATATTCTAATGTTTTGTGTATATACTATATAGTGTAAAGTTATGTATTATTTGTTCCAGATTACTCTTTTTAATTTTGGTAAGGCTGCTATCCTAACAATAAAAAATATTTAAAGGAAACCCATCCATTCTGCTCCATGTTACATCCTTAACAGTTTTGACCCTGGATAATCAGCCTAGACCACTCTACTGGATTGAACTGCATTGATATCAATAAAATCTTGAGACTTCAAGCACATTCAGGCAAATGTTCAATCTAAAGTATCAGTAGGAAACTTCAAGTGAGTTTACATACCTTCAAATTTCCATCATCGTCTTTTTGCTCCTCAGATCTAATTTCATTAATGATTTGATCTATCATAGTCAGTTTGAGGTTAGACTGGACAGCGTCTTTGCGTAACCTTGCAGCCACGACACCCAGATAGTCCAGAGAAACAACCCTCAGTGGCATCTCTAGGCTCTTGTTGACAAAACTGGTCACCTGTAAGTAAACAAACAAAGCTTTCTCACTTGAATACCTTTCTTGTAACTGTGTTCTCAAGATGTCTTAGTGGTTACAGCTTGCTATCGCTTCGCTTGTGATTTTGAGTTGGAGGTGTGCAATTCACTGTCAAGAATTTCTTGGTGAATATCGATCAATCAAGAATAATTAAAGGGGGTATAGATTTAATATTAGCATGCTTTTTTTGTAGGATTTCAAAAGTTGGAGTCGGTACTATTGCATTTGCAGTCAATAGATGATAAATTCAGCTTTATGTTTCACAAAGATGAATATAGGCTATATGTATTATGTATACATGATGTAATGTATATTCTATAGCTTTCATAGCATAGGTGGCAATTACTGCAAAATAACAAACCTGATCTGGAAAACACAAAACTGTATATAAATAAATAACCACTCACATTAATTATACGATAAAGAAGCCTAAGTAAACTAACTGCACTAGAAGTTAATATACAACTGAATAAATGAATAGATTTTGAACAATCTGTCAGTAATATATTTTTTCACTCAGCCCCACAAGATAAATGTAAATTTTCAATTGTCGTATATTGATAAATGTATGAAACAAACTTACATGAATCTTAAGTTGTACAATAAAATAACTATCATTCTCTATTAGACAGCTAAATTAATAAATTGACTAAACATACCAGAAGATTTCCAAGCACACTGAGCATGAGTTCAGCGGCTGGCCACTCTGGTTTGTTGACCGTTGTCAGAAGATCCTGAACAAAGTTCTCAAACAGTGGTCGATAGTCAATCTCCTCACTCTTGCTGCTACACTTAGCAAGGAACACATACAAGAAGTTGGAGGCTATCGTACGCGCCATTACGAACTTGTTGGATATCACCGAGTCTGGATCCAGCTAAAACACACAAAAACTGATCAATAGCCTATGGATATTTTAAAATCCATTCTACAGATTGTGTAAGTAAGGTAGATAAGTAATCACCTATAAACTCAAGTTGTCCGAGCACACCATACTGACATAGGGCCCTACAGACAAGCAGAGCAATACATACTTCCATCAGTTAGTTTGGCCTTGCCACTCACGTTATAAGGATGAGATTTGCTTGCATGTAAATGTTAGACATGGTTAAAGTGTAGGGCTTGCTTCGCCCTAGCATTTTACCTGTATTTGGCAGTAATGAGGGAGGGTCTGTTTTTTGTAGAATTACATTCATTAACACTAGAACGCAGTACATGCTATACTCTAGCTCATCTAATGGATAAAACTGAATCCAAACAATTTTACGCATTCATCCACACAGAGCATTGGGTGTTCCTACTCCTGGGCTCAGCCGGCCATTACGCTACAGCAGCGAATGTGTTCATTTCTGCAGTACCTAACCCCACCTATATGACCAATTTATTGAAATATTTAATAATTCAACTACAACTATTTTGTTTGTAAGCCATACTTTTTTCTTGAATCTACTTATTACAAAAACATCTCATCGCGTAATTTGTTCATACGTTTTTATAAATTGACATAACTAAGTGTGTAATGGAATGGAGTTTACCTGTTTGTCTTGGCCAAGGTTGACAGGTAGCACCACCATACATTGGATCAGCTGCAATACCAGAGCTGTCAACATTTGAATCTGCTCTTCAGAGTTGAGTCGGTAGGAACGCAGACTGCGTTTGGAGCTGGGTAGTCGAGCCATAGATGCCAGAATGTCGTCAAGTAGAAGCTTCCGATGTTTCTCATACTTGGTGAAGATCTACAAAGACATTATTAAGACATAAAGAAATACATGGATATTTTAGGTTAACTATTTTGATAAAATGTTTATTTAACCACTAAATGTAAGCCAAAAGACAAGAGGGTACAGCACACTTTGTGTGTTATGTTAGGACCATTTTAATAAACGTGTGTGATATGTTAGATCAAACCGACCCAAATTGGCTGAAATTATGGTCCAAATTGAAACTTTCATGAAAATAAATAACACACTTAAGTTGGAGTGTGCAAAAGGTTTGATTTTCGAGCCTGACCTATAAACTCAAGAGATGGAGCACAAAGTTGAAAAATCGAGTCTGTAACGGGTCAAATGTGTAGGGGGTAAAATAACGGCTAAACCACGAACTTTAAACAGCTAAACATAAGCTGTTGAGTAAGCCTAGTCGCGACACTAAACTGACGTCGTACCTAACCTCAAATTCCAAGACCGCAGACGACGTTGGTGTCAGTTTGGTTGTTTGACTGTTCGACTGCGTCTGAGGCCGGGCTACGGGAGAGAAGATGAGCAGCGGGGTCACCTTTTTGAGCGGTACGCGGCTGAAAGCCTGTTAAAGCTGCCATGCGCCTGCCTTCGCTGCCAGTTTTTTTTTTCGGTTTCTGTAACTCGTTGACCAATCAGGAAACGTTTTAACTTTCGTCTCGATTCGGAGATGAAGGTGAAGGAAGAAGAAGATTTGAGAAGATTGTCATTCGTATTCCCGGCTTTTGTTGAGGCATTCGCTAATTATTCGTCCTTTCGTCTTCGATTTGCAGAGTTTCCGTGCTACTACTTCGTCGTAAAAGTCACAATAAGTTCTGTGGTGCATCGAGTGCGCGAAAAATCGTTTTTTTACAGCATTATTACTTCGTTTGGTAAGTTGTATAATAAAACTGAGACAACTTAGGTTTTTCTTTCGGCAGAACTTGGTCGAAGTTCATAGGCTAGGCCTGATTCGCAGTCCTCGTCGTACGCTTTAACCAACTCATTTAATTAAAGTATCGGAGTTGGTGACAGATCATTTCGATTAACGTTTCGTAATCCATATCTGGGACTTTCTTTTTAAATTCTTAAACCCCTTTGTAAAGTTCCCGAACGCCCCGAAGTTGGCCCCAGCAGACAGGTTTCTGCTTGATAATTATTGCAGAAGTTTGCTTAAGTTGAACACGTGGGGAAGTTGAAGTTTTAGTTTTTCTTTTTTCGTATCAGCTCCTGAAGCAGTTTTATTTTTAGTTTCAGTTTTTCTCTCGTTTCGTGTCTCACTTGGACAACTTAAGCCAACTCGTTTTCTTGTTTAGTAAATTCAGACTCTGTGGGAGTTAGGCTAGGTTAGGCCTATCTTGTACTAACCTTGTTTGTTTCAGGTTGACGACGTAACTCCGTAGGTAAGCGGAGTGACTACTTAGCTTACTTGTTGATTTGTTAAGTTAGCTAGTAGTGTGTCATTTAGATATTTGCCCACAGAGTCAAGTCAAAATTATTTATTTCCCCACAAGCCCTAGGCTAGAGTGGTGATTTCGAGTAGGGTGTTTAGTAACCCGCAACGTTCGTCTCGAGCTCTGACAACCAGGGCTATCAAACTTAGGCTATCCGAATCACTATCGACTCCTGGGAAACTCCCCGCGACCAGACTAGGGCGAATCCTGGGATCCTCGTTTTGTTACCGGTGGCGTAATTTCCCACTTGTCGTCCGCCAGGAAAATTACGTCACAAGTCTTTGAAAATCAAACCCGAGCATTTGCGATAGCGATCATAAAACACGTCTACATAGTTTACAAGATCGAAAATTTTTTTTAAAATTCGCTCACGTTTTTGCCGCGAAAGCGAATGATGTTGATAGCGTTTCCGAAATCGTGGAAAATAATGACATTTATGTGTACAAGTCCATGGGAGTTGTCAAGGATTTTGCCACGATCACAGAAGACTACGACGACGATCGCCGAATATATTGTTAACATTTTTGTGACCACGGGAGACAACAATAATGTCTACAAACCGCAGGAGATATTCAGAATTTCGCCGTGATCGTGAATGACGATCATGACGTTTTCGAGACTGCAGGAGATGTTCAGGATTATGCAGAAATTGCGGATAACAATAACTTTTCCATGATCGCTGAAGATGATGATAATGACCACGTGACTACTACGGGTGATATTCAGGATTTTGTTGTGATCGCGAATGGCGCTGATAACATTTCCGTGACCGAGAAGTCGATGATGATGATGACCACATATTTGTGAAAGATATTCAGCATTTTACCGCGATCGTAGATGACACTTATAATGTTTCTATGACCGCAGAAGACGATGATGATGACCACAGCCGCTGGAGATATTAAGGAGTTTGGTGCGATCGCGGATGACAATGATAACGTTTCCGTGACTACGGGAGATGTTCAAGATTATGTTGGCAATGGTAATGTCTCCATGAACGATGGAGATATTCATTTTGTCGCTATTGCAGGAGACGATGATGACGTTTCTGTTACCGCAGGAGATACTGCCTCAGGTGATGATGATAATGAAAATGATCACGATATTAAGGGATTATAGTAAGCACAACATTGTGATGAATGCAAATTACAGCAGATTTATGATTTATGATAGGTACTAAATTGAATACTGCTTGTTACTGGTGACCAAATTCAAAATGCTAATTCCATAGTTAAGTTCACATCAAATATTTAAAAAAATCAATAAGTTGTTTAACTTATTGTTAGAATAGTTATTATTTTGATCCATTGATAACACTTGTATTCTGTGTCTATGACTAAGTCCATTTAAAAAAAAATTGCATTTTGAAGAAACTAAAATGGGGAGAAATTGATCACAAACTTAGTTCCTCATTTCATCCTTTTATCCACAAAAGAAAAATTAAATTTGACCTAATATCTTAACCTTAACAAAAAAGCATTAGTAGCATCAACAAAAAGTTGTTTGACTAGGCCTGATTTTTAGACATAAACTCACCATCACAAAAAATGAACTGCGAACAAAGAATTCATATCTTTCATAATGAAATTAAGTGTAATAAAGAGAAGGCCTGGTAATACTAACATTAGTCACGAGTTTGAGGGCAGACAGCTGAAGTTCGCTGACGCCTTCAACAAAGAACGGTGACACACCCATGGAAGATATGTGGAGAACTGCTGTATCTGTGAGAGTCTGGATACTCAACAGTTCTGCTAGTAGAGACACCACCTCGGCTAGCTTGTTGTAGAGAGATAACACGCTCTTCTCTCTCACCTCCTTTGTGTGTGCTCTCTTCTTCCGCATATTTGCTACGAACCCATCTACAAACAGGGCTCGGGATAAGTACCGGGCTAAGATACAGGCTACTGAAATATTATATTATGCTACAAGTCTGGGAAGTAGGAGTTTCAGGTACAAGCATAACAGTTCTTGAGAGAGGCTTGCCGAGCACAGGTTTTCATACGAGTGCTGTAAGCACCTTTCCGGATGAGTGGCAATGTTACTGGCAAAATGTTACTTTTCACACACATCCACAGACAAAAACACAGGTTAAGTAACACATAGCCCATACGATCACAATACTGTTAAATATACAGTGCACTATTTCAAGATAATTTAACAGAATTGTAAACTTTTTAAACCTTTTTTAATATTTATTTGTGAAAGTGCAATGGGTCTGGCCTAACCTGTGTAATGTTCTTTGTACAGCTAATACCATTGAGAGCTTACCAAAGAAACTGATATTGTGTCTTATTGAAAAATTGTCATGTGCATGTGAGAGTGATTGGTAAATTTACTGTACTGCAACTAACTTTACTGGTCCCTTTCTGTAAACAATTACTTTTTTGTCTACAACACAAATATACAACTGTACAGAAACATTTTGTTTACGGTGTAGTGTGGTAAAAAAATATTAGTATGGTAGTATGGTAAAAATATTAGTGTGGTTATATATGATTAGTATTATCAAAATGTTAAGATTTTAGGGAATTTGTATCACAAAAAAAAGTATTTTACAAAAAGACTGAAGGTTTTTTTAGAAAAAAGAAAACCTTTTTCAAAAATGTGTCCTAGAAGTGTTGAAGGATCGATAGACATTAGAAAACGTACCTTTATCTTTGATATCTCTGTAGACCGGATCAAAAGATGGATAAATGGTGTTCAGTAGTTGATATTTGGTGAATATGACCACCCTATCTATCACATCTTCCAGGTAAACCCTCTTGTGCATGTTGGGGGATGTTAGGATGTAGAGGGTTGTTAGAGAAGCATCCACAGCTCTCATCACCCTCTCCATGGCCAGTTCCATCCATAGCTTGCGCTCATCTTCATCATCATTCTGGAAATTTAATATCAGTTATTAATGTTCAAGAAGTAACATTCTTGACTGTTAATATACAGATTTCTGTAACACATCATTACTAATACATATTTGTTAATACATTAAAGCTACTGTTAAATTTTTCTGTTGTTTCCTTTTAGAAGTAAGCATTTTAATTGGATCATACATATTTTTAAAGTGACAGTAAACATTTGTACTTAGTTTGAAATCGTGAAATCTATGAAGAATCTTTGCGGAACTACCCCAAAAATAGACTATTACATACAAAATAACTGTAAACGCTTTCTTCACCAATAGTTTGTCTTCCCCCATCCACCCAGATCTTGTAAAATGATTATACTCACCGGGTCTGCCAAAGGGGAGACTTTAGTGCCGTCCCTGATGTTCTTCTCAAGGATACTCAGCAACCTCGTGATCCGTTCTGAGGGGATGGACTCCATGGCTCCGAGGGTCTTCAGTTTAGCTGCTTCTCCACACAGGTCTTGCAGTTGGTACTTGGGAATCATAGCTTCTGATGGCACCTCCTCTTCATCGCCTGAGAAGAAGGTATCAAATTATAATAGCACTATGGATGTATTGATTTTTGATAGTGATGGGCGGATCCAAGAAAATGTCAGTACCGGATCCGGATCTTGAAAAATCCAGATACACAATGTCATAAGGGTGGGTTAAAAAAACTTAATATTAACAGAATGCCAATTTAAATCATACTGTTTAAAATTAAATTGGTAATGTTTAAAGATTAATATATCTTATATATAGAATAATCTCCAGTTGACCCCACAATCCCTCATTTTTGGGGGACACAAAAGATTTTCAAGATCATAAAATGAAACATTGTGCTAAGTTTGCACAATCACCAAATGGGTATCTGTGTATATTTTACCAACCTTCGATCTTGAGTATGCTAAATCGTGGTTTTTGCATGCAGCATCTAATTTTTGTATGCCTGGATCACCTCTTGCTAATCTCTTCCTTAAATTCGTTCCAGGTCCACAGTACTGATAGCCGGATATGTGAAGTTCTACAGGTAAAATACCCTGCGTCTGTGTACAAGAAGACTATCTGTGTCCTAACTGTGTTCTAACTTAGAAAAATATTAGATGGGGTGTCTTGACTTTTTATTCACCCTGTATGGACACAGATAATCTTCTTGTACACGGACACAGGGTATTTTACCTGTAGAACTCACGATTAATAGAAACCACGATATAGCATACTCAAGATTGAAGTATAGTAAAATTAGATCAGTGGCTGACAGCTTATTAGCTTGGGAAAGGGTAAAAGCTTCAGACTCTAGTATTGGTGAGAGAGCTGCCGCCTGGGCAGTTACTAACACAATGAAAACTAAAGCAAACTTTGGTTGGGGAAAAGGGCAGACTTCAACAATTAAAATACCCCCGCCACAGCAAACCTGCAGACTAAGCGAATTTCAACTTGTCTGATTAAATTTTTACTAAAATATTACTATAAATAAGACATACCTATTTATTCCCAATTTAAATAACATTAGATTTAACCAGTGCTTAGGTTTGCTGCTACAGGGAAGGTAACAAGTTTTTTTTTACCATACATATAAGATGAAATAAATAAATTTGCCAAATTTTATTAAGTTTAACATATAACAAATGTTAGAGCAATAACTTTTACATTACGTACTAGGACGGAATTCGCTAACCTGGCTGTAGAGTGGGTTATCGGGTTCCGGAGTTAGCCAATTCCTAAACCGAACAAGTTAGCGAGTTCCTCTCATTGACCAAATTTGAAGGTAGGGTGTTTAACATAGGGTTAGCGAGTTCCGGAGTTAGCCAATTCCGCGGACCCACATTCTCACTTCAACTTTAAGGGCAATTTTTTCCACTTAACAATATTATGGACAAATTTTCAGTTTAAAAAGGCAATCTAACAAAATCTGCTATAGTTACAGACAAGCTTATATAACAGCATAAAAACGGAGTGAAACAGTTAATCCCATCGAATTTTTCTTCAGTTAGTAAACTAACAGCTTTTTCAAAATAAACATATTATGTTTACCTGGATCCATGGTGAGATCAATGTCGTCTGTGTTGTTGAATATTTTCTCAATAGAGCGATTGAACCTCTGGTATGTATTCGTCTCCATTAGTTCTTCTACACTTAGTTTCTCAAGGACAGGTACCAGCTTCCGTTCGACTTTCCGAAGTTTGGTCTTTGGCGTGTGAGAGGAGGAGTCTAAGGAAGAAGCATTGGTATTACTACTTTAATCGTTGATATATTTTAAGATAATTAATCAAGGTAATTAATAAAGAAACATTCATAAGTTTATTTTTATTCCAACAGTTTGCTAACATTAAAAGAGCTTCAACACACAAAATTAAACTTATATTTTTCTGCTGCTACTGAAAATTAAGAAAAGAGAATTTTCTTTTGCTTTCATATTCTGTAACTACTATAACAATTGTCAATATATTTCCAAAACACGTAAGTTGAAAAAGGTGAATTTACACCTTCTTCTCAGGAATGGGATCATGTCTTTTATTGTCTGTGAATAACTACACCACACTACCACAGTTTTGCTGATCCAAACATACATCAAACCCGAATAACCTCTTGGGGAAATATGTTATTGTAGTTTTAAAAACCGCTAAGAGTTCTGAAGTCACTAACTGGGGTGTCCAGCAATTGGGAATTATAAATGAACTTTGATTACGGGAAAAAGTCTGAAATTGATACTTAAATTTAGTATAGAACCAGGACATTTGGAATAATTGCCAATAGCCTAAGGATGAGCATACATTTATCCGTTGGTTCTATTTTAAGATCGTGCAGGTTGTGTAGTAAAAACAAATCATGATTGCAGTAGATAATAACAGGTTATTTCACGAGCGTGGAGGACAATAAGAAGGGAACATGAATTAATTGCAAACCTAGCAACCACAACATCCTGCCTAATAATTGTCGTAGTTAATAAATGAATTAAAGAATTAAAAATTAGTAGCCTTTTTTTATTTATTTATTTATTTATTACATACACGGCAAACGCCATTTTAAAAGAGAGTTGAGTTGAGATTAATAAAAATTTGTTGTGACTTGAAGCCTTGATAGCCTTGAAGTTAATATTTTGTTGAAATACTATTTATATTGGACACAGCTTAAACCCTGGTCGAGAGTAAAATGATTGTTTAGCAAAAAAATTAGCATTGAAAAACCAATGTTTAGGCCTACCGTTTGAATTATCATCTTCAACTTCTGGTTCAGGTTTTCTTGAGGTTCGTCTCCTTTTTGACCAATGTTTAGCACCATCAATGTAATCTTCGTCGTTTTCAGTTTTCTTACTCAGGTCTTTCTCTGTAATTGAAAAAAAGTTTTGTTAAGTTTCAATGACTGAAAACTTTTGAGAGAAAATATAGAAAATAATCATTCTAGGATCTAGGATAGGGCATTTGCCAGGAATCATAAAGGACATTTGCAGGCTAGCAGGCTTACCTTTAAATAAATCCATAGAGACACATAAAATATACAACACAAAAGTAGAAATTTTCTTCAACCACTGGAGAAATGGCAATGGCAAGTGCAATTTGAATCTATTTCACCTTGTCAGGGTTGCCAACACAGCTGAAGAGACTAAAAATTGTTTTTGTTTTTGCTGTTGCATTTGTTTGAATATGTTCACTCATTATGAATAATCCGCTACATTTACACATGTAAACACACACAAAAAAATATATATACAGTAGACTCCCTCTTATCTGGACTCCTCGGGACCGAGGCAAGTCCGGATAACGGTATTTCCGGTTAAATCGACGTCTCCAAAAACTTGTTAAAACTGACCGTTTATTTGTAAACTGTATACAGTATTTCACTTAAATTTAGGAGAGCATTGTATTTAGACACGTGATCACTGGTTTCAAATCTTTCCCACGAGAACAGTTTTTTCAGTACCGCACACTTCCTGCCGATCTAGTCCGGTTAAACCAATGTGCTGATAAAAATTGTTTGGTTGAAGAGATTTCATTTCCGCAGTGTAGTCCGGTTAAACCGATGTCCGGTTAAAAGGTGTCCGGATAAGAGGGATTCTACTGTATACAATACACTAATGATGGGTCGGTACCACTTTTTCAATGTTGGTTCCGGTAACATCAGTACCTTATTTTTAAATTAGGCTACTTCATTGTTTTATTTTAAAAACAAAATATCTCTATTAACATTTTTAAAACTGATTACTTTTTATTGGTGTAGGTTGTTTATATTCAGGGGTTAAGAAAATTAATCTTAGGCCTATTTTTACAAACACTTTGACAACCAAACACATTCAAATCAAAATAATATATACCATAGCCTATCAGAAGTGTTAAATACAGGCCTATTTGTTGAAATGATACACCTTAGGTTACCAATTTCAATAAATGTGTATTTCAATAAATGTAACATAGGCTACCTTAGAAAGAAAAGGGGCTCTGGAAATGTGTTTTTAACTGCCTGTTAAGTTCTAGCTAAATATTTAGAAGGAAGTATCTTTTTTTAGTTATTTTGTACCTATAGCCTGCAGGAAGTTAATTTTAGACTTCATTATTAAGAAACGGAAATTTAGAACAAAAATATTTATGGAAAGGACGTTTTAAATAAAACTTTTTAGAAAATAGGCCTAAGTACATATTCATTTGAGGTTACAGTTTAAGTTGCAGGATTGTTGAAAAAAGATTTAACAAAGGCTTTGTTTTGTAACTGTGATGGTTTTTTTGTAGGCCTAGTGTCTGTAACGGTATTGTGGGGTTTTATTTCGCAAATATGTTGTTTGCTTCATCAGTTTTAAAATACTTCCAAACTCAGGAAGCCATCATCAAGAATTTTATCGCAAATTAGTATATAAAAACAACTTAAGGTAGGTAGGCCTACTTCTACAGTCTTGTAAAAAAATAATCCACTTTCAATTATTATTTACACACAAAAGAAGTTTAATTATTCACATCAAAAAAAGAAATCCGACAAAAAAGGCCCATTCTTCAATTTTGAAGAAACTAGACAGACAATGGACAACACTAAACTACATTTAAAAACTTTCTCACCTCGTTCGTGAAAGAGAAAGGCAAAAACAAAATTAAGTACGAACCACCAAACATACAAACAATATCAAATAAAATCTTTTTTTTGGTTTGCCGAATGAAGGCTTGGCTGTTTGTCATGTAGCCATGTAGTCTCATCCATCAATAAATTAATGTTGCCCGTTAACTTGAAATTTGAAATAGTAGTCTTGCGCAATGCGCAGTGTTGATATATTTGTCACGGTGGTTACAGATTGAATGCGATTTGTCGAAATCATGAGTACCCCAACATTTAACCATTGGACAAATATTAATTCTGACTGGACTGGACTAGCCACTGACTGAACTGGACTGAGTTAAACAGTTAGAGTGACTTGACGTACAAACGTCAGTTTGAGGTTCGAGACGTACGTGTACCATCTTAGTCATTCTTAGTCCTGTTTATGTTGCCTATTGCCTCTGTATTTCCATAGTTCAAACAAAACAAAGTCAAATAAAGAAATCTATGAATGAAATAATATGATCTTGTGAAACTATTATTAATATTACTAATAATCAACATCTTGAAAACCTTATTTGTGGCGTTGCTAGGAAAACTTGTGGTGGGGGGGGGGGGGGGGTTGATGGGACACGTTTTGCATAAGTAAATATAGTGGTAAATAAACAATTAAACAAATAACTGTAAAAAAAAGTAAATATAACTTTCAGTGTAAATATAGTGGATTATTCATAATGAGTGAACATATTCAAACATATGCAACAGTAAAAATAATTTTTAGTTTCTTCAGCTGTGTTGGCAATCCTGACAAGGTGGAATAGATTCAAATTGCAACTGCCATTGTCATTTCTCCAGTGGTTGGCCACAAAAATTTCTACGGCTCCATTTGATCCTGTGGTCCGCTACCTAGTCCTGCGAATCCAGTCAAGCCTAGTCAGCTAGACGTGTTGATCGTGTGAGCCGTGAGTAAGGTGTCTGTTGTAGGTTAGGTAACATCAGCAAAGCTGGCACAGCAATTCTATCATTTTTTTAAATATAACAAAGCCACCACCACCTTGTTTTTTGGTGGTGGAAGGTGGTACTGATGCTAGTTTAGGTATCAAAAACCCATCTTATGTCAGTACAGTAGACTATCACTAATCTGGCTCTATACGGAAATAGATAGCACCGGATTAGCGAGATCACCCAATTTATGGAGGGTCATGTATGAATAATAAATTTGCATGAAGTGTTGGTTGGAAAAAAGTTACCAGTTGTGTTAAATTATCTTGTCAAAATGTTGCTACAAAACAAACATGTTTATTCCAAAAAATTCTTAAACTAATTTTAAACTACTTTTATTATGGCTATGACTTATCATAGTAGTAGGGGTCTGTGGTGCACCGAAAAAGTCAGTTACCGGTACAAGCTTAATTACCGGTTCGCGGTACAAATGGTACAAATTCGGTTCGGTACAGCCTATTATAATAATAAATTACTTATCATTTACTATCGTAGTCAAGGGCAGTTGGTTCTGAGCACATAATGGTATATTACGTTACTAGTCCTGAAAATAAGTGTTTACCGGACGAGTGTGGTCGTTCCCGTGCGAGACGAAGTCGAGTACGGGATTACCATAAGAGTCTGGTACACACATTTTGGACGAGTTACGTACGATAGTTTACGCCATACTAATAAATCCGTACAAATCCTTATATATTTCCACCAACCAAAGGACTAAAAATCACTAATCATAACCTCTAGAGGTTATGCTTTTGTTTATAACCATTCATTGCCACCTAAATACAGTATAATCAGCTGATTGGTGTCCGGTAAAACTAATTACAGTACAGTAGTCAATGAAACCCCATTAGAATAAGCTGGCAGCAAACAGCTGTTTTCTGGACTAAATCCTTGCTGCTGGAAGTTGTCAAAATAATGTAGTGTGGCAAAAGTCTTATGAGATGTTTGTTTACGATCTTCATAATTTATTACTAGGGTGATGATGCAATAAAAAACCCATTTGCAGCCCAAAAACCATTGACATTTTATCACACCAATAATTGTTGTATTCAAGTACTTCCAAGAACTGTTGAGTTTTATCACTTTTTTTCCTTTACGACTTATCACTTTCATTCCTTTACGACTTTCCCCAATTCTATTTTATCATAAAAATAATAGTTTTATGATGACTGTAAATTTTATCTTTAACTCAGTCAGTGTTTTCGTGAATATTCAATTTAAATGCCTACTGCCATAAAACTGTTTATGGCTTCATATTAAACTTGTAACTAATTTACAATCTTATTTTATAAGTTAAGATATTTATTATTTGTTATGGATATTTTATCTTTCTATTGATGAAACCACAATCGTCACAGTAGTTAGTGTTGTTTACATAATTTTTTCTGTTAAGCAAGCCTACTCGGTCTTAAATTATGTCATTGCATATTCTGTATCTTGTCTTATATTGTTGGACGTTAAGGTTTAAATGTTTTTTTGTTTCCTATATTTCTTTATTGTGTTGAAGGTACTTAATGCAATCTAAATCTTATAAACTAGAATTATGATAGTGATTTTGCTACCCTCATTGTAACCTACTCAATTTATATAGGCCATCCTAAATAATTAGGTCTAGGCCTCGGTCTTTGGACTCTTTGGAAGAGCTTTAAAATATACTAAGAAAATTGGATTGTGTCTGACATAAACTAATGATTGATATGTGTGGATGTTAACTTTGTAAATGAATAGACAATAATATTACTCTGTGGTAATCCAAATTGGGTATCCAAATTTTAAATGATCAGACTTCCTTCCAGTCAAATATTATGGGTATTTGATACATATATTGACAAGCTACAAATCAAAGAAGTATCAAATAAGAAGAACAAAACAAACTGAAATACAGGTGGCACTGGAGAGATGAAGATGAAGACAACTCATGATTCAGTCAGTTTTATTTAGTCAGTGACAGTGATAAGAGAGTGCTGGCCAGCCTTTACAGTTTTTTAACCAGTTTTATCACTTTTTATTCAATTTTAATAATTTGATCAACATGACTAGTTTTTACTATTGCGATTCTGACAGTGTTTTAAATAATCTTTTGACATACCACAATGTATTAATACATTGATGATGTGGTTGCATACAATGACCTGACGATATTCTAAGGAACGAAACTAGTTGTCATACTAGCAACTGCGGTTGGATAAGGTAATTCTTCCATTTTATCAATTATATATTCCAACCAAGGGTCACGATGAATAACATAAAAAATAACTAGACATTGTGTTGGTTGGAAATAATTTACCAGTTGTGTGAAATTATCTTGTAAATTAATGCTTCAAACATGTTTATTCCTAAACATTCTTTTTCTGATTTTAAAACCACTTTATAATGGCTATTCAAAGTATCTCAGAGTAAAATAGGTAAAACCTTTAGCTTAACTGTGATTTTTCTTGACACAATCCTCGTAGGAGTAAAAGGTTAATAATGTGTGGTACAGTAATTGTTGTTAGAAAACCATGAATGTTACTATTAATTTTCATAGTAATGTTAATGTATTAAAATTAAAAATAATTGTTTAAATACAGTTCTGAGAAGAAAACCGAAAAAATACGGGTAGCCGCGTACCGTACCGATTTTGTACCGAGAACTGAGGTACAAAATATTGTACCGTACCGAACCGTACCGACCTTAAATTTTCTGTACCGCAGACCCCTACTTAGTAGTAAAATAGATCAGGCATTTATCTTAACTGTGTTTCTTTCTTGACATAATCTGTTAGGAGTTTAAAGGTTTTGATAATGTGTGGTACCGGTAATGTAATTGTTGTTAGAAAACCATGAAAGTAGGAAATAATTAATTTTCATAGTAATGTCAATTAAATAAAATGAGAAAATACTGGAAGCGGTTTTATACCAAGAACAAATAGGTATAGGCAAAAATAGATGATGATTTTAAAATGTTACATTGGTTACATTCAGGATTATTAACCTTAGTAGAGTTCCAAAGCTTTGATTGGGAAACTCTTTGAAGTGTATGATAATAAAATAAATATTCGCTCGGTAATATTCTATATTAGAAAATATTAGGAAGTATTTGACTATTTGATTCCCAACCCCTCCCACCCTTCTGGTGTTTTGCCTTTCTAGTGTTTCTATTCTGACTTTTTCTTTAAACATTAAATTACGCTGGTAATAAATTATGGAAGTATTAAAGGAATAAAAGTGATAAAACTTTAATGAGCTAAACTACTAACTTTAAGGTCAAGTGAGCAAGCAAGGGTGATTTACCTTTCCGCCTCTGGAGTTCCCTTTCTTTGTCTCTGGCTTTGAAATATTTAGTTTTATTCCGAGGTTCCTCATCGCTCTCGTCATCAGATTCGATTCTCAGCCTTTTATGGTTTCTCAGAGTCAACTCTCTTGACGGGGATTTGTCACTATTTTCTTTAATGTTCTTCATTAATGGATCTTCAGGTCTTATCCTATTGAGCATAACTTTGGGCTCCATCAATTTTGGTGTTGAGATCGGCGTTTCTGGTTTAACCACTAAAATTGGTTCTTTGTTCTCCTGTACAGGAGCCATACTTGCCTGTGCTGGCGATGAGTCTGAAAAGAGCAAGCAAACGTTAAGTACACTTGTAACTCCCAGAAATAGAGGAAGGGTCTGCAGAATGAAGTTAGGGGCTAGGTGGAGAAGGGTGATAAATTGAGATAGAGGGTATAGAATTGGGTTTTTTAAAGTACCATACATTTTTTTAAGGGATTTAACATCATACGCATCAAAATCTAAAAGTTTGTTTATTTTGAAAACATCTGTTACTTTTGTAACAAACCTCACACATGGTTGTTACCACCATGATTTACATGTTATTATTCATAACTGACTAGGGTTATTTTGATATCTTAATTCTTAATAACTGCAATATAATCGAAGGGGTTCGTTATTTCAGACTCAAAACGGTGAACATCCATACATGACCTATGGGTCACTGGTCTGGTGGAGCTGCTGACAGACTGGCGAGCACACAGAGGCTTGCCTGTCTATCAGTGACAGGAGCCATGAGAAGCACTTACAGTACCTCTCTGGACTGCTACTTGGATCGTCTGCTACTAGATGTGTTTGTCATTTGAGTAACGAGAAAAAGTTCACACTTCCTCAGATGTGAGGGACTGGGTGTGATCACACACCTATAAGCACACCAGCACCACCTTCAAAGTGAAAGGCGAACCCCTCCTGGACATGAGCTCCGATCAGACAAAGCTTTGCCATTCCTCTTCAAAGCCTTTCATTGTGATAAATCCACAATGTGATTAATGGCTTATTCCCAAAGAACACTACAACAAGTTGAGCTCGAATGGTTTACAGACACATCTAAAACAACCAGTAGAACCAGTGAAGAAATCCAGACCAAGAGGCCTAAAAGAGAGATCAGCATCTCTCTTGGTATCCTTCTGTGTTCCTGTCTGTAAAAATTGCTATCTAGGAATGTGGAAATCATGATACTTGGCTACAGGGACAAGAAAATATGCGTTTCTTAGATAGCCAAGCAGCCCTCAAAGCCAGTTTAGGTCAATGTTAGTTTGGGAATACTTTGAAGCTATCTGCCGGTTAGGGGAGCTCAAAAGTCACACTCTGCCGGGTTCTCAGACATTCTGGGCTTGGTGGTAAAGAAAAGGAAGATCTGCTAGTCAACAAGGGTTCATCTGCAAATTTCACAGGACTCGAAACATACTGTGGCATTCCCAAGAAAACGATAATGCAAGTTATACTCTTGGGCACACCATGAACACGAGAAGAGATATGAGGCTTGCTCAGGTCATAAGATGAGCAAACTCATACTTAGTGTCTTTAGCGGTATCAAGAAGATAGCAGGCTTTATCACAGGACAGGGTCGCCGGATTTCTACCCCCGGATATTTACCCCCATGAAAAAACGCCTACGTCATTTTGACGTCACGAGGGGCGGGGCTTATACACGTTCGAGAAACAGCCCGCGACTGGAAATCTACCCCCGGACATCTACCCCCGGACATCTACCCCCAGACATCTACCCCCGGACATTTACCCCCAGACATCTACCCCCCGTGGTCAGCTCTGCCGCGTATCGGCCAATATTCATTGTTGTAATTGATTTTCGAAATTGCTTTATGTAAATCAACGGCTCTTTGGTTAATCATTACCCTCTAATATATAGTATTAAGCATGTGATATGTCATTGCCTTGTTTAACTTTATCTATCTTCCTAATAAAATAAGCTGTAACAGCCCTTTTTCACCCAAACTACTTCACTGATATTTATGATTGAGGTGTAATTTTAAATCTTATGATCCAGCTCAACGCAAAATGGTATTTAAAACTATATGTTGATAAAGGGCTTCAAAAGTAAGACCCTTAAGGATTTGATTCATTTCCAGACAGTGATTTAAATGGTTGACCAACTTTCACATAGGCTTACAGTAACAGCTAATGGCGCATGCACGAGCGCGGATCGGAAGTGTTTATCAAAAAATATTGACCAATACGATTTTAATACTATTTAAAGGTTCTTCCAAAAGAAGAGACACCAGTTAACATTGTAATAATAACTCTTATGACGTACGGTATGGGAAATATTTTATTCATTGAATGATCAACCATATTTTGTAACTTATGCAATAGTCATTATTGCTTTTACACTTATTACTCATCAAAAAAGCTAAAGAGCTAAATGCTCAAAATTTTTATTACTTCAATCTATTTATCGCAGTTATATGAATTAGCATAAGCCTTGAAAGTAACCGTCAATGTTGACGGGTTTCGCCTAATTCTGTTCTGTATACTACCTTAAAATGCCTCATTTTAACATTTTACTGACAGGAAACCTGCTTATTCACTTCCAGATGGTATTCTTATGAATGAATCTTTTGAACTCTTATAACTTTTTAACTATTACAGCTATATGAATGAAATTTTTACCACACATTGTTTATACTATAAATCAACTTTCTGTGCATGGATATTGTAATTGGGTAAATAAAAGTACATGAAAAAAAATTTATAAAAATGTATAACCTATAAATTTTTTGTAAAACTTATTTTTGAAGCCATAACTTATAAACTAATTGAGAAAGTAACATGAGTATGCACAGAAAGTATGTGCTTTCCTTGCTCTTTAAAATAAGATATCAAACAATAAAATTGGTTCAGTAGTTAAATAGTTATAAGAGATTTTAAAAACCCCATTTTTTCCCACTAAAAAACTTAAAAAACTCCAAAAAGTTTGTAAAAATTTTTTTTTTTCACTTTAACGGCAGTAAATCTTTTTCTAAGACTAAATGAACTTAAAAAAGTATATATGATAATTTTTAAAAGGATTTTAATAAAAATCACTAGTTTCAGTAGCGACTCCCCTTGGCAGGATTTTCCAATAAGACTTTATACATTCTCTGAATATGCGAATGTGCTGCAATGGGGATATTTAGGCGTATATATATGTTAAAAGATATTAGGCTATGCATAAAAAATTGAATGTGGCCATTATTTTGAATTTTAATAATTGTCTTATTTTAGGTCTTTAAGAGAAAATACTTTAAAATCCTTTCTTAGTACGCATCTAAAATCTTAGAAACTATTTTTTTTTTACTACTAGGTGATGTGAAAAATTTACCATTATACACCTGACTTTTATTGATCCTATTTCTCAATTTAACAGTTTACAACTCAATTGTCTATTTTAGGTATTTAAGAGAAAATACTTTAAATCGTTTCTTAGTACGCATCTAAAATCTTAGAAACTAATTTTTTTACTACTAGGTGATATGCAAAACTTACACATTATGTAAGTTTCACCTGACTTTTATTGATCCTTTTTCTCAATTTAACAGTTTACAACTGAGTTTTGGTTTACCAAACAATTATTACTACTAGGCCTACATTGAATAAACTGGAAGTTCACCACAGTTTATTCACTTTATCCTTTAAGAAATGTGTGTAAAAACAATGGTTCAGTACGATGTAACACTTGACCATGTGAAAAGTACGCAATATTATATTATTTTCATAACTTTTTCATCTCATAATTACAGTTGCAGACGATCTATTCATGTTTTCACAACCTGACTTAAAAATTGATGTGATGAGTACTACTCACATTTCACTTTTAAACTGTTACTGTATGTGTAAAAGTTGGTAAACCATTGGAAGCACCTTCTAGGAATAAATCAAAGGCTTTAGGGATCAACCTTTTGAAGCCCTAATCGAAATATCCTTTACCATTTTGTGCTGCGCTAGATCTTAAGCTTTTAAAAGACATCTCAATCGTAAAAATCAGTGAAGTAGGTCGGGTTGAAAAGGACTGTTACAACTTATTGAATTACAAATATGGATAATGTTAAAACTGCATCGACATATCGCATGTTTACTACTGGATATAAGAAGGTAAAGAAATTTATAAAATCAATTACAACAATGAATATTGGCCGATACGCGGAAGAGCTGACCACGGGGGGTAGATGTCTGGGGGTAAATGTCCGGGGGTAGATGTCCGGGGGTAAATGTCTGGGGGTAGATGTCCGGGGGTAGATTTCCAGTCGCGGGCTGTTTCTTGAACGTGTATAAGCCCCGCCCCTCGTGACGTCAAAATGACGTAGGCGTTTTTTCATGGGGGTAAATATCCGGGGGTAGAAATCCGCTACCCCACAGGACACTGCCACCTTAGAAAGCATATGCATAGAATGGGTCTATTTGTGAGCGACCCAGTATGCAGAAAATGGGGTCTCCAGGATGTGATTGCTGAACCTCTGCTCTTTGAAGTAAAGCTAAAGTCGTTTAGGGCTGACTCTTTTGAAAAGATGACTGAGGGAAAAGCAATTATTCTTCCTCAAGCTTGCAGATATTGGGTTTCTAGATGTTTTTCAAGGGAGAGCAAACAACCCAAGCAGCTGACACACATCAGACAGCAAGGTCGCCCCTACTGATGATTTTGATGACAACTCCTCATTTATCTTCAGCAGATAGAGCATCATAATGCCCTCTTTAAAAACTAACACTCCTTTATTGACAACTTGAAAATCATCTGCCAGATGACATCAGAAAACAACAGAACAAATTCTGAAGCAAAAATGCTATCAAAACCATTCTATGTGTGAATTTCATCATTGTATATAAAAGAAAAAAACAAGTAAGAACACACAATCTCTTTCACGAACAACAATCTTTTCCTCAGAACAATATTTTAACAAAACCGTTTCATTTGTTATTTTAAACATGTGACAACAATATCAGTTCATATATAATGTTAAGAGGAAGAATACTTCATCTGCAATATTTTCATGAGTCTAATCCTCAACACGATGACTGCTGAAAACAACGTACAGGCGCTCCCCAGTGGCGGGCAAAGCCCCGGCACGCAACCGAATCAGCGAACGCAATTGGCATTCAAATATTTCAGTCTGACGAATCACAAAATAGCAGTGGTGACTGTGCTGCGTTACCCCGAGAGTGGATGTAGTTCACTGAAACACCCAAAGGTAGCAGCACTGCACGGATCCGTATCCAGTGTCTTTGTAATGTGGGTTGAAGAGAAAAAATCCCCGAAACCGGGACAAAAGCATTGCCAGACAGGATTTTACGGGAAATTTTAGTACCAACCTACACCAAAGTAAAGCTCGCATTCTAAGCTGGCAGGCTGGCAACGATTATAACGTCTCCGTCTGAGGCTAAGCTCACACTGACTCAATATATTTCTGTTGGCCTGGCTGACTTTTGTCGGCGCGCGCCACATTGAAGTGCTAGCTACGCCGACTAGAGTCGGCGTTAGCAGTCAACGTGTTAAAGGTAATTTTCCTCAGAAAACATAGTGTAAAGTTGTCTAACTAAATTAACAAATATAAATAATAAATATTAAATATACAGTCATAAAGGGGAAGAGGGAAAAAACAATTAATTGCTTAACCTAAACTTGTTTGATACAAATTATGAGCAGAAATATTTGGAATAATTGTTTCAGTCGATAAAACATAATAGATTAAGTTATTTACTATTTCTTAGTTACTAAAACAAAGGTATTTCGTAAATACATTTTACTCCTTCCTGCAATTTTTCTTATTCTGTCTTTCTTTCCTCCCTGTCATCATGGCATTGTTATTTGGGGAAATGGAGTAGGAATTACAGATGTTTTGAAAGTACAAAAGAAGGCGATAAGGATTGTGACTGGTAGTAGAAAACGAGACCATTGTAAGCCATTGTTTGTAGAATTAGATATATTAACTGTAATTAGTCTGTACATATATGAAGTGTCTATTTTTGTTAAAAAAAACTACCACAAATATGTAATTAGAGATAGTGTCCATAGTTACCAAACAAGAAATAGAGGTACATTAGATTTAGATAGAGTAAGGCTGTCAAGAACTCAGAATTACCATACCTACTTGGGTCTTAAAATATTTAATATGTTTCCTGTTGATTTCAGCTCTTTGCCTTTGAATGTTTTCTCTGACAAACTGTTAAAGTGGTGTAAAATCAATCCAATGTACAAAATAGATGATTTTTTTGATGTTAAATTCAAAAACAAGGACCTAGATTTTAAATAGTAACCTTTATTTATATATTCTGTTTGACGAAATCTATTGTAATTTTGTAATTACTGAACGATGAATAAATTGTCTATTGTCATAGATCATTCTAAACCTTTGATTAAAGACCAAAGATCTGAAAATTCAAACTGACCATAATCTTCCTTTTTTTGTGATTGACAAAGTGGCCAGTAACCATGAAATACCTACATCAATTTTGTATGTGTTTCCCATTTTACTCTAACCCACTGTACAAGTAAGTTTTTTCCTATCAAACCTACCTGGCCTAGAGCCCTTTTCCAAGAATACCTAAACAATGCTTTAGTTGGTTGCCAATATACAATTATAAAAAGTTTTGATCCTGTTATACAACTAAATATATCAAGATTTAAATGCACCATCTATTAGTTGGTGTTACATGTTTTTGATCGTCATTAAGAAAGTTAGTTAGTTATAGGTTTGAGATTAGTTTGCTGGGACAAGAATCGTTAAATGTGTAGACAACTGCAATGAAATGGTTGCTACTTTTACGAAGCTACAACTCTTTGACAGCATTTAAAATGTTGTGGCCTTAATACCAGTTCTACCAAGGTAGAGTGTTATCACACTCTAATCTTCAATTTACCTGGCAAGCTTGACGAGAGAGGGTTGGCCCGAGGTATGCTGGAAGCTGGAGGAGGGGTAATGTTGTTCTCTCTTCGCGGAGTGACGACGCCATTGGTCGCAACACAGCTACTTGTTTCCGAAGGAGGCACCAGTACAGATTTTTGTGCAGTAGAGGGTGATAGTTCTGGTTTTACTTGGTTCACTTCTTGTACTAAAGACTTAGCACTCGCACTGTTCAGTATTCGCGGCGTAACAGGTTTCCGGGTGTTATCACAGACATTGCTGTTAGCAGGAGGGGTGGGTGTAAGAGCGGGTGTTGACACAAGCGTGGGTGTGGGTGTTGGTGTTGGGGATGGTTGTGGAGTTTGACGAGAAGCAGTTGCTGCATGGTTCACTTCTGTTGAAGGTTGACTGTGGCCTCTTGCAGAATTAACTGCAATAAAAAAACAAGCTAAATTAAATAGTTGAAATGATTTTTATTGTTGAACTATGTGTTGTTGAATATATTACCGAGACAACATCCACATTATTGCATAAATGGTTATAAACTTTATTCAATGAACTGTTCTGGCCAAAATCATGTAGTTAATTGCTACAAATTGCAGTCCATTCAAGTTCAGATGGCTTTCACTGCTGGTCAAAAAACTACTCAGGTTTCCATTTCAGTCAGTTGTTTGAAATAAATATTTTGGAAAGCCTTTGACTTTCTAAACTCAGAAAATAAGACATCAGCTGAAATTGTTGAGGGTAAACTCAGCATTGAACCCATTACAGTAATTGAGTTATTAGATAGCATGCATTCAGTAGAAGCAATCGTTTGAGTGTGGTATCCATATTTAGACTAATGCAAAATATATTGCATATCATTATTGAACTAAATAAAGTAGAGGAAAGGGTAAGAAGACAATCAGTAGCTCAACAAATAGAAGAAAAAAACATTAAGTTTAACTTATGCATCAATAAAATAAGAGTGAAGATTCATCAGAATAACACTGGTTATGACACCCAAACTTTATTGGCACAAAGACTACAGCATATTGCTGCTTAGCAGTAGCAGTAGGAGCAGATTCGAGTCCCCTTCTCCTGGCTCTGACCAACTGACGTCTGCATCCGAGATAAACTCTTGTTAGCAATCTCCCCAGTCCACCAATAGAAAGGCAAGATCCTTCCAGAGCATGAAAAAGTTCGCAGACACAGCTGATGAGCTGCATCAAGTACAAGCTGGTCTCAAATACAACTCCAGCTTGATCCAGCCAGCGCTTCGGTATTGAGTTTGCTAACACACCACCAAGCCTGGTAGGCATAACACTGCAGGGCAACCGATTGACGTGTATTATCAACTTTGAATATGGTGTACTGATGATGCAGGGAAAATTGCAACCGTCACCATCATTGATAGTTCCTAATACCCCAGCCTCATAATAGGAAAAACCCTGCTCTTATGACAAGCTCTAGAATCTTCCTGCCTCTGGTGTCGGTTTCCAGCACGCCTAATTCAACTGCCCTGGGGTTGACATCACCAGTGACAATAAATTTTCCACCAGCTTCTACCAGGAAGTCCTCTAGGAAATCATGGTTTGCCTAAAATTCGCTGATCAGGTCGTTCGGTATGAAGTAGCAGCTCACAACTGTGAAACTAACTCCCATCAACCAAACGAACCCCCAGACACCTTTACTGAGGGTCAGGAATTTTTGTTGATCCAGAATCCAGTTAGCCTAGGTGCCCAAGGTATCCTGGAACCAGCCTGGACTGTTTTGTTCGCAATATTGCTTATTATATAATAAATATATCCATTCCCACTCTCTAACTTGTTGGTCGAGGAGATTGTCCTCAAGGATACTCTTGGGGTGGTAATCATGCAAAAATTTCATTTATTATTTATTCTTTTACCGGGAATCTTCTAAAGCATCTTCGAAGACAAAAATAGGCTTTCTTACCAGGTGCACGCTCCAAAGAGTACGCGCGTCCAAGGGTACGCACTCTGAACAGACAAAATACTTTGTTGGGGCCCAGTGATTTGACTTAACACGTTCGCTACCAATTGCCACATATATGCGACGCTGCGGTCATTGCCATGGACCGTGGAATAAATTTTAATATTACACATGGACTGGGTGTCACTTGGTTAACAGTACGTCACTAATCAGAAATCCACAGACCAAGTGACGCACATATGCGACAGACATCCCTGTAGACCACTGCAGAAAATTCAGGGCCTTCAAATAGACCATTACGAAGATATAAGCTTTTGACACCAATGCAAATATGCGACGTCAGTCTATTTTTAATGTGACCAGTCTATGGGTAGAAACCGTCCATCAAATATGTGTGTCGCTGGTCTATATGAATTAAAAATTTAGTACTATTGTGGTAGTGAACGTGTTAATAACCCCTTTTTGCCACACTTTATACGACGACCAAACATCTTTAGAAGCAGGTGAAAACTGTCATCAGTTGAACTCTATTAAGGACCCAAAACCCCTTAAGGTTTTTGACTCGGAGAAGCTCAGTGGCATCTCACACCCAGAGCTCTAGAATTTGTTAATAATCATTTAAGTGGAGCTGTTCTTAGCAGCCACTGTGACCTTAATTTCCCAAAGCGCTTACTGCCTGACTACCTAGCTAACTTCATCTGCTGATATGTAGCAGTCAAGATCTTGGACTGGGTCACCTGTACCAGAGAGTAGAAACCACCCTCTCATGTTGCACTCCCTGACCAGGGTTCGAAGGAGGTGGCTCTGACGACAAGATAAAGAAACCCATCGGCAGTGTGAGGCCCACATCAGCCCCCGCAACACAACAGGACACTTCCAGGATCCTCCGGTCATCCACTAATGGTCGCCTTATACAACAAGCAGCGAATACTGCTGTCCATTCTAAACCCGGGTACCACACTGGGGCACCTAAGTCTCACCATGAAGTCTATGATAATAGCTACATGTAAAGAAATGTGCTGAAACAATGAAACTCACCTACAGGACCTTTGAACACTTGTGGATTCCTATGTAAAATTGCTTTAAGAAGTTCTGGAGTATTTTGTTCTTCAACTGGAGGTTCTGTCCCTGTGTAATGGTCCTTCAATTCTCTGTAAGAATAAAAAGTCATAAGAATATTAAAATACATGATAAGTAAAAGAATGGACAAATTACATTGAAATGTTTACATCTTTTACATACAGTAGACTCCCTCTTATCTGGACTCCTCGGGACCAAGGCCAGTCCGGATAACGCGTTTTCCGGTTAAACTGATGTCCCCAAAAACTCGTTAAAACGGACCGTTTGAATGCATACTGTATACAGTATTTGACTAAAATTTAGGAGAGCATTGAATTTAAACACGTGATCCCTGGTCTGAAATCTTTTCCATGAGTACAGTCGTTTCAGTAGAGCACACTTCCTACCGATTTAGTCCGGTTAAACCGATGTGCTGATAAAAATTGTTCGGTTAAAGAGATGCCATTTCTGCCGAGTGTAGTCCGGTTAAAAGGTGTCCGGATAAAAGTGAGTCTACTGTAATAGGAAACCAAGCTACTCAAGTGAGTATATTATCTGGAAAATGGAAAATATTTTTAACACCAAACATAATGAAAATTCATGTTATGTGAGTCGGTGGCTCAGTCGGTAGCGTCGCGGACTTCGGGCTCAAGGCAGCGATGTCGTGGGTTCGGATCCTGGTCACTGCCACTAAAATTTATCAGTACAGTTCACCTTTGTACTGTACCGGCTCACTCCTTGCTTTGCTGTAAACGATCCACGCACGGGCGCTTAGTCTATGTGGACGGGCAAATGCAAGGTTAAAAGAGGCTGCCAACCTCTAAAAAAAAAAATAATAATAATAATAATCTGGAAAATTGTTGAAGTTCAACAAGGCTAAATATTTTAAACTTTATTTAGTAAATAAAATAATAAATAAACAAAGTCCTTATTAGTCAGCGTACAGCTATATACATTTATCTAACCACTTAAGTTGTATGCCAAGGACAACATTTAAGGCCCTAGGCCTATACACAATCGGATAATTTATGACATTGATTTTACTTGTCTTTATGTGTTTAATCATTGTACGCTCTCATCTGAGATTTGCTATTCCAAGGATCCAAGTCTGCCTAATTACAAAGTTGTCCTTAAGTTACATCATCTGTCCTAAGGGAAGGCATTCTAATGTATTCAGCACAGACTTAACTAACCTCTACTTTGATTGTTTTTGCTGTAATAGTAATACACAGAGAGTAGAGGGTAGGGTGACTTGTTTAGACTGCATTCATGAATTGCTAATTTTGTAATAACAATGAGCACATTGAAACACAGATTCAACAGCATGAGCCCTATAACAATGAACTGCAGTCTTTCCGAGTTTAAACTTTTTTCCCCTAGGATGCTAGGCACAAGCCCGGGATTGTTTTTCACATTACTTCAGGCTAGACCTAGGGGTTGTTAAATATTAAGTACATAAGTACTCTTTCAAAGGTAAATAAAGATCTTAGAAATCCTGCAAATTCCTTAATCTATTCGGTATCGAGAATAGTGAGTAATATTTCAGAACTGGTATCGAATTGAGAAATTCTGTTATCGGCCTATTCCTATTAAAATACGTCAATTAATATTTGACTAAAATACGTAATTCAAGCCATGGCCTTTTAAGTTTTGAGACCGAGTTTGGCTTTGTTCCAGCTATGCGTAGATTGACACTGCTATTCGCTACTGCTGTGCTGCTACACTATTATAGATAGAACTTGCGGGTGGCGGCGAGTCTGCGTATTCTGTCAACGATTCTCGAATCTCGAATCCGAATCTTTTCTTAGGATTCGGTGGATTCGAGATTCGGATTAGACCCATCTGAGCTGCCTCGCCCGTGTCGTTTCAGTTGTTTATATTATATTCTGCCGATCTTACGTATTCTTGACAGTAAACTCGTAGTTGGACTTTATTTTTTATTTAATATACTTTAACTATGAAACAATATAAATAATCATTTAATTTGAAATAATAATTCTACTTCTAAATGGTAGGCCGATCATTTAAATATTCGATTCAAACCTATTTAAAAATTTTGAATTGAATCGAATATCTCAAATCGATATTCGATTAGAAAAAGTTCAAAGTTTGAATATTCGCACACCCCTATTTTTTACTGATGTTTGACAATATTTGCTGTCATAGTAAAACAAAACAAGATTATACTTACATGTGATCAGCGGAGGTTTGGGCTAAAGACTGCACCAACTGGGGCACAAGAGCTTCATCTCGCAAACTCAATAAAATGTGCGCCTCCTCGGCAACACGGGGATGAAACAGTAGCGACTTGTTACTCAGGGTCTGGGGGAGTGGGGAGGGAAGTGGCATTTCCGGCAGCACTGCAATACAAACAGCGTGTCTCATGTATTACAAGTAGGTAGTACGGATCATTTATGGCTAGTTTATGTGCAAATATTAGGTGGTAAAGTAAAACCTTGATTAAACATACTGATCAGGCCTAATCAACTACAAGTAGGTAGTGCAGGATGTCTAATGGTCATCCATGGTTAGTTCATCAGCCAACATATTAATGGTAGTAGAGATAAACTTCAATCAACCACTTATTACTACCCATTGGGAACTTTACCCAATACAAGTGCTGGGCGATTTGAAACAATACTGTGAGATATGGGGAAAAAGTCACATGTCTCTTCACTTATTACGATGAGACAGACAGTTGGAAAGACATAGACTCTACAATGATGAACTGACCACTAGGCTTTGCAGGGCCAAAAGTGATATAAGGATCAGTGGTATAGTGGACTAAGGTGTTGCAAACGCCTGCTGTAAAGAGGCTACGAAGATCTGAGTGGCTTGCCTTGAAACCTCTAGAGCAGCTGTAGACTTTCATATTAATAGAGAAATCTATCTATTATAGCTATGTTGGCTTTCAGCTAAACCTCCCGATTCTTGGGAATTGTTGTAAAAGAGAATGCGAGTTTGGTAGTATATAGGATTAGCTGCAGTGGTAATCCAGATCTTGATAAGACATGCACTGTCAGCATTTAAAACCGGATTATCTGAGAAAGCTCTAGCGGAAAACAATAGGTTCACTCTTAAGTGGGGCTCAGACTTTGTAACAAACGAGCTGATAAGTAAGCAAACCAGGGAGCAGAAACCCTGTTTTGGGCCCAGAACTGACAAGTGGCGTGGCTCACAGCATAGCACACCAGGGGGTCGTTAGTGGATGAATAAAGAATGTTATAAGCACTGGAAGAGTACAGAAGGCAATGTTCAGTCCAAGAGGATGCTTTTAGCTCCAACTGGTGCAGTAGAAATTGAGGGCTTAAATAATAGGAAGTGCCTGAGGAAGGCGGTAGGCATTATTAGCCCTTAGGTCTTTCTTGGCCACCTGAACATGATGGATATTCAAGTTGATAGCCTCTTGAGCAGGAAGTGTGCGAGGAGGATGAAACAGCCTTCCATATATTGTCTCAATGCTCAGCCCTGTTGAGAATACGGATGAGATCCCTCTGGGTGACTTGTAGTGGTCAAGGGAAATTCCAGGGAACAATCTTGAAGAAAATCTTAAGGATCATAATAATTTACTCTTGAGGATTAAGTCCCTGTCCTGATTCCTGAGGGTGGCACAACAAGATGGAAGTTGCTGTGTTGTAATCCCAGGCAGTGAAGAATGTTCCGGCATGGTTTTTTTAAATTGAAATACCTTTTAATCTAACCTAAACTTTCTCCCAAACAAGTGGTTCGGATTAACAGAGTTTAGAGGATTAGAGGGACTCTGTGTAGTGTAGAATTTTTCATAAGTATCAATGGCTAGTCCACGTGCCAATATATTTAAGATTGTACAGTATATCATCACTCCTTTACACATTTATCAAATTTACCAGTCACGGGATATGCCAATAAACTGTCACACTATATTTGGGTTTTGTAAGCCCCAGTGTAAATTATGGATTAGTACAGCTTATTGGATGGCATCACTTTTTTGAAGGTTGACTATAAGTTTCAAATCAGTTGTTCTGAAGGACAAGCTGAAGTTGTATTATTTTAGGCAAGGTAGAAAGCTGATGTAACCGATATGTATTACGATGTTAATTTTAAATTATGGAACCTCTATAGGCCTACAGGCTTCTTCAGAGGTCCTTTATTTCCAGGATGTTTGTAATATAATGTTAATTATACTATTTGTATAAGTTGTATATTTTTATTTTTTGTAAATTCAAAACTATAATTATCTGTAGCACTTTTGGAAATAAAGTCTATTCTATTCTATTCTGTTCAATATTTATTTTGTATTTTAATGGTCAGTATTCACATATATCCTTTTCAATTACTCTGTAATATATTTTAATATGGTAATTTTTTCAAGGCAAAGAATACCTGGAAACAATCTGTACTAAAATAAATAATGTAGTAAACCTATATACTTACAGTCTGTTAGGCTTGCAATGCCTGCCAGTGTTGTTATAGGGACACTTGGAATTTCACCGTTCATCTTAAATTACTGCCTACCATTGTCATGGGGGTTCCTTTCATGATCCCTGTAACATTTGAGATAGTTAAGGATCTAAAACAATATGTATAAGAGAACATTATTAATCAGGTAGACAGTGATACAAACCTTTGATTGTTATAAAATAACCTGATAGTTAATGGAGAAGTAAACTTATTATCAACTTTAAATTATCTTCAGAGTAGTCATGTGAATAGTGTTTGGTTTCAAATGGACATTAATTATAAGTTATTTGTTCTCATTTCAGTTAAAATTTGTATTCAAATCCTCTTAAACAAAAGCATGTCTTATAAACAATCAAACATGCATAACTGACCTAAAACTAATTGAAAGAAGTACAAAAATTTATCGGCTCGCCCAATGAATTCTACAAAGTTGCTTAAGTGATGGCTTTAAATTAATAAAATTGTAGCTGTTGAGTGATAAAGTAACTTCACATTTATTTACGTTTAGTTTTAAAGTATACCAGGAAAAAGCAAATGTAAAAACTATATAATTATGGTATGTTTTTAGATAGTTTTAGGCTTTTGGGGCTTTTCAAAAGAAATAACTAGTAGATTACAATAATAATTTCAATTTAAAAAACATTCTTGAACTTTACATATGTACTAAACATCCAACTAATATGAACTTTACATATCAATTGCTAAAAGTATATGTGATTGTTTGTACAAATAATGGTTTTTGCTTTTAGCCAAGTCTTAATCTCCTTATCTTCAGCTATCCCTCGCTTCGGCTTTTCCCTCCCAAAAGAGTAATTTCGACAATTTTGTGTGTTATTTCCATGTGGTATGACTGTAGTAACGAATATGAGACAACCCCTTTTGAACTCTATATGCATTCATAAAAAAAGCGTCAGGCTCAAGGCACTTACAAGTGACTGAACTTTATTATTGTCTTAGCATGCTACATCCCCTGAGTTTATCTCCTAATTTTTGTATCTCTCTGCTACCCCTCAAGGCAGTATCGCTTTATCCTACATTTTAGTCACAGTAGTGTGAGGAGAGGTCCTGTCAAAGACAACATGAGTCACGCTCGGACATCGATGTGTACGCTAATAAAATTACTTATTATACTAATAAAATCTGACCATTACAATATTACTGATTAAATAATCAGAAAACTAAAAACTTATCCTTAAACCTGAATTTAATAACTTCTTAAAAATGTTGATATGTCGATACAAAAATGTATCAAATCTCCGTACCGGCAACTGAAAGATTCTTAACACTGATAATTTTAATTTGACCAAATTTGCTGTAAGGATTACTACACCAACCCGTCTTCATGTACTTTCACATAGTATGCAATTTTGGAACTGAAAAATCCTGAATATCTCCCACAGTAACGGAAACATCACCACTGTCTTCCGTGGTCGTGAAAAAATCCTGATATTGTTAAGCAGTAACAGAAACATTATAATCGTCTCCCATGATCGCAAAACAGTTATCATCAATTCTTCTAACAAATCACGCGGCTGTCTCGACATCATCATCGTCTCTTGCGGTCACAGAAACGTCATCGTCGTCTCCCGCGGTCACGGAAACGTAATCGTTGTCATGCGCGATCGCGGAAAAACAATAAAAAAATGTCGTGGCCATTTAGAATTTGTACATCATTGTCTCCTGCGCTCACGGAAAAAGTCATCGTCGGCATGAGGGATCCAACAAAATCACTAAAAAATCCCACGTCCGATTGGACATCATCATCGTCAACCGCGGTCACGGAAACGTCATCGTCGTCATGTGCGATCGCAGCAAAATCACTAACAAATCAAGCGGCCGTTTGGACATCATCATCGTCTCCCGCGGTCACGGCAATGTTATCATCGTCTCCCGTGGTCACGGAAACGTTATTATCGTCATGCGTGATCGCGGCAAAATCACTAACAAAATCTCACGTCTGTTTGGACATTATCCCGCAGTCACGAAAACGCCATCGTGATGGAAAAGCTGGTGACAGGGTAGCGCGATGAGTCGCAACACTTGACTGGGAAACGGGGCCTGACGATGGTTTGCGACACCAAGCTTTAACAGCTTTTTTTTGACTGGGACGGGTGGCGTCGTCCTGTAATCCAGCTACTAGGAGGTCACGAATTGTGGATATTTATAGGGATGCACTGTGGATGCGATGCTCACTGGTGTGGATTAACGTCCGCACTAGTGAGTACTACGACTATCCGCAGTACTATCCTGATAATTAGACCAATTCGTAAATTACAAGGAAAAATGTGGTTCGGATTCCACTATAAACTGTAGGTCCCTTAGTTGCCATTAGCTGTATGGGCTATTAATTAACAGCTGTGTCTAAGGAACATGTCGGCCTTAGTCACTAACAAGACTACAAGATCGCGCCACTCATCCTACACTCATCCTTCACTCATATTTGGGTTAAAATACGCACATAGTGGCGTCCCCATCTTAAATAATTGATAATTGATTGATTGATTGAAACACGGCTTGATCGCCATCGCCCTACGCTTGTGTGAACGGCTCCATTTGACCCTGTGGTCCGCTACCCAGTCCTGCTTACCTAGTCAGCTAGATAAGTCGCTCATGTGAACCGGGCCTAAGCAGTACCTGCTGATGGTACCTAGGTTCCATTCACACATTGCTTGTGTAATGCAATTGTAGGGGCAAGCAAAAGAAGTGGTAAAAGTACTCAAACTTCAGAAAATGAAACCGCATACTCATAAGGAGCACCAGCACTTATGGAGAAAACTACCAATCTTCCAGAGAATTGTATAGGAATTCTAACAGTGGAGCCACTACACCTTTGAGTGCCTTCTGTTAAGATTAAAAACAGTGTTCCACATCTAAGCACCTGAAGCCATTGCCATGCTAATAAAACAAGAGCTATGCAGGATCTCAATATCCCCCGGCACCAAGCAGAATACTCAACCCCTTCCCTGCGTCCCCAACAAATTCTTCAACAAGCTACCTCCAGGAATTCGATACCGGTAACTTGAGGATCGGAAGTTGAAAATAGCTTTGAAAGACTTAATGATAATAACAACTTATTAGCCTACGGCACTGCTGGAAAGAGCCTTAACAACGATCTGAAGTGAGTCAATAAACTATTTTTGTACTGCCCGTCCACCTTGTACGCCTTGTACTGTTTGGTTTGTATGATGTCCGTTTTGTTTGTTTGTTTTTTGTGTATTTTTTTTTTAATAAAATTTTACAAAATCTATTACCTCTACCAAAGGATCAATGACAAAGGCTAATGAATATGAATAACATTTGAAATAGCTTATACTAATACCATTACTTTTTTCTGAAATGGCGACCATACGAAGGCAGTTATTTTAAGCCAAGTATGAATGGAGATGAATGGCGCAATCTTACTGACTAAGGCCGCCATGTTCCTCAGACAGGACTGTTAATTAATAGCCGATACAGCCAATGGCAACTAAGGAACCAACAGTTAGGTTGTAGAATCCGAACCACATTTTTGCCTTGTAATTTACGAACTGCTCTATAATTATCAGGATAATACTAAGGACAGTTGTAGTACTCACTAGTGGGGACATTAATCCACACCAGGGAGTATTGAACTTAAAATAAATAACTTGAAGAATAGGCCTATACCTGACATATATGTTGATAACTTAAAATTTAAATCCTTACCATAAATAACAAAACGAAGCATCAGAGAGGCCTACAGTTGAGTAGGTGGGCCTACTTGAACACCCATCATACTTCCATAATGTTCTTGTTTTATGTTCCAACCAATTCAACAGTACCTACAACAAATTTCTCAATGGTTAACTAACTATAGACCAACCTAAATTCATAAAAATAATAAAAGTTGGCCTGAGTATGAAACAATTAGGCTAGCTTACAGTGCCAAGAGATTTGGTCTGTAGGTACGGTACTACAATGACAGTCATATATACACATCAGTTTGAAATTCATTATGGTACTTAAATGGCTATACGAAGGAGCTGATTATAGGCTGAGGCGTTTAGGTTGGGCCTAGGTATGTTTAAGCCACTATTATTGTCATATCTGATTTACACCAATTCAAATCCACAATACGTCTATGAGAAGTTGAAGTGGGCAGCGATAGCTCTAGTGCTAGGTTGGGTTAGGTTGAGTATGTTCAGGTAATTGGGACTTTAACCTAACACAACCTCACACATGCGATGCTCTAGTAAGGCATTCTTCTAGGAGCTGATACATAAACAATCAAACCCTTATCAAATTACCTTAATTCTTGTACTGTTGCACTACATAAATTTATTACTGTATAGTTTAAGATATTTTAATCAAATAAAAACTTAAATAAAGCTTATTTTATGCTCTTTGAGACTTAGTAATTGTTAATTCAATGAAATAGTGGAATCATAAGGTTTTATTTTCTTTAGAATTGTTAATAAAGCTGGGGTTTCCGTTTTCTCTTGTGGAGGTCTACTATAAAGTCCTGAACCGCTTGAGATATTTTAATAAATAAAAAATCAAATGAACGCTAATTTTTCCCTCTACAATCCACTTGCCCCAACATAAGTAATATGCAGTGGAAAGCTACAATACAATAAGGGGGGGGGGGGTGTAGGCTACACTTACCTCAGATCAAGGGGGAAGTGTACACCCAAAACATCATTTTAGGAAAAATATCCTCAAAAACACAAAATTCATATTTTTAACAAAATAAAAAAGAACACCTATACAAAACATTCCAAAGAATAAGCTCAGCAAATTTTTATTTTTATAGCACCTACGGGTATTTTTTAATCTGTGGTCAAAGTTGTACTATATGTGGTTTCGGGCGCACGCTCCTCACTTGATTCAAGTTAAGAGTTTTTTCGTAAACCTTTGCTCGGTAAAGTAACTTAAAACCTTAATATTTTAAATTGTAATTGACTTAGGCCCTATATGTTACTAAATTAAACCTAAAAAATACTATATTTACAAATTTAGTTTTTTCTTGTGATTCAAGCAAGAGATAACAAAGTTTTCTTTATTCTTACATAATTATCAGTGGGGCGTACCTACACTTGTCCCATGGGAAAAAGTACACTTGTTCCTAACGTGTTTTCACACAGGGTACGTGTACCCCCCTCTAACTCCCCAAAATTGACTTTTAGGGCTATAACAATTTTATTTTTGAATTCCCCTTCAAAAAATTATCAAGATCACCAAATTTCAGTTAGTTAGGCCTATCCTTCTATTTCAATTTCTAGTAATTTTTTTAATTTTCCAAGAGGCACTTGTGTTTTGAGCAGAAACCTAAGAGGTTCTTAAACACGTCTAAACTTATAGAAATAATAGCAAGAGAATTTTTTAGTGAATATAATTTAAAAGAGCATAGTTTGAAATAGGTACCACCTTTGGCCAAGTTTTCATATTTTTTGGTTAATTAACAAATTTATTATTAGCTGGAAGTCCACTTGCCCCGGGCGTATACTTACCCCACTTGACCTAATTGCTACGATACACATTACATACAAAAACCTGGGTGTTCTATAAGTTAACCCTCCAAGTGTCCATAGTTTAGGCCTTAATGTCCACCTATTTTTGGCGCATTTGCAAGGTTTTATTAAAACGGATCTGAGAAGCTTAAAACAATGTTAATTCTAATGTTCTATATACCATTTTGTTTGGAACATCATGGGCTTCAATATTATTTATAAAACATAAGGAACATTTTTTCAAAAAAAAAATTTTTAGGTAAAAAAAATATAATTTCGAAAATTTTCAAAAAAAAAAATAAGTTCGCGCTCAATGAAATTGTATAAATTATATGCCTATAAATATTTGAAAATAGCCACTTTGTTCTAAATTTTATGAGGATTACAAATATATAATAATATAAGGAAGTATATTTGCAAATAAATAAGTTATGGGCAAAAAACTGATTTCAGTACATAGCGTTTAGCTAAGAATGCATAGCCTAACCATAGCTAGGAATCTGGCTGATAATTTACATCAATATCACTACCTACTTCTTCAGGATCATCAACCAGCACTTCAAAACCACTTAAATCTTCTTATAATGCACCACGTATATCACTACTTTTGATTTTTAACACTAAAACAATGATAAACGTAATAAAACACATCAGTCATCGGTCCGGGGGAACCTAGCTGTTTACAAATACACGCACGTCAGCTGTCTGCTACAATATTTTCGGAACTAAAATGAATAGCGCTTAGAGACAGACCTCTGGAGAAAGCTTAGAATATTACGGAAAGAACGATACCTAACTCGATCCAGTTCAATCCGATTCAGTCAGTCATAGAGCCTTCGCCGTAAACGATGTCTGCGTGTCGAAAAATCGACAAGTAACACTACACAAAGTGTGCTGCTTGTCGAATTTTCGTCAAGTAACACTGGGAGGGTTAATGGGAGATCTAGACCAGAGGTGATCAAACGTTTGTTAGGGTAAGTTTAGGATTATTATATCACTGTCCAAAACTATGTGAAAGAATGAAGGCAAATTCCACAGCATGATTACCTAGTACAGCTACTATCTTATGCAGACTTTACTTAACTAAAATATGCGTTGTCAAAATAAAACTGGTACTGTACAATAAATTCATATTAATAACTAGGTACTGTTTTAGCTGTTTTATTTAGCACAGCTTTTACTGTAAACTTACAAAACTAATTCAAAAAGGTTGGTTTATCCAGCTAGTAGTCATTAATTCAGAAATCTGGTCCCTGATTTAGGTAGCTGATGTACACATTGCCAACTGTATGAGGTACTATACGAGATATAGTTACTTAAAATAGTAAAAAAGTTGACGTGAATGTGACGTATTACAGTGGATTTATCAATATCATTAGGCCTAAATATTTCTAAGACACTCAACATAAGTAGCCTAGCCTATAATTAAAAAATAAACTGATGGAAATTTGAATTTGGGATGGATAATCAAATCAATGGGCCAATGTATTCATCTGTTTCCACATTAGATCAAAAACACATATGATAATTACGGTATATCTAATGAATTCAGTAAATTAGCAGGCTGTTCTAAATTTATTGTACAACCTGTGACCTACATTACAAAAAACCTAAGATCCGTTTAACATCCTACACTTAACTTAAGTAGCCTATATAGAATATTTCCATGTGTAGGCTATTTATATTTGAATTGAATACTTTTAAGGTATAACTTAAATTTGTATGATATGTAGGCCTATCTCAGAGTGGGCACTTAAATCTTCAAAGCCCCTGCTCGGCTTAAAGTTGGTTTCACCTAATGCAGATAGGTTTTATAACAACCGTCAAAATATTGCAGAAAATTATTGTATACAAACATTTAAGCAATGGAGGGTACACTAATTGTATAGGTCTATGAAGAACTAAGATTGTAACATGCAACATGCCTTCGACGTTGACCATCTCCAGTTGTAATAAAAATTTCATGTTGTTAGCCTCCGGATCACTGGTATAGTATTAAATGATAATCGGTCCCAATGGGAACTTCATCAGGCTGTCAAGGACATAAAATTTCGTTCCAGAGGAAGTCGTTGAAGTTAAAATCCATCGAAGTCACTCATTTAATTACACACAAACAAAAAGGTGATCAATAAATAAACATTACAAAAACGCCAGTACCAGGAAGGCAGTCCAAAAAACAAAAACACAAGGAGGGCAGTCCAGACCTTCCTCTCGAAAGAAATTTAATGTCCTTGACGGCCTGATGGAGTTCCCATCGGGAACAAAACTGCAGTAGCCTATATAGACTACAAAGGATAACTTTTAGCCTATAAGGTATTTAAACCATTATTTAGAAGTAAAAATGTATTGATATACTTTATCAACAAAAAAAAAGACAAGTTTCTAAATTGGCTTTTATCACAAAACTATAACATAACAGTACAAACCATGCTCAAACTCAAATTAGTTTACATCATAACACCAGATTTAGATAGGTAATGGTACCTAAATACCATCAATTGACTAAAAGGAAATGAATCTAGTTAACTGCATGCAATTGTCTAGATTGTGATACCCTATATTTAAAACTAAACTAGCCTTAATAAGTGAGTTTCAAATTTCGGCTCAATTTCATGTTTTATAACTTATACCAGTATTATGCCTATTTGATGAAGGCTTTAAAGCCCATTTGGTTACCAATGCTCAAGCATAATAGCACAGCATGAGGCACATTGTGAAATTAAATTGGCAAGTATATCCTGGCCTACATGGTAATAGGGAACAAAACAGTAACCTAAAATAAATTCAAAGAAAAAGCTTATGATGCATTGTAAAAGGGCCTTAGAGGATTTGTGCCTCTAGACTAACTTAACATAAATAAGATTTGTATCACTTTATTAAGCCTAGACTATAGCCTAGCATAGAATATAGGCCTAAGTTAGTTCATAATTGTTCTACAATACTAATTATGTTTCCAGTAAAAAATAAATGTAAGAAACAATGTAACGATATATAAAAATATGTAGCCTGTTTTTGTTCCTATAGGCCTAAACTGAAAAGATGGTTTATGCCTAGTTGTCAAAGGCATTTTGTATTAAGCAAAAAAATATTGAGCTGGAAAAAATTTCCTAACCACCCAATCAAGTGTGAGCAACCCTCTCCTCCTTGAAAAAGACAAATGTGCAGGACATGGCACAAGACCTGAAAGGCACCGATAACTTATATTATACTTGTTCCGACAGAGGTTCAACAACAGAGAGTATAAAAATAGGACTCTATTAAAAACATTGAATAATCATAATAGAAATTTGAATACATAGCTGTTTTGTTTGAAGATGGACGGGAGATCTAGAACAACTCCAGTATTACGGTGCCAAAGCAAAAATATTCGCCGACATCTTAGACACCTTTATAACATTTGGCCTGTAATTTATCTTATTGGAAAAATTATAATATTTGTTGCAAATGGGCTACGTACCAGTACGCCAAAATACTACGTCATTCCTAACAATATTAACCGAAAATAAAAATAAGCAGGATAAAATTGAGCAGTTTTTATCAAGCACTAGGATTAAAATAGCATTGCTTAGAGGTAAATCAGATTTAGCCTACATAGGCTACCTAAGTTATAAACCAACCTAAATAGTAAATAGACGAGGACTAAGTTATATCAGCCTTCAAGGGTTTATGATAGGCCTAAATTCTAAAATTAGATTGATTACCTAGGTTTAAGTGGATCGATAGCTTATTACTAATTACTAAAATGTGCAGAGGTAATTCAGTGTCGCAAGTTTAAAAGTAACATTACTGTAGGCTTCACTAACCCAGCATTTAACTAGGCCCTACTTATTCAACTTTTTTAAACGCCATCGAACGATCTATAACTAGGTATTTTTTAAAGATTAAGTTAGGCCTATTGGTTCTAGGTAATCGGCTAAAGATGCAATTTACCAGTGATAAGGCGGCAATTTAGCTAGCCTATATTATTTTATTAAATCATACAATACACTACGGTACACTACACGGTACACTACAATAAGGTAGGCCTACAAAATTTTAGCATTGAATACTACAGTATGAAACAACATAGAAATTTGGCTGTGTACTCAAAATAGGCATAAGCTGCTGATTTTTGTCAATACTTTGACGACACCTATTTAATTGTGAATAAATTATTAATTCTTGATTGAGGCCTATAACTTATGCGAAGGAAAAAAACATAGTTTACATGATCAAGCTAAGCCAACAGTCGTCAAGACAAGAGTGGCAATATACATATATTGGTCTTTCTTGTTTGCAATATTATTGTATGTTAAAATATAGTTTAAGTTAGGCTATTGGCTATTTGCCGTTGGGAATAAATAAATAGGTAGTGAATACTTATTATATACATCCATACAAAGATGTAGCCTATGTCTAATTGCATGCTTGATTAAATTAAGAAAATGTGCTATGAATAAGCGGCACGTGCTAGGTCTAGGCCTAGCTGGCCTACTATTATGAAAAGCAGCAAAATTAGCCAGCAAACTGGCAGTAACTCTCAGTCCCACACTAACTTATGATATGGTGGTGTTTTATGAAGTTAGGTAGTGACAGATTTAAGTTAAGTTAATGAAGTTACATGCTAGAAACCAAGTTACGTAATCTAACTTATGGCATCCTGAAGTTACAGCATTTTGACAAAACACGTAGTACCATAAAACAGGCAGGTATGTAAGTAAGTTAGAGGGATGAAGACAATAGACTACCGTATTCAAAAATAGGCAGCTTTATCTGCAATTTGGAATTTCAAACATTAACAACAAACCTATGCTACAAACCAGCACCCACCTAAGAAACTGCGACACTAAGTTAAGTTAGCTACAACGCAATGTGGTTTCGATGGCAAATTTCAGGCCTCATTAGTTAAACATAAAATTGTGGATATAGCTTGAAGAATACACAAAAATATTGGCCATGATTTAGGCAATGTAGCAGTGTTACCTAGACTAAGTTAATTAATCCAAAGTACGGTAAGTTAGATATATTGTAAATCTGAAGACGATAATTTAAACAATCTGTTATTCATCATAAATTTTTCCCATTAAATATCTATTTATTGAATTGTATAACATTTTAACTATCGTTAACTTACCAATAATTTTTTGTAATGATCTTTGGCCGTTGGAATGAAATTAAATAATAACAATAAAGTAGGCATAGGCATTTAGCGGAAATACGGCAAAGCTAACCTGCACAAATTAAACTTAGGCCTAAGTTAAGTTAAACTTAAACCTAAAGCTCATATAGGCTCTAGGGTAAGTTAGGTCTACTCTTCACCAATTTTGGCGACTTCATTTTTACAGATTAAACCTGGCTGCACTTTACTTTAGGTCCTACACTCATTCGAATGAAAGTATTGATCGATCTTACCTAACTAACCAAACGATATATGGAATGAAACAATCAAATAATCGATATTTTCATTCGGTTGTTTGTGTCCAAGGACCTAAGTAAAGTGCAGCCATTAACCTAACTATTTCAACGTAACCAGACCTAACTTAAGACTATGTTTCCTGTTGATCCGAAGCAAAAGTTTAACAAATTTCAAACAATCAGCAGACTAACTTGGTACAGTTTCTTAACTGGGCTATGCTATTTATTTATTTATTTTACATACCAATTTATTTTACATACCAACGGACAACTCCATTTTTACATTCATACAAAAAAACAAGATGGAAACAATAATTCATGCTAATATCGATTGAAACTATCGATTCAATTAGTAGGTAAACCTTCATGCGATTTTTTCACCATCAGCAAGTTGGGTTGGTTAGGTTAGGTTACCTATGATAGTTTAATTTGATAATAAGTTTAACTTAAATATATTTAAAAATAGGTATCGATTATTAATCAATATTTTCAATTTGATAGTTTCAATCGATATTAGCATAGCTCAGTTAAGAAACTGTACCCGACTAACTTAACAGCCTAGTTTAGTTAAATTATTCGTAATACTTCATTAAATGTTCGGCCTTCTACTTATTGCAGAGGTTGGGCTGTAGGCCTACATAACTTAGACTGAATTAAGCAATAGATCTAGGCTAGGCCTATTTTATAGGCTAATAAAGAAATACGAGCGATAGCCTAACATAATTTGGCATTCTATTTAAACAAAACCTAAGGAAGTATGCCTTTAAGTGATGGAATTGAAAAAAAAACAGCTACCAATATCCATTTTATTTAGGTTAGACCTAGAAGCCAGCCTATAAGTTATACTTAGACCATATCACTAACTAATGACACACTAAGTAAGGTTTCTAGATTCTATATTTATACGTATTCGTAATGTATGCACATTGCATGTTAAGATGTCAAGAGTTGATTAATTTAAGTTGGAAAACTTACATTAGGCCTACAACTGTTATAGGTATTTTGTTTATGATGATACCAAGACCATTGCTATCAACTGACAACAACCTTCCAGACATTATGGCATATGAAGCTTACAAAATATCCTATGGTTTGTTGTTGGCTAATTTGGATTCTAAATTCATCAACAGAATGTTATATACATTCAATACTGATATCCGGAAACTCAAACAAATCGTAACTCATTCTTCTAACAACGCAGGAAGGGTCTTCTTGTCCTTACAACCTACTTACAGCTGAAAGCTATATTCAGAGCCATGTGTATCACAAAGGATCTACAAAAATTTAAGGATTGTTATTTGTAATACCATCAATATATGGATTGATAGAGAGAACCTCTTAAATTTTACTCAAAGAATGTGAAATTTAGCTTACGTTTATTATTGTTATAAGAATACATCCTTGATGGCTGCTATGCTAGCCTATGATTGCGTTTTGCAATCTGACACTAAACACATGCACAATTCACACACAGAACATCCGGGAAAAGTATATACAAAATTTTTGCTGGCACTTGAAACTGGTTTTAAATTCAACAGGTACTTGGCTTGATTTATAATTTACACTTTCTTCATGTTCTCTGATAATAAACTAAGGCCCAAGGAGACGCGCCAAACTCCTCAATATCTGGCCATTATTATTGGGGAATATTGGATCCAATAAAGTAGTCCCGCAATGAGGCTAGGGGTTATTTAGGTATAAAGCTGATTAATTGTAGATTGTTTGAACAAACAACAATTTATATAATATAATAATGTTATCCAAGTCAAAATTAAGATCCTTATTTGAATATAAATAGGAAATTTTAGATAACGTAGCGGATGAATACATAGTATCATATGAAAATAGTCTCCAAACGACAAACAGGTCTGACAGTGCTGCCATTCGTTCCCATCAAAACTCCAAACAACACAACTTGGTAAATCACAGCTCAGTTCAGTTCGTTCGTTCTTCTATTCGTTTTTCGTTCAGTTCGGTCAGTCGTAGTGATGTGACGAGTCGGGTACTTTCCTGACTCGAGTGACTCGACTCGCCAACTGCCGTGAACTCGAGTTACGAGTCGAGTCAGACTCAACTCGAGACGTTCCGAGTTCGTGTGAGTTCGGCATTCTCCGTACGAGTTCGTTAGTTTTGCGAGTCGGCCGACTCGGTACCGGCCAATAGCGTGTCAGCTTTACGAGTCGACTCGACTCGACTCGAGACGTTCCGAGTTCGTGTGAGTTCGGCATTCTCCGTACGAGTTCGTTAGTTTTGCGAGTCGGCCGACTCGGTACCGGCCAATAGCGTTGAATCTATGCGAGTTGACTCGTAAAGCTGTGACGCTATTGGCCGAAAGCGAGTGCGAGTAAACTCGAGTCAACTCGTTACGTCCCGAGTTCGTTAAGGTTCGGCTTTCTCCGTATGAGTTCGGTTTCTTGACTCGGCTTTTGCGAGTCGGACTCGTAACGTTACGAGTTCGTGTAGCTTCGGCAATCTCCGTACGAGTTCGTAAAAGAACTCGAGTTGGAATTGAGTTGACTCGAGTTGACTCGACTCGGGTCTTGACTCGAGTCAACTCGACTCGCCAACTCAACTCGTCACATCACTAGTCAGTCGATGTTTAGCACTCGTCACGGGCAGTGATCGTTATAGTTTCGCGTTATTTTGTGTTATCAATTCTTTTAGGAAATTTTAAAATGGTTGGAACGCACCCCAAAGTGTATGTTATTGGAGTCGGCATGACTAAAGTAAGTAAAATTTTCCGTAAATATAATTATTTATCAAAGAGAAACTGAGGGTAATTTTTCACACATCCGTTCTTCAATGCCCCACCGATAGACTGATAAAAATCGTAGCCTATGCTTAGTTCCAATAAATGTTAATGAATTAATGCGTCATTAGGCACCTGATGCATAGGTCAATGAAAAAACATATTTATTTGTTTGTTTATGCGCATAATTGAAAAGTAATTTTTAGTTTTACGATTATTGCTAACTGCAGTGCGATTGGCAATAATGGTTAATTTAAGGTTGTTTTAAGAAATCAGGAATCAGCCATAGAGTAAGCTACCCCTAGAACTGTTTATCTAGTATAATACAAATAGGTAATAAAATAGTTAAACCATATGGGGCCCTTTTCATAATAAAGTATAAACTAATATTAGTAAATCAGCTGATCGCCCAATGCAAATCTAATGGAAATTACAAGCTTTGTAGTTCATTATGAAATGGGCCCCTGATTTGACATTACAGTATTAGGTACTGTATTAATACTATTGTACTTGTATTGTAGTAGTAACCACAGTCGAGGATGTTGTTTATTATTGGCGTTGCCTATTGGATGTAGGTAGGTACATCATTCTAGGAGAAAGAGCAGAGGACCCAGAATTGATCCTTGGGGGACCCCATGTTCAACCAAAAGTTCACTAGAGGACCCCTAATCACAACAACCTGCTTCCTACCTCTCAAGTACGACTTGGAGGTTTCCAGTACGACACAAGTTGCTCCATAACATTCAAGCTTTCCTAAAAGGATGTCATGTGAGACAATGTCGAAAGCCTTACTCAGATCTAGGAGTGTCAGACTAATTGACTCTTGATTCTCAAACGCCTCAGATATCCTTTCAGCAACTCGAAGCAAGGCAGTTGAAGTCGAGCGGCCCCTCCTAAAACCGTGCTGAGAATCCGAGAAGAGTTCATTCTGGTCCAGATGTTCAACCAGTTGATCGTACATGACCCTCTCAAAAACCTTAGATATCACAGGAAGAATAGCAATTGGACGATAGCTGGCGATAGAGGCCCTGTCACCTTTCTTATAGACTGGCACGACTCTTGCGGTCTTCAATTCTTCAGGGAAAATCCCATGAGCCAGACAGGTGTTAATAACCAGGGTTAAGGGGTCAGCAATATCATTAATCACACCCTTCAAGATTTGAGAGCTCATTCCATAGATGTCCACACTGGTGGAAGAACGAAGACTGGAAACAATGTGCCTCACCTTTTTTGCCGTCACTGGCCTCCATAAGTTGAGTGGTAGTCCGACAGTTAGACCAGCTATGTTAGTGATTGCGGCTTCCGTTTGTGGCATACTTCTTACTACCTGTGATACAACATCGATGAAATAGTTGTTTATTTCATCAGGACTGTCCTCGCAACAAAAATCAACTGTCTTTTTACGCAGGCCATTTGCAGCCTTCTTGGCATTACCGACCACTTGCCTGTAAATCCTCTTGGCTCTTAGGTACATACCGTAGAAAAATTCCCTTTCACCTACAGTAGCCGCACTCTTATACCTATCATTCAAAGTGATCACAATATTGCGATGATGTTGGAGTGGGGGAGTATACCAGTCCTTTAAAACAGGTCTGCTGGATGGCTTCATAGAACCAGAATTAGGCCTACATTTTATTCCAGAACTTTTCCTTTGTTTTAAAGGAAAAATTTTATCAAAAGCGTTAATAAAAAGATCAAAAAAGGCCTGAAAAACACCACCAGGATCAGTCTGAACCAAAAGATTGTACCAAGAGGCATCCTTGAGCTCGGAACTTAAAATAGAGAAATTACCTACATCTACAGTCCTATAATTAAAGACATAATCCTTATGCCAAGATGGAGAGGTGGGCTTACGTAAGATTTTCATTTTTTTAACTCGCAGACAAATAATTCAGAATCATCAACACAGGACAGGATCAAAGTAGCCTACATAGTCCAATAAGGGGAAAAAAACTATCGTAAACGAAATTCCAACAAACTATATCGCTAATTGATTATTGATTTCTTAAAATAAGGCGTGTTTAGCCTAGTTAAATCAAAGTTAAATGAAATCAAAGAAACATCAAGTTTGTTTGTCTAGGATTCTATGACCTAAACCAATCCTCCATTGTTTTCTGTTATTTTTATTAAAAATTTAATGTAGGACACGAAAATGACGTTATCTAGGCCTACTCAAATTCTATAATAGGTAATTGAGAAATATGTGTATTAAGCTTAAAAACATAGTTATTATTTAAAAACTGAAAATAATTCTTTGGGAAGCCAATTTTGAGACACGGAACCTCTTATAGCCTATGCATCACCACACTTTTTACTTTGTACTTACACCAACACCTTTTATGTGAATTTGAACTGTTGGTGTTTTTGGGCTCTAGGGACCTCAAAACTAAAAAGTAAATCGGTCCCGGGTCCAGGTCTTACCATGAGTACTACGGTAATAGCTTATTCCCTATATGGGAAATTCGCTAAAAATCAGAACTATGGTTTTTGTTAATCACACAAGTCAAAATCTATTTACCAAAACATCTTGCCTGCCTCTGGTATTAACAAATCAATTACGATATCGTAAATATTTGTTTCGGTATTTGTAGCACAAGGATAAGATGCTTTTATCGCCTCCTCAGCCAGAAGCAGGTAGGCAGCATGTGGACACTTTCACTTGCAGAGGCGAATGGCAGTAGAACAGGTTAGGAGAAGGGTCTGCCGGTGCAGGAAGATAATGTTATATAATAGACTCTTGCCATGGTACCTGTCGGCCTCTGATGTGATATTAGGGTGCTTCCTGTAACAAGGGTCGTGTCTGTGAATGGACCGAGGGGAGGAAGAATTATGGCATCTGGGGAGGGAAGAACGATTCCGTCTCCCGAGCGCCAAGCAGACTATCTGGCATAATCTGACAGTTTTGACAGCCGAGGAATTCACAAAAGCAACGAACTGCGGTAAAGGATTGTACCCAATTGGGCATTGTAGACAATCAGCATTGGAATGACGTTAATTTTAAAAACATTTCATTGCAGACATACGTTTTGAATTATATAGTAACATTTAATGAATATTTTTTAATTCAGCTTGCCGACTCTCGTATTGTTGAGATGCTTGCACTTAATCTTGAATGATTAACCTAACCTAACCTTTACTGCTTCACAGATTAAACTCATTGATACCATTTTAAAATAGAAGGTATTAACCCTCGTCACTTCTGCATCACTGAGCAGACTGGTAATTTATGGCTTCGGCGCTGGGGATACTCCTTTGCACTCGACGCTCGGGAGACGCAACGGGAAGAACCATTCTCTCCACTTTAAATTACCTTGAATACATTGCAGTAGTCCTCTCTCTCTCTCTCTCTCTTGGGGGTGCGTATTTCATTTAGGAACGTTATAGAATTTTTCAACCTATTATATACAAATTTCATAGACGTGAAAGCATTTTGTGAATGTTTAAACGTTCGTAGAACAAAATTGTTCCTTTCACCCTATCTTATGTCAAATGTCATTGCCGCTTGGTAAAAAAGGAATATGTCAAGTTTTCACTCTTGTTATTTCTAGCATTATTTTGTGACTTTATTTATTTCTTGCATTTTAAATGTCATATAGCATGTCATCGTTGTAATTTCTTGTACAAATTGTGTATACCGTATTTAAATAAATTCAATAAATTAGTTGTCTTGGCTTTTTGGAGAGGCATTTATGACATGATTTATATTGGCATGCAATTTAAAACCTCTTTAATTTACTCATACAAATCTACGAAAATTGTTAGGCTAGTTGTAGTTTATGAAATGTTGCCTTTTTTATTTCAATTTTGCTCGCCCAAAATAATAATTATTATGGTAAGGGAAGGGTAAGGGAAGGGACATCCCTCCAATACATGTATCCGCCTCGTGTCCGTCGTCGACCATCGATGTATTACCATAGATGAAGTAATATAATTATATAATTTCATCTATGGTAATACTCTCTCGTCGACTTGCTCTATCGACTAGACCCAGCGACCACAGAATTAAAATTCGAATTCTTTGGTCGCTGACCAGACCGCGAGGGTGTGTTTAACATTGATATTTTGGAAATCTATGTAACAAAGACAGCTTTACGAAAATGTAAATATGAATTGTAACATGTGCTTATAA